CAAATACAATGAATGCATGCGTTCTAGCCCCAACTTCCCATTTATACTCGATTGTCACTATTTTTGGGTTTGACAGAATTCAATTCCGGAACGTTCAATCGAGCCGAACATTCCCCCATGTATAATATATGGCTAAATACAACCGACGAAATAATCTTGATTATGAACGTGCAGATAAAACAATGGGATCTATTCAACAGTACTGAAACAGGATAATCAAATGACAAATATATCCAGTATTTTTTTTTCTGGAAATGTTTCTTACTAGTTGACATTATGGCCATGTAATTTGAATATTTATAAACTCCAAAATGTCATTTCAAATATAATTTTAAGTCACGGAGGAATGGAGAGAGAGAGAGAGAGGGAGGGAGAAATGGCCACTCAACAGAAACTAGTTCATTTTAAATATGATTTTAAGTCAGGGGGAATAGAATTTCTTATTGTACCCTCCTACCAGGCTATCCTACTCTTTCACTGTAAATCAACCCCTGAGACGATTCTTTGGACAGAGTTAATTCTTACTGTGTAGGCAACTGGCTTACCGGAGTTATCACCCTTTATTCCAACGTGTACATGGAACTTTGGTTCTTTGGTCCCTCTGAATGACTAGATGCTGTTCCTTGCTAAGACCCTCCATCCTGCACCACTGGGACCTTCTGGTTATTAAGCCAGTGCCTGACTGAGCCACTGTGGCTCTCATATTGTAATCTAATTAGATTGGTGAACATTAAAAATGTTATACAAAAACATACTATGGAACACAATTACTATTTTGATTAAAGCGACGTTTCGTTGAGGGTTCTCTCAACGTTTTCAAGCAAATGATAATGAAAATAATGTACAGAAGGTTTATATACAAAAATGTTTCAAGCGGTTTTGGGACGGATAATGTTATTTATTTATATACATGTATACATGAACTAACAATATATAAAAGTGAAAAAAAGACTTCATAACAAACATACATACATGTAGCTAGATACTCAATATGTAAAATACAGTATTCTTTTTATACAACTATATATGTAACATAAAGTGTATTTGTCTATAAAAATAAATTTTCCATTACAGAACTTGTGAAGTTTTCATCAAAATAATTATTAACCATGTACTTTTTCTATGTTTCAGTTTTAACATATCAAGCATCAGCAAACTCAGAAATAATAAATTCTGTTGTACATGACAAAATATCAGGCCCTAGTGTGCTAGTATCTGGCATTTTAAACTTTGTGCTGGAAAGGTATGAATCAAAATAAGAACAAGACACAATGTCTGTGACAGGTGCCTTATTTCCAGACATGCATATTGGATAATAATAAATAAATAAAATACCTACAAAACAATCCACAAATAAACATTAAATAGCATGTCAATGAAATAAATTTACATCCTCTAACCTGTTTTTTTAATCAAGTTTAAAATCTTATCTTTTCTCCCATAATTCTAAAAGACAAAAGCAAATTATTCCTATGAGCATAATGAGTATGAGAAATTCCAATGATATAAATTGAAATGGATAAACATCACATTTCAAGTGTCATTGTTTAAAATAATAATCAGATGAAAAACTGGCACCAAGTTTTAGTTTATCCAACTGGTTTTTACATGCTCTATCAGCCTTTTCATTTGCTCAACTCCTGATATTTTCCTCACTTTTCATTTTTTAAAGAATCATCCTCTAAGCTGTCTAATTGGTTTTGCTAAAACAGGTACCATTAAATACTGGGTGAGATATAATACAAAACCTATTATCAGGAACACCGATATAACAGATATTAGTCCAAATCTATATATCACTGAATAATCATATATCTGAAAGGATATAAAAAGAATAAATATTCAGTTAATAGATTGAAAAAAAATAAAATGTCAAACAATTGTTTGGGCAAACTTTAACCCCATCATCTGTCGAGTTTGAAGTACATGTACCTTATGTTAAATGACCCTATATATATTTATTCATTAGTCTTCACTTCGGATGTACAGAAAACGAATGCACGCTTTACCAAGAGAACTAAGTCAACGGTTTTGCACACTCATTACTATTCATATAATATTATGTACCGTACAAAGGTCATGAATATGCATGTTCATGTTAACATCTGGCTCTTTCTAATATCTATTTTGATGAATGGCAAAAAAGGAAGAGTCAGAAAAATAATGTACAGTAAATTGCAGGACCTTGTTTAAAAGAATTGTTTGTTTAAACAATAGATCCTGCCCCATATAGTCACAATGAGAATGGATGCTTTTCTTTTTTATGCCATAGCTTTGATTGATGTAAAATTTTAAACTGGGCATGCTTTTAAGTCATTCTTTTTATTACCATACCTTAACAGATTCATCCGGTGCTGCAACTTCTGGTTCTCGTGGAATAAAAACTAAAACAACTGTTAAAAACCCAGCTAATAATATAGCTAATGGTCCAAGATTGCTAAAGAGAAAAAATAGAAATATTAGATTTTAAAAAAATGATATTATCACAGTATTCTTGGAATTGTGACTCGCATCAAACATCAAAGTATGTCAATCAAGAAGCAATTGTGAAGAGAACCAGCTTATCAAGTTTCAAGTCGATTGTACTCAAATTGGGGTAGCCATAGGTCATTTTTGAAAAGTGTCTCCCTAAGAACAAAAAGATCACCAAGTGTATGGAATCCATTGCTGGTTCAAAAATGTATTGTGATACTGGTACCATGTATTTTGATGAAAAGAAGTTTCAGCAGCTCAAAGTTTGTAGTTTGATATTGGTTGGTTATGTTGGTATATTACAAACTAGTGGTCTTGTTAAAAAGGAGGGCAGATGAATAAACAGAGACATCTTTCCAATATAAAAATTAATCAATTACTTACACCTAAAATAAAAATCTGAAATGAAATATTTTTTTTTTTAGTAGGCCTATAGTATGGTGCAAATGACTGAAATTCAATTTGGAATTAATGAAATGTGATTTAACATACATGTACTACATGTCTGCAACAGGATAGCAAAATTCCAACTGTCAAGGGGTCTTTTACGTGCACGCAAACGTGTAGGCCTACACAAGACCTTGCTTTTATTGTCCCAACCAAATGAATAGACACCGTTCCTTGACAGGCTCTCCTTCCACACCACTAGCAATGTAGCAAGAGGAAAACCACACTGGAAAATAAGGCCCAAGAACTCTCTCTCTGTCAACACCGGGATCGAACCCTGGACCCACTGGTTAGTGAGTCTGCACCGCATGCATTCAATGTGTCGTGAGCGAAAAACATTTGACCTGTCTTTCAAACTATTTCTTTTGATTTCTTTGACATATTATTAAATATTTTAAATGTTTGCGCTTTTGACTTTTTTTCACTTTTTGTTCAAATGAAATTTACATTTGTTTACTTACGAAATGGATCCTTGTGCTCTTGTTAAAGCAAGGCAGAGAATCAAACAAAGAACCCAGATAAAGGCCAGAACAAATAATCCTTCACCTATACCTAGTACTCTCGCCATTTTTACGATACTTATCTAATTCATTGATAGAAGAATTAAGAGACAAGTTTGGACACCATCTTGTTCATGACAACAAATATGGCGGGATGTTAGCCAACATCGGTTAAAAGACATCGCTTCATTGGCCAATACTGGATTTTGATCCAATGAAATTCTTTTACCCATAATCCATTTGCCCCAATTTACCAGTCCCTTATAATTGTCGACGAAGCCTTGATCTACCAGTTATACTGTGCTTAGTCTATGAGTCTACATACAGCATTAACCTCTCTATAGAGTGGTTACATGTTTGCAATTACCAGATATATTTACAATATGGAATTTATTTTTAAAAAAAGTCAGAAAATTAGGCCAAAGTCTTGTATTACATTTTAATTTTACATTGATAAAACATGTACAGACCAAATACAGAAGATAGATAATATGCAAAATCTGTTTCTCTAACAGATGTGGGGATCCACTTACCTTAGTTAGTGTTGAGTCAATAATAATTGTATTAAACCACTGCCAATATAGATAATTTATGAGGTCTGGGAGTACAAATTCTATCTCCAAGGGGACTGTTGAACACTGATGATATGGATTCTATCTGGGAGCCAGGGTGCCTCAGTGTGTTAGGACACTCACTCGCTAACCAGGAAGTCCCGGGTTTGACCTCCGTCTTGGCTGAGAAAGTTCCACAGGATATTTCGGCATGGTTTCCCCATGTCAGAGTCTGCAGGGCCTAGTGAGCAACAGCACCAAGTCATTTGAGTGGGAGGAAAACCCAAGGTCCTGTGTACACATTGATGTGTACGTATAAGAATTCTTGACAGTTGCAATTCAAAGTCATAGCGCTGCTGTCTGTCTGGGCAAAATTTATTTCCCTTATTATAGCACACTGTATATGGCAGATGCCCCCAGTCTTCATTAGCCCTGACTGATGGTGCAGAAGAGTAGGACCTTTAACCCCATTTGTTCATCTTACTGCACAATTATTCATAAACGTTTACACCCAATAGTAGTTATACCTACTGAGTGCCTCCAAATGGCATTTTATTTTTTCGTTTGGGAAATTTGTCTCCAGTTAATCTGATCTTTTTATTCTTCAATCAGAAGTTATCTTTGTCAGGTTTTTTGAAGCACTATAATATTGCAACATATCAGGGACAACATCAACTTCAATGAGGTTAGATATTTGGTGGGACAAAAAACCAAGGTCATAAACACCATAAATATTTTATTATATAAATAAAATAACCATATACATACAGTATATTAACATCTTCTAAATATTACAATAATAATTTCCAAACAATTCTCTTACAAATATAACAAAGTTCTTGTTAATTATTTCCCACATGAGGTTAATGATGATGATGATGTCATTAATACATGTATTATTAATATTCTATATGTAAAGTTAGTCAATCTACATCTATTGTAATGAATTACCCCACTATGTAAAAACAATAACAATTTATTTTACAATTTGTTTTCTATATTTACTTGATGGATGTAGCAAGTTGAGAGGGGGGGGGGGAATATCAGTTTCAACACTAACCAAGTCATTCTGGGACTAACACTGAAATTGGAAATCTTAATTAAAAAAATTTGTTTGTGCATGGGTCTTTTTAGAAATAAATTTATGTTGCGGGGAGCTTCAGATATGTCCCTTATTCTCATTCAAGCATGTGGTTTCTTGAAAATGAATTTTACAATATAAAAACACTAAATTAAACTTGCTCAAAAGAACTATAAAACATTAAACAAGTCGCATAGTGATTTTTCAAAGCATTCAGAACTGTTCTGCTAGCTTCAAATAAGTTTTATGTACAAAATTGGCCTTGGAATTTAATAAAGAGGAAATATATATTAATGTTTTTAGGAAAAGTACCGTAGTTAATGTAAAATTATAAGATGTCAGGGCCTTCTAATAGCCTATACATGTATATCTCTTCCCTGTCCATAAAGCTAGAACAGATGTTTGTGTTTTCATTTCTTAGTTTACTACTGAAGATGATTTAATCAACAGCAATATATGTTATATCACATGAGAAAAATTGCATTCAATAATTCCCTCATATAACAACTCTGTACAATGATTTTTTTTTTTTTTAAATATTTAGCACTTTAATTGATTGGACATTTTTATTATGATGTCATTGCAGATTTGGCTTCCTGTGACAGCTCTTGTAATCTTTCAAATCCTACCACTGACGTTTTCTGGATACCTTTACTAGAAATCTTTTCTCCATAACACTTCACATCAATTATAATCTGTTGCCGTACTTTATCATCGTCACTCATACCATGGCTATTAGAATCATTTGTTTTGTCCGTCCCTCGCGCTTTCTTCAATCGTTTTAAACTCTCCTCCATTTTTCTGACTGATGTTAAAACATCTGAAGTCACGGTCACATATTGTTCTGTTATATTACTAAAAACTTCTAGCAAAAAATCTTCTCTTTGTTTCTCGGCCAAGCTGTCACTGTGTTCCTCTAGAAACACATCCAACGGTTTTGTTAAACTGGTTACATATGAGGAAGGTTTACTAGGAACTTCTCGATTAGTTTTTCTATAGAGTCTAGGTATATCATTTACTTGTTTCAAGTATACAGAACACTGTTTGATCACATCACCTGATACAAACGATTGGAACTTTGGCAATCTTAACTCAAGGCTTTCAACAGACTCCTGTAAACAGGCCTGGAGAAGATCGGTATTGGTATATCCTGCTAACTCCATGCAAGGTTTTACAATTTGCACAAAATATCCATCTAACAGTTCTGTAAGTTTAACAGCATCAGAAATAAGGCAAACGATTTGTCCAACAGTAATTGGTGGATTAAAATTAGATGTAGTAGTGCTTGTGGTCAACAAGTCTTGGGGAGCGGGAGAGACTGATCGGATAGTTTCTGAAGTCACAGACATTTTATCAAGACTGCTTGTTGAAGCCGATGTTCTCATGGTCACAGGTTTTTCCGCTTCTTTTCTTCTGTTAGTTTCTTCTTCATGAACTTCATCTAGCCAGGATGTGTAACGTGACAAAATTTGTAAAGTCAGTTTCCAGAATCTGTGGCTTAAAGATGATAGATAAATCTCCTTGTTCCAACATCGTTGTAAACATTGCCATAATGCAGCAGTGGAATGTAGCTTGAAAGGAGATGACTGCTCTGTTGAATTGTTAAAACCAGTTATCAAAGCCGATTCAACTGATCCAGCCAAATCTTGAAACCTTATTTGGAAATAAACAGGTAAACTCCATTTATGCAGGAATGTGTGGTAGCTTGGATGATCTCGTAGTCGTTTAACACTGGCTTGTGAGCCACAACATCTTTCAAACCTGGTCAGAAATTCCATACTTTGCAAATATTTTTCATGGAAAATATCAGGGTTGCCTGGAGCAAATATGGATGGAGTTCTGGCCTCAAAGTTACTCACAATTTCAGGCCAAACCGAATTGACCAGAAAATCATAACCTCTAACAATCTCCATTGTTCCTGAGCTTCCACTTGTAACATCTTTCAAAACCTTACAATGTTTTGGAATAAATTCTAAAACTTTGTCAAAAAGACCCATCAAGCCATTACCATTAGCCTTGATAAACTGCTCAGTGATGATTTCTTCCATGTAGGGTTTCACAATATGTTGTCGAAATAAATTCTCGGCATCTTTAGTCTTGTCAATTAAAGCATACGTTCGTAAACACTGTCTCAAAATTTCTACATTCACTGTCGCCAGGCCATCAAGAAAAGCTCCCTCAAGGCTGAACTGTAACGTTGTTGTTATGTTGGCTATCCTAGGTTTTATTTTCTCCACCAGGGGCAACCCGCGGCTTTTTGTTACATAGAATTGTAATTTGTTAAACTCTGTCGCTACTCTTTCAATCAGCTGTCCACTTAATTGTCCAGGATTGACCGGTTGAGTTTCAGATGTGTCTGGTGCCATTTGGATTCCCAACAACTTCTCAATTCTTTCGACTGAATGTGTTATATTCATCAATCGCTGTAAACAGGCCTTTTTCTGTTGCACACTCTTTTGTTGATTTAGCTTTCTTTCAACAACTTCAATAGCTTCATCCATGGCCGTCCGGACACTCAGAACTTCTTCTTTTAACTGGCCTAACGGAACTGTCAGATGGCCAATAGCTTTGTCCATGCCAACCAGATTAGTTGACAGGTTGACAAAGTCTGCATAGTCTTTGTTGATCAGTTCAATCATTGCACTTTTCAGGATCTTCAAATAAACGTTTAGGTCGTCGCATAACGTTTCCAACTGAACTCTTCGTCTGCATTCGATAACAAAATCGTCAACCTTGAATCCCGGTCTCATAAACTCTTCCTTATCAAAGCATAATGTTGCAGGACCAGAAGGTAGACTGAACCCCTTCCCTGTATCAACCGTCATTTTGATGTTATTAGGCTTTAAAACATGGAATAATTCTTATTTTCAAAAATAAATTTTATCAACAAAAAATTTATCCCGATGATGTGTCAGTTCATTTTGACCTCCTAAGATTGAAGAAGCGAGAAGGGAAGTAACTCTATTTTCACTAAAGTAAAAGTAGAAATTTCGTCCACGCTCAGCTCGCACACCTAACACCATAAATTTCCCCATATACATCAATGTCACCTCTCGCCACCTTGACCGGCTGTGAACTTTTCATCAAAGTTTTGTTGGGTTGAACGATTTCTACCATAGATGTAATTCAGCTCTGAACGTAGGTCTCATAACACTCGCCTAATGAGACCTACGTTCAGAGCTGAACTACCATAGATGGAGCAAAAAATTCATAATGCGACAACGTCTTGCTCAAAACCCACACTGATCAGCAGTGATTGTGAATATTCGCTAGACTTTCGTAATTCTCAAAACCATGCACTGGTTTTACCATATTATGGAAACCAGGAAATCTTGGGACACACAAACTGGAAGTAGCATATATAGAGGCCTACTAATAAATGTAAATTCTAACCCTTTTCATCAAGTCTATACCAGAAATTTCAATAAGACCGGGGATATAAAAAGGAATTGGAGAGAAAGACTTTGGTAACCAAATGAGAGGAATTAATATGGATATATCCACGCAATTGTGCCTATGTAGGTTGCCTGTAGTGGGGTAGCAAACCAAATTTTTATAACATAATCAAACATTGGCAGCAAAAAATCTTTATTTTTCATTTAAACAGTCACGATCCAAAATTAGGTACCGGTACCATCATCAACTGGATAACACAAACTACTAGGATGTTCAAAAATATATACCAGCATAAAAATGATGTACCTGGAAGCACATACATTTATAGACCACTGTCTGGTACCAAAAACAAAAGACAAGTAAATGAAATGAAATTACAGCCAATAACAATTTGTACTTTTATTTAGTATTCATAATTTGATGTTACATTCAAATTCCATTTAGTTAATAATAGAAAGGCTTATTATGGCACATAATACACCTCCACTGAAAAGCATGCAGGATAATTTTTGACTTAAAAATATGAATACATTTAAGGTGCCATCTCTTTAGTCTAGCAGAAAAGTATCCTAAAATTTGATTTACATAAAAATATTTTGTTCTATTTTGTGCATTTAGAAAAGTTAATAACATTTGTCTGACCACATGCATAAAGCAACCCATTATACATACCCTAAAACGCGACTACATTAAGTTCAAAGTTCAAACTGTGGAGAACATACCTTAAATTTTAAAGTCATTACAGAATCTGCCCAACACCATACCTGACTTGAGATAACCCAGATATTTGCTGTATGTATTATACGGTTCATCTGAGTGGTAGGCAGATTCTGAAGTGTAGCAAAAATTGTAAAGATTTTTCTGAAATTACATTTAGATTCCACCCTGCTACACAAATAGCACAAAAGATGCAAATATTTGTTAGAAGCAACATCATACATTACTATATTACATATATTTACAAAAATATTTAAGATATTATATGACTATAGCTATTTACATTAACAATCCCACATTATAAAGGCATTTAATAAAGAGAATTATTTAAGAGGACATTCACCGAAAGTTCACTAAAAACTTCATACATTGCATTAGTGGTCATGTCAAATACTGATTTTACTATTCGACTATTCTAATTATCTGCATGTTTGTTCATGAATATGAGTTGATTACACTGAATAAATAACAGTAAAATATTTCATACTAGATATCACATAACAAACAATAAAAGATAAGTTTGAATAGCCTTGATAAACTACTCAAATTGGAACATTTGTGTGAGCAGTACACATGGCAAATGTAAATTGGTTATTTTACTACATACATGTAATTCTGTCGAATTTATGTTATATGTTAGCTTTGTTGAATAGGATCATACAGTGGGAACAATAGCCTAATATTAAATGCAGTTTCAGGAATTGGCAGTTTTAATAGTAATTGCAGTTAGACTAATTGACAGTATTAATAGTAAATGCAGTTGCACTAATTGACAGTATTAATAGTAATTGCAGTCACACTTATTTAGATCTAGCATTAATAATAATACAGTATAATATTTCAGTGAGAACAGAAAAAATATAGTTATTTCAATGTTTGAATTGATTTTGCACTACCTTTAATAAAGTTTAATACAGCATCATTCTATAATGGTATATTTTAAACAGCTTCACTCAATTATGACATTTAAATATGATCATAATTTAAAGATACATTATGTAATTGGTAAATATGTCTATTGAAGGTCTTTTTTCTGCCTTCAAATGTAATATAATTATTATTTAGACATTTATTCACATTACAGGCCCATAATCAAATCTCTAGAAAATCGGATGGTCTAGATATTAATTGGATCAGACCACCTGTGCCATTTAATCCGTCAACAAAAAAATGAGCCATTTATTATCTTAGCAACAACAATCAAGACTATGCTATTCTTGCCAAAGCTTCAAACATTCATAATATCATTCAGAATTCAGTAATTTTACTGAAACTTTCAACATCTTCATTTTTGATTATCTATTTTTCAACGACCAGATCTTCATCTAATTCTTACATAATGCATCTTTATTGCAACATATAATTGCCAAATATCCTTAACTTAGACTGAAACCATATGACAACAAGGAATCTTAATCTTTAGGTACTATTATACAACATAGTAAGTTCCTTAAACAAAACAGTGACCCCTGGTCCTGACTCCTTTATAAACACATTCAGAAGATTTTCGGTCTGGACACATTCAGAAGATTTTTGGTCTTGACACATTCAGAAGATTTTCTTAGATTCTTTGGCCGTTTTGGCAATTGTTCAACAATAAATTATACATAAAGTCTGCATAAATAGAGTTATTTTTATCGATAATTTTGATAATTTGTCCAAGTTCGAGGGACAAAGTTTTGCGATAAATTCACTGTTGAACCCTGGTTTGGTGGATTTGTCACTACGAGGGAGACAGGCACTGCTTGAGGGGGTTGGGGTTGGGGACTAAGAGAAGGAGGAGGTTGTTGTGGCTGTTGTTGCTGGGAGCTTGTTAATAATGTAGCAGCTGACACCAGGTGCTGGGGTTGAGATGTAGTCAACTGAGCATGAGCTAGAGCTGGACCAAGGTGACTTAGTTCAATAGTTGTGTGTTGAAGCTGCTGTAGTTGAGCTGGTTGAACGTGAACCATCGTCGGGCCCTGGACACCCTGGGCTATTCTAGCCGCTAAAGCGTGATAGTCCCCTCCAGTGGACGGACGATATTCCTGTAAAGTCTGCGTCAGTTCACTCATGGCTTGAGTGAGAAGATCGGCGGCTTGGAGATCGTGAGTTTGTTGCGTTGCCACTGTTACGTCTGTGTAGGTAGCAGGTTCCATTTGATGATGCTGTAAGTTGTTCTGATCTATCAGCTGTATATCTTCCTTTACGCGACGTTTATCAGGAGTTGGAGGAACCAAATCTGGATGCTTCTTTCGTTGATGTTGCATGAGTTTTGCCTTGCTAGCATACTGTTTGTGACAATATGTACATTGTTGTGGCAGGGTAGTAATACTTCCCACGGTTTGTGAATAAGTCGGGTTGGGTAACCCTGGTATTTCTGGGATCATCGACTTCTTACGACTACTAACTGGAAGATCGAAACCAGGGTGATTCTTGATAATATGAGCTTTACGTTTGGAGCTCGACTTGTAGACTTTATCACAATACTGACAGAAGTAATCACGCTGTGTTTTTAGAATTGGCAGATTTAGCTCTGGTACTAGATCTGGAGTGATGTCAGGATGTCTTTTAGCCAAGTGATTGACCAGCATTCCACGCCTTTTAAAACCCAGTAAGCAGGTATGGCACTTGTAAATAAATCGATGATAATCGGTTGGAGAAACTTTAGGTATAAATTTCTTCAGTTGTTTGTCCCGCTCCTCAGCATTTACAGGTTTTGGTTCTCTTTCCCCAGTATGCATCCGTTTGATATGCTCCTTCAACTTATCTTTGCGCTTAAATTGACGACCACAATTTTCGCACATGAATTCCCGATGTGTTGAATGTTTTAGCATGTGGAGCTTTAACTTGTCAGGGCGTGAGAAAACCTTATCGCATGAGGGACATGGAAATTCTTGATCTGAGTGGAACTGTTTCATGTGTTTGCGTATCGTGTTGAAATCATTAAACTGCCTTGGGCAGTGTGGACATGTATACAGACCATTGACACAGTGCTCCAAGCTGTGGAACTTGAGACTGCTGGTTTGGTCGAATCCTTCCTGACAGATTGGACATTGATAGTATTTCTTATCACTGTGAATCTTCATATGGCAAGCCAGGGCCGAGTTATTCATCAAGCGTTTTTGACAGACCTCACACTGAAGTGGTTTGGAATCCTCCGTACCGTGACATAACATGTGTTTGGTTAGCCGTTCTTGTGTCCCAAAAGCCTTCCAACAATTATTACATTTGAAAGGACGAGGAGGAATTAATTTCTTTTTAGATGTTCCGTGCTGTGTGGCGTGCGCAATCAAATCATTTTTGTTGTCAAATCGTGCTTTACAAACTGGGCAAGCGAGATAGTTTTCCATACCAATACCATTAGTAACATCTCCAGGTTGTCCACCATTTTCTGCATTCTGTACTGGAATTGGCTCTGAAAACTTTTTGATTTCATCCAAACCCACATCTTCTGCAGCGTGAGTTAATGTATGCAGGTTCAAAAGGTTAGAGTTATCAAAGGTCAGGTCACAGTGCATGCATACCCATTCATTTCCACCAGTTTCCTTGCCTTTACGTTTATACATTGACTGAATAGTTCGACGTATCTTCTCAGAGTCAGGCCTCTTCTGATATTTCTTTAAAGTTCTGAAAATATAAAATGTAAACAATGAATACTGATTCATCAAACTCTAGTTCTCAATTACATTAAACATAGACCGGAGAGTGCCAGTGACACGTTACTACCAGCAGCAAAATCATCCAACCAGTTCTAAAATCCTTGACAACAAATCTGCAGTGTAAGTGTCACATGTTCACATAGTTAACCTATTTGTAGTGATCTTTGTTATGACCCCAGGCATGGAATCCATACACATCTACCAAGTGTGTCAAAGTGAATTCCCCACGACCAAGTTAGTAAGAAGTATACTTAAACTCGAGACAACACAGGAGAGAACAATCTGGGCGTTCCCAGATATACGAACAATCCCAAGAACACCACATATTTACATCACTGCTATCTATGCTTTCGGATTAGATTTGGCAAATTTGCACTAAATATATATGGCAGGTGCCTTATGTAAAGTAAATTAATTTGCCCAGGTGAAATAAAACTTACTTGTTTAAATAAATACTGGTTGATTTTTTCTTCCATTGATAACCAGAACTTTCCCCATTTTCTCCCTTTCCTTTATTCTTAAACCATCTTGATGCCAAACTCTTCTTTCGGATTGCTTTAGCTTCAGCAGTTTCATCAAAATCTTCATCCTCTGCTCGTGGAGATCCAGTTTCTTCATGTACCACAAGATGGCGCTGTAAAGCAGGAGCCGACCGGAACTTCTTATTACATTCGTAACAAGGAAACTTGTATTCTTGCTCATCCATATCTGAAACACAACAGAGGGTTGGAAGATATATATATATATATATATATAAAAAATAGTTGCCAGACAACAAAACATACGCCCACAGCAGCTAAATCATCTGAATAGTCGACAAGTTTTGTCACATATTTATTCCTTTGTAGGCAGGCATCGATATTTCTGCGCACATGCACATGGTGTGCGCAGGCACATTTGCTTGAAAAAATTTTTTTGCAGGCAAATTTTTAAAGATGTAGCCACGCCGGGCGGCGCCTGCGCCCGGCACTATTTTTTGGCGCCCAGCACAAAGAATAAATCGAAAAAGTCCAGTCGTATTTAAACCCCTCCGTCCATCTCTGTACACAAACTCGGCGCTCGAAATTTACCACAGCAAATAAACGGCAAAGCCATGGTAAAAGCCGACGTACGCAAACCATGTCTGCCACGGAATAATTTATTTTTCTGTGCCGTAGTAGACCCTATCATCCCAAATTAGTTTAAAGAAAGATGTATTGGTATTTTGTTTATTTATACTTAGAAGATGTGTAGGCCTAGGTCTATTCATTTTACAATTATTGTACGGTCTTTATATTTGTTTATTTGCCGTAAATAGGTCACCCAGACCAATTTACGGCACTCCAATGTTAAAGGTTTGAATGTCGTAATTGTCCAACACGTGCCTGCAAATTTTCACGATGATCTTATTTTATTTCTTACCTGTGTTGACCGTGGATTTGTTACGGCCCGAGAGTAGGACTAGGAGGACGATTAGAGCTTTCTCAGTTTCTGCCTGACCTGATTCTCATTCCACCGTAATAATAATAATATTCGTGAGACACGTACAACAACTTTACAAACAAGTCAAATAATACAACGTGTTTTAATTATCAATATCTACCCGTTGTCATAATTCATTGTACTCAAATAAAACACAAACACCGTTTTAATAATTTTGAATCTCAAAGTAATAAAGTAATATCTGAAAAAAAAACCCAACAAAACAACAAATACCGAAAGGTCCTCAACTTATCTATACAGAGAAACAGAGTGGGGCGGGACAATTTTATGCTCGGTCGGGTGGTGTCAAAAAGTTTTTAGATCCCTGTATCATTGATGAAAATTAAGTGAATTTGGTAAAATTTGAATATATAAATGGAAATTTGATTTGCACTGAACCAAATACAAAAGGCAGCAGATGCTCTGAAAATACCACAAGAAGGGTTTAATTTTCATAAAAGACCGCGCCCCCTCCCAAAATTTTTTGGGCCTCGCTCCGCTCGCCAAATATATTTTCACACCACTCACCAAATCCTGACTACATCCCTGTGTTTCAGTATGACCCTGCAGGCACATTTTCAAGTGTGTGCGCAGGCACACTCAACTTTTATAAGAGTCCTGTTTGTAGGTAATGGGAGCATCTACAAGACACTTATATCAATTTCATACAGATCGTATGATAACTTTTGTGGTATATCCATGTGGGTACATAAAAAGCCTTCTGCAAAGTTTCAGTTAGTGAATGATACCAACGCACACATGCTAACCATTCGGCCATCCAACCCCCCCATAAATGATATAAATAAAGTTGTCTGTATTATGAAATGAATGATTTATAAAGCATGTTTTTCCTACCTGCCATATCTCGTTCTGTTATTTCATGTATCGGTATTCCTATTCTATCACCATAGTGAGCTGCATACCATACCTACAAATAATAAATGTATGGTTTAATTTGGTCACTATTAATTGTGATATAATTAATTGTGTGTCTTATACATGCAATTTGTATCTTTCTTGAAAACAGTCCACAGGCACTGACGATAGACCTTACATTGTAAACCGAAGCATACACATTAGACCACTCAGCCACTCAACCCCCGATATAAATATATTTTTATTTTGCAAATAAGAGGAAATGCGGTTTAATATAACGTTCACCCAAAACAAAATAGGTCATTTCAGGACCAATATATGGTAGAACTTTATTTTAACAATTCACTTGGAAATCAAGCGGTTAGACCTACTCCTTGTCAGAAAAAATATAAGTGGGTGTAATCAATTATTTTGTGACATATTATCTAACCTTAAGTTCTTGGCGAGGTTCAATGTTTTTTATAACAGAGAAGAATATATCCTGGCCATGTTGATAAGCAACCACATTCTGTTCAGCAAAGTTTTTAGCTGGTCGAACAAACATCATCCAATTACACTTGTTTTCATCAGACGTTTCAAAATACCCAACAGTATTATCAGCCTTCTCTAACTGAAATAATTTGAAAGACATTTTTAAGCAAAATAAATTTCTACTCTGCAGGAGAGACAAAGATATATCGGTATTCTTTTTCAAAGGTAAACTTTTGATGATGATTTTTTTATTATTTATTTTAATAACTGGAAAAATCTTTCCAAAAAGGAGACAAGTATCACCAATGTAAAACATGTTTCTGTACATATGAAAGATTAACAACTGGTTAATTATACAAGGTACAATTTGATGGATAGACAATTGCTCAATTTATTGTTTTTTAGTAATGTCCCAGTGACATAATGTATAGAACATCATGACTTACCATTAATAAAAATTTAGGATTTGTCAGATGTTGTTGTGATGGGACTAATTCACCCACAAATGGTCCAAACTGTGTCATCTTAGTGATAGCTTTCTTAGCAAATACACCCACTTCTAAAATAAATATAAAAATCTGAGTCAATATAAGTATTGTTTGCGCTGTAGAAATTCAGTTTTGGTTGATATAAATGGATTTACATTCAGTTTTTAAATTTTTTTATTGTAATTTCTAATCAGTTATGTTCGTCGGAATCCATAAGCAGTCCAAATTGAATGGTAGTCGTTTGCGCCTCGTAAATCCAGTCTACATCGGCAGTAAAAATGGTGCTCGAGACCATAAAGAAAATTCTAAACTATGTTTCAGTAAGATTCACCTTTTTGTAGCTACACTTAAGCACTTGAGTGTCTACTCATTCTTTCCAAAACTTGCTCTAAGTTCATGTAACTGACAGTTTTGTAGCTATCTTGATATTAGTGTTTAAAAATTCGCTGTAACATTTTACCAAAATGTACTGTATTTATTTAATATTTGTTTCGTTCTCTTTTAGAATAAACTTTTATTTTAAAGAAAAGAGTTATTAATGACAGCCAAATGGCTTTGTTTTTATTTACTTACCATTATTAGCACCACCTATTTCGTTACATCTGAATATATGCAGTAAAGGTGGAAGACTTGACCACGCTCTTGACAAGACTACTTTGTCCTGGACAACTGTGATACGATGTACTGGACAATTGGGTGTATAGGACGACATACACTCATCACACCCTGGAATAGAGACAGTTTAAAAAATGATCGGAATAGGAATCACAGTTTTAATTTTTATCCAGTGAACAACAACTTGTTTCAGAGTTATGAAATTATAATTAAACCAGTAGAGTGGACCAGATTTGATAATGGAATATAATCCTCACTCAACGGAAGTATAAACAGACTTTATGTAGACTAGAGTGTAGTATTTTAATCATAACTGGGAGACAGAGCTCATTGTAATTAGATTGTATTATTAAAGTCCCATTGCATTATTTTAACGAAATAGGAATCCGTTGTAAATGACATTATTGTGAAAGATGAATCTCTAATAGAAATAACCGTCCAAAAATGGTTCATTTCCATTTAGTATTTACAAAGATATGTTGAATTGAAATATATCAATCTATGCTGCTCGCTATGTAATAAGTCTGCCGCCATTTTGTTGTTCAGCAACATAATTGAAGGGCCTTTTTTAAATCTGATCCATGTCGTGAGATTATTTAACATTGGTATTTTGAGTACATATTAGCGTTGATGAAGCGTTTCGAAATTTTGATATTTTAATGAAAAATGCAAATAACGCATAGTTACTTAAATAAGAAAGTGGAAACAATCTTTTTACTACATTCTGAACTGCTGTAACAGTACTTACAAAGTTCTTCAGGATTATATGGTCTAGGTACATAAACTCTTTTTCTCCATGATGACGAGGTTGATTGTTCTTCATCTAACATGGCTATTCTTGATGATTTACGTACATTAGTCGGCTGCATCTATAATATAATATTATTGTAAAGTTTATTTTATTGGCTTTTCCCTAGAGATGTAATGGAGTTCAACATCTTATCGACACCATAGATTTTTCGGTTTTCATTAATTTCGATGTCAATATGTGTGGGAGATTATAATATACAACACAGCATTTCTTCTTTAAATTACAATAGACAAGGGATCTTTACATGAACTCAAATGTGTACAAGGATAGAACTTCATTTTTAGTCCCATCTGAATAACTAGGAAACATTTTTGTTGTGTGCCAGCCGCCCCACTTGCAAATAAGTGAGCACCTGATTTGGAATTTTAGAGGGTTTTATCGTGGCACACTTTAGGATTTAAACAGTGTTTTAACTGCTTGAGTAATAAGGCTTGAGTGTTTCAAACCATGCAAAGCTTGACAACATGGTTGAATTGTGCACCCTATCAAACATGAACATATCTAATTGTATATGTGGCAGGTAGCTTTTATTAGAATTCGAACCCAGGAAGACATACATGCTATCCATTCAACGATAAGGGTACAATTCTGGCCAAGTGCCTAAATTTATAAATCGCATGAACCACTTGAGTCATGTGAATAACTGTGGCGCTCCCAAGTACTACTAAACAGTCCTACAATACGGAGACCTATTCACATAACTCAAGACGGTTTAATGTGGTCTAAGGTACAGTAGTTTTAGATGGTTTAATTCTGTTCAGGGACATACCCATATGAAATATATATCGCTTCTCTCTAATTTTCTTCAAGGAAATGGCATAGTCAATATTTACATATACATGACTTCCCCTCACTCAAATACAAGAAAGCAAAAATACGAAAACATTTTAGTTCAATCATCTGTCATCTCCAAATAGGGTTGATTGCAAGATCTCCATTCTTGTTGTTCATTATAAAAGAAAATAATTTCACATACCCTAATTCCACTTGATTGTGGATTATTTTCTTTATTTCCATCATCATCGTCATCATCTTCCTCATCATAATCATCTGTTTCAAACGACTGATCTAATGCTGAATCACTACCAGTTACCATATTACCACTAACTACTGAAGGACCAGCTGGAAAATAAATACCATTTAAAGATACATTGTCTCGAAAGTATTTATCGGGTGGTTATTTCCAATAAAAGTATGGAAAATTTGGTATATATGGAAAGTATAGATGCCCAATAATCTTACTAGAAAAATACTGGATTACCTGCAAAACACTCACGGGGCAAGCACTGTACAAAAATGTCAGGGTATCACTAACTGGCAATCCGACTGTTGTCAGCCAGCTTATTATGTGCTAGCTTGACTGAGGGAGTGGTTGTTATATCTTGATCAATGGTTAGGCGGTTTTAGGAACAATGAGGGGTGTCAACATACAAAAGACCATGTTTACACTTACCAATTTCATCCGGCATGGCTGAACTATCCGCTGATCTTTCCATGGCGGAATCAAGGGTCATATCTGAGGTTGTGGACATTGACATGTCATGAGTAGACGATAACTGACTACTATCTAATGTTGAATCCATGATGGCCACCTGATTAGATGCTCCTAAACCAGCACCTGACATCGTTGAATGTATTCCACCATGACCTAGATCTGATGATGCTACCAAATATGATCTGGGACCTTTAATAAAGATTTTTAGACATTTCGGAGGAATTTTTTTAGTAGAACAATGTATCGATTTGCAAGGTAACTGTCAAGCACATGCGGTACAAATTGATATTAGGCACTAAACAAGTTAATATGTTTGTTCCTGGGATATCAATTTGCCAATCCATTATCCCAATTTATATTTATGCATTTTTTAAGTGCTTTTACACATTATGAAATATCAATTTAACTTTACGGTTAATTCGTTGAAATTCTACAGCATGTAAATTGACTGACAATTAAGTTTGCTGTCAGTCAGTCAAGACTGGCTTGTATAACCAAAATGAAGGCCCTAGGTTGTTTAATGATAGACAAAACCATATAATAGCATAAAAAAAAGATTTTTTTCTAAATAACAAATACGCAATCCAAGCATATCAACATTTATGATAGAAATTAAAACTTGTACTGTTATATTCTATTAACGTCAAATGATCAATATTAATCTTCTAAATGACTAAATTATTTAAATGGTTGCTACCTGGTGTAGAATGATGAGGTGTAAAATCTTGTAGATCTTCCTGTGTTGTATCTGGTTCACCATTAAACTGATCTAAATCATGACGCTATAAATACAAATGAAATAAAAATGTTAAAGTATAGCTAGATTTCTGTTATACCATGTTATTTATTAATGTAAAAATGAAATGAAATAGGGTTGAACGTCCCACTTTTCTGCGACTGGGCTTATGAAGACAGGTAAATTATGTGAAAGGGAATACAACTGACTTTCTGTTTTCCTGGATCAAAGTTGAGTGCTCGTCATAGAATTTTTTTTGAGAGGTTTACAAGCTCTTTTCGGCCTCCTTGCTTGAATCACTATAATATTCCAATAATAACCATAATGTGGATTTTTACATCATTATCACAATGATGAATATTTCAAATATCATCCTGTCACTTGCACAGGGTCCAGGGCAGGATTTACCAATAGACAGTAAGTATAGGGCCCGGACAACATTTCTATAAAGTATGTGCAGGAAAACCACACTACATGCAAAAACAAAAAAACCGACAAGACAAACCTGTGGACAAGACATAGCAAGAAATAAACAACAAATATCAAACCAATGTTTTGATGAGTTTTGCCTAGGGACCACATATAAGTAAATTTCGACCATGACAGGGTCTAAACTGCAGTGTATACTTAAGAAATAATACTCACCTTTCTAGCTTCTGCGACCAGATTTGCATGAACTGCCCCTATAGATGATACATGATGATCTGAGTCCATGTCTCGGTGATGTTCATGTTCTACATTAGATATAAGAGCCCCATCTGTTGTACTGACCTCACCATGTGATGATGCATATTGAGGCATGGACGTCACTTGTACTGTTACATACTGTGCACCGTCAACACTTGAAGTTTGCTATAAATAGATATCAGTAAAATTGATACATAAATCTCCATTATGAAATCTGGTCATTTCCAATACAACTTGCTTCTCAAACGACAAACATTCAATCCTATTTCTGTAAAAATTGATTTGTACTACAACATTAGTGCGTAATCTGACCCTGTTCATGAATATATATCACAATAGACTGTTCTAGACACCTAAGCAAACATTTCATCCAATTGTGAATAGTTTTAATTTTAAGATATTTAATTTGTTGAGCTACCAATAATCATATAAGACAACACAGTTCTATGAATAACAATCACAATATTATACACGCACAAGATTTCACTGGTCGTCATCAAGCATACAAATCTACTAAAGATTACACCAATAAACATTTATTTACCACTGGTTGAAGAGTTATGGCACTTGTCCCTGCTTCATCGCCATCAGGACGTAAACTTAATGTTGATTGGCTAACAGAACAATCAGCTGGGGAGACAACTCTCTGTACCACCAATCTATTTCCTGGATCTAAGATCATGTGATAACCCTAAAAGAAGAAAGAAAATAAAAGATTAAGAATTGAAATGGCAGCTCTTGAACTGGATCATTCAATTCTAGTTTCACCAAGGTAGGGACAGAGTTAGAAAGAAAGGAACTGTGAGTTTTATAATGATCAAATGATTATGGTCGATTGTCTTATCTTTGGATTTTCTCCAGATTCCTCCCACAGCAAATATGTCTGCATTTTTCCCTAATTAATCTACTGTTCTAGACACCTGGTCAAACTTTTCATCCAATCCATGAAAGAAAGATATATGAATAAAATATAGGAATTATGGAGAATGATTTTCAGCTAAAAACTAATTTATAGTTGACTCTTTAAATGATATATTACAAATTTACTCACCCCTTGATGTACATTAAGAGTACTGCTGTCTACAGCAGATGGTGTTATAAGTTGAGCACTATCAGCTTGTACCCCAGAATATGATGATATACCCTCACTCCCTGTCGGTACTTCTCTATATTCTTGTACTGGGGAAACTCTCCCGTATGTTGAGTGAACAGCCTGGTACAGATCAGACTGAGAACCACTGATACTATATGCACCAGCAAAATAGCTCTGTGGACGTAATTCATGATAATGACCTTCATACTGAGAATGTGCGATTGCTTGAATGGCAACGTTATCATTGTAGGCATTTTCGTGGCCATCTTGTGTGGTTGTTACAGCAACAAACTGGCTCTGATCTGGAGGATTCCACACTTGATTATTGTCACCACCATTTTGATCATCCATGTTCGAATGTCAAATATCTGGACAACAAACGTCCCCCTGAAACACAGTTAACATATTTTAATTAATGTTTAAATAATCAAAATCTGTACAAACAATTTCTTGACTTCTGTTATAAATGGAACGATGGGATCATTAGTAATCATTACTAAATTTCAAAACTTGCGTCAAATCAATAACCCACAAAACTGGGTGGGTGAGTTTACCCATAGAAAATGATAAATGTTGAGTCATGAACAGATATATACATGTATCAACATCTTCTTATACTCAAAAGGCTGGGATGGGCAGGTTGGCGAGGTCATCATCTATATGCGGGCATGGACGGGTGGACGGGTCGCGATCTATATGTACATGTAGGTTATTCGTTAGGACGCAAGTGGTGAAATTTTGTGACTGTCCCTAAGTGAACGAAACAAAGCCAACAGGTAGGCTGATGTCCTCCACCTCAAACCCAAAATAAACATCAAGGTAATGATGTAATAAAACTATACGCCAAGTTTCATCAACCTCACTCAATTAGAACCAAAGTTATTGTGCAAATCAAATTGCTCATCTTTGCTATGTCTAAGCAAAAAAAGATCATCAGTAGCATTCATCAAATGACCAATGAATGCCTGATTATTTAAATTTACAGATACAATTATTAACATGACAACCCCATAATCAACTCTTTAGACCATCGGATGGCAGAGATTTAACTGGATTATAGAACACCTGCAAAATGTAAAGATAATATGGATATTCGAGTCTTACTCTCGATTGTCAAGTACCGTTGCTTCGATAACAAACAACCCGCTCCACATCTTGTCAAAACCTCAAACTCCTATAACTTTGCTCAGATAAAAGTAATTTGAATGAAATTTTCAATATTCATTTTTCATAATCTATTTTTGAACTATTATAGTAAGAATGACCAGCTCTTTATCTAAATCTTACATGATGCATCTTTAAAGTCACTCTGCCATTTGAGGTATTTTAAATGACCTGCGATCTAAAATATTGTGAAAGTTGAATCTCTTTATCTTAACAGGAATATCAGGACATTAAGCCCGATTTCATTTGATTTCTAAAAGGAATATCACTATCAGTTCATAAATAATAATAATATCGTCATCTATAAATTGCGTTAATACTGAAGAAAACAGTACCTAAAGCACTTTAGGTTTTTATATTCACTGATTATTTACAGATCAGGGTTTTGAAATAAGAATGTTTTGAGTTGAGATTTAAAATGTCCCACAGACGGTAATTGTTTCATTGACTGTGGTAGTCTATTCCAAAGAAAAGAACCAGCATAAGAAAAGACATGTTTTCCAAGTTGTAAGTTAATGGCTGGAGATTTTAGAAGACGATTTTTCTGAGAACGGAGATTTCTGCTGGTAGTATAGGGTTCTACAAGACTTTTTATATAAGATGGAGCTTGGCCGTTTAACGCTTTGAAGATGAAAAGGAGTAACTTAAACTTAATTCTTTGCTGAATTGGGAGCCAATGTAAAGATTGCAATACAGGGTAGATATGTTGATGTTTTCTAGTTTTAGTGAGGAGTCGAGCTTCTGAATTTTGAACATGTTGTAGTTTGTTGATCTGATAGTCTGGTGAGCTGTATAGTAAACCATTATGGTAATCTAGTTTAGTTGAGATGAATGCATGAATGAGTTTTTCTTTATTTTCATAATTGAGATAGCGTTGGATCTTTCCAATTCGATGTATATGATAGAAGGCAGTGGAACAAATAATTTATATAGATGATCTTTAAAAGATAGGGTCACCTCTAATATAGCACAGATATTTCAAGCTTTATGGGTTCTTGAAATTATTTCTTTTATCAAAATTAACTAGCGTTTGATCAATTTTTCAGAGTTATTGCTTGGTTCCAATTACTAGCAGTTCTGTTTTATTTGGATTTAATGTCAAGAAATGTTTTGTCATCCACACAAGAATTTCTGTAAAACAAAGTTCTCTATTTTGTATCATAGAATGTTGAGAATCTGTCATGTGTCAAATTCAATACATTGACATGCTCTTAAAAGAACCCTTGACAGTTAGAATTTGATATAAGAGTAGGCTGTAGCGCCGCTGTTCAGGCAAAATCTCCCTCGTAGAACACTGCATGACGTATGCCCATCTTCATTAGCCCAGTCGGAGCAGAAAAGTAGGATATTTATCCCCTTTTATTTCATATCACCACTTAACTATAATTGTTTGGTAAAATCGTTTGATGGACTTCTCTTTAATTTAATTGAATCCAAGCTGGGAGATTATCTACTATTATCTACATACATTAATATTTAATAATTGATGAATTTGATTTTCCTATTTGTTTTAAATAATGGTAAATATGTAACAAAATGGTTGTCTCCAGGAGTATAAGGCAGAGAGTACTACTGCTAGTATATTCTTACTCATTACTCTTACTTCATGTTCACAAGGCTGTAATTTCAGTGTACTTTTGTGATAAATCAGGACAAGTGTATTTTTGGGGGGCTAAATTCATATTTCATTCATTTCGAAAATGCACTAACACTCTAATACCCGGCACTCGTTAAATATTCTAGAGAAACAACTAGGTCAATATGGTTCAATTTTATGTCAATAATTCGCTTGGGTGTAGGAACCTTAACCTCCCTAAATCATTAGTAAATGCACTGTATTTATTTTTTAATTTTTTGATGAAATCTTTAAAGCAGCTAAAGCGCTAATATTTTGAACCTAGAAATTGTCTTAAATGGGAAGCAAGGCATTATAATAATGTAATATGAATGTACATGTATATAAACTGATTTACAGTCAATCGTTTCTGTTTTTACTGTATTTTCTAAACGGCTATGTTCGGCGAAATACGCCAGAAGTCTCAACCGAATGACAATCTCTAGCGTCTGGTTATTCCAGTCTACACTGATAGTATTTATTATGCATGCTCTCCAGATAAGAATATGACGTCATCGTCTGACAACTTGTGGAATATATCTAGCTTCAATCTTCGAGTCCCTTGCTACAAATGGCGCTGAAATGCATTATGGTACACAATTCGTGTACCAATGGCAAAATGTTTATTTTGTCTTAATTATTGGATATCAGAAGCCCATCTTTTCGCAGTAAGATCATAACATCAATATTGATTTAAACTGACAAATAATTTGTGTTTTCAATGTCGAAGATTATGGATGATACTGAGTTATAGAGACTTCTACTTTAAGTAAAAGCTTATTAATTTATCTTTTCCATGTTTTGATTATTGAGGATCTTTCTTCTGAAAGTGCATGTACTTTAGGGTGTAACTAAATATTTGCGACCATTTCAACCAAGCATTTTACACAAGGAGTTATCATATATCTGGGTAATCCTATCCCACCTACCATTCAGATATACTTCAACTGTTGATGGGGGACATGGTCTATTATGTAAAATTTTCACTTTGGATGTTGGTTCACTTATAATTTAGTTTTAGTGGAATTCTTTTATCAGTTGATATATTTAAACTGATATTTATCATCAGTGAACAGGTTTTGTTAAACAAACAAATGCAATGCATCAAAATTAATAAAATTCAAGACACTTATTTCCCCATTATTTTTCACCCAAGTCAGTGAAGCCCTGTTTATAAAGTAGCAGACAATGTGTAAATTACCAGCCATTTTGTTTTCAGTTTGATTCACCAGTGGTTAACAAGCTAATAAGTGTTATGTGCTATGCTGAGAATTTTTTTTTTTTATCCCACTCCCAGATTTATTTAATAAGTCATTTTCTGTGAGATCCACAGCTTGTGATGTATTAAATGTATTGGTATGTAAAAGACACCCCCGGATAAGAGAATAGAATCGTCGCGACGACTCGAATTTTTATTGCGGTTGTCAATAGGGGACATGGGATGTCTAGTCAACAATCACAAGCGTTCAAGGTTGTCTGTTTTGTGCAGTAATGGCGGCGAATAAATTATGAAAATACGGTCTAGAAAAGGGTTATAATTTATTTTCTGAGCAATAAAATAACGTTTCAGTACAAAGACTGACTTCCCGGGAAGATCTTTCTAAAATATGAATCAATACCCGCGACCCCTCTTCTAAAATGATCCGACTTGGGCCGGACCCATTTTGAAGGTAAATAATGCATTTTGGAAGGTACCAAGAGCACAAAGCAATGAGGGTTGATCTTGTCAATCGCCGTCGGCGTCTCGCTGTCAAAAACGCTTCAAAATGCACGATCGCGCCAATACTTTACCTGATATGGTTCTGTGTGGTCTACTGATATGTTTGCAATCAATTTTCACATTTGCTATGACTTATTTTCACCATTAAACAGAAATAAATATTTCGATAAATTACGGGAAAATGACCTACCTCCCGATTATGAAATCTCGTGGCCTCACGCCTTAGATCACGTGACGAGTCTTCCTTGGCTGAATCAAAATTGCACAAACGAATGAATGTGAATATAAAATTCAAATACTTTGCAAACTGTAATTAAAAAAATAGTAAACTATAGGATCTTGATCAGTTATTAGATTTTTCACATTTAATTTACAGGTAAGATTCCACAGCAAGCCAAATTATTCCTAATTCGTTTTATTTTATTTACGTATCAAATTGAAGGAAACCATATTTGTTTAGACATGGCTGCCTAAATAAGTGTGAAGTTTATCTTGATGTATTATATTTTAATCAACTGGCTTCTTAGCTTTGCGTCTGCCTTAGACAATGGCAGACAACTATCATAAACCTGGTCTTTACAAATGGAAAAGACAAACAAATCCAAGGGTTGTTTCTAGCTCACAGGTAGGGTGATGTTTTCATTATTTGTATGAAATCAACAGAACAATAATTTAGGCCCGGTATTTAATTACTCATTTGATCCTAATTTCTCATGCCAAATTAGTTTTTATGCAAAATTAGTCACCAATTTGTTTGCGGAACTGTAATGAATTACTGGTAGGCTATTTTTACGACACTTAATACATGGTTCATGCGCATAGTCTAATAGATATAGGGGAAAATATTTGACTTCACTTTTTTTAGTAATTTTACTCACCTAAATTAAAATAGTGCACATTGGTGTGCACATAAAATATTAAAAGATTCCCTGGCAGTTGGAATTTAATATAAAAAGAGTAGGCAGTAAGGCAGCTGTCCGTGCAAAATTTCCTTGATAACACACCGTATGGCATATGCCAGTTATCATTAGCCCAGTCGGAGCAGAACAGTTAAACTCCATTTCATTTTTATTTAAGGGTCTTTCGGCCTTAGAAAAACAAATTGTTTCAAATCCTAACTCTATGATTTCTATGATTTGTAAAATCCAACGGCTACTCAAGATTTTATGTGGGTAACATCATGGCCACTTGTGTACATATAAAATGTAAAGCACATTACCACAAAGAGAAACTGTTCAGTGACTATTTTAATGGTTTATATTCCATTGTTTGTGATAAAAGCATTTATTTCAAACTCATGTGTGTGTTAAAATTATTCGTTTGAGGCTCTTTCGACTTGCACAAAGCTTAAATGAATGTACCAATTGTAGCGGTGACCAACATTACATTATTGAAGCCAATAAAAAATAAAATTTGTTCCAATCCACTTTTGTTGTAAAATTTTTTGAAATATTTTAAATATTTCTGTCGGTTATGGATTATTGCCAAAGTTGGTTAGACTAGTTACATTTACATACATGTATCTACATGTACTAGCCGTGGGCTGGTGAATGAACAAATATTTTTATGCCCCCTAATGACTAATTTACAAAATTACATACATGTATATGTTTAAAAATTGTTTAGTTATTTATATCTTTCAGAGAGTTAGAAGCAATAATGATATCCAGAATTGGATTCAGGTAAAAATTACATTTTTGATAAATATTTGGTATTAAAACTATAAAAATATATAAAGACTTTTCCCTTATACATTTCCAAATGAAATAAAATGTTGTTTATGAAAAATAAAAGTGTGTTAGGCCCAGAGTGATTTCCCCTTATACATGTAAATGGTACAGGATGGAGGGCCAGGCATGGAACAGCATTTAGTCAATTGGATTTTACGAAAAAAGATATCCTGTAGACCTGTACATGTAAAAGAATCTTTGACAGTTGGAATTCAAGTGATGCCCGGGCAAAATTTCTCTCATAGCACAAAGTATGGCGCATTCCCATCTTCATTAACCTGGTTGCTGAAGTTAAACCCCATTTTAATGATTCATTCATTTTGTTAAAATTTCAATCGTCAAAGTCTTTTTTTTTTTAATATTAGAATGTAAATTTATATTTTTCAGAAAGTTGAGGAGGCCTCAAACTTGGCTGCTGATGTTGCCTTTAGTTCTGGGGTTAAAAGTACTTCAGGTCGGCAACGAGGAAAACAGTCAGCTCTTCAAGCTAAAGAAAAGCTTCTCTATCATGATGAAGCATGTACAGAAGGTAAAAAGACGGATTATTCATGTAAATAGAAATGAAATAGGGTTTAATGTCCTACTGTTTTGCTCTGAACTGGGCTAATGAAGACGGGCATACGCCATACAGTGTGCTATGAGGAAAATTTTGCCCGGACAGCGGCACTACGGTCTACTCTTATATCGAATTCCAACTATCAAGGGATCTTTTATGTGCACACCAATGTGTACACCGGACCTCAGTTTTTCATCTCATCCGAATGACTAGACAGCTGTCCTTGTCAGGCCCTCCGTCCTGCATCACTGATAAGGGGGAACCACGCCCGAAAATCGGGATGAACTTTCTCTGCCAATCTAGGGATCAAACACCCGACCTCCAGACTAGCGAGCCAGCGTCTTACCCACTTAGCCACCGTGGTCCCTCATGTAAATAGAGCAAAGTGGGGTGGAGCCAAAGGGACTAACACATTTGTTTTAGATCATAAGGTCTGTCATTGAGGGAAGTGGCAAGGTTTTGATCCCGGCCTTCTACGTGCCCTCATAGGTTTTCTCTGTGTCCGATTTCCTTCTACTGATGTTGAATTTTATCCATGAATTTTATTATTGTCTGATTGTTTTGATTTTCTTATTTTAGCTGAAGAGTTATTAACACAATGGATGAATGAGAAAGTGATATTAAATGATGAGATAGATGATGAGTATATAGCAGATGTCTGGAATCAGAGAACAGTAGAGAGTGATGTAAAGAAAGAATGGGATTATCTATTAGCTGATGATGAAGATGGCCAGGAAGAAGCCTATAAAATGGCAATCAGTAGAAAACGTTCAGAATCACCCGGTAAGATATCTCAGATTCTAAGAAGAATTATAGTAGTATTTGTTACTATTTTAAAATCGTTAGCTCTTGATGTTACATGCAAGCGAATTATTGAAATAAAATTGAACCGTGTGTTGGTCTCGAAATGACCCGATTTGTGTCGAGTGGATGTTAAACCCCATCTCTCTCTCTCTCTCTCTCTCTCTCTCTCTCTCTCTCTCTCTCTCTCTGTGCTCTGGCTGTTATCAGAGAAAGTTTCACAGGATTTTGATGCAATGGTTTCCCCATGTCAGTGGTGTAGGACAGAGGGCCTGGCAAGGAACAGTGTATAGATAGCTTTTAGGATGATACATAAAACTGAGGTCTTGTGTATGCATTGGCATGGACATTAAAGAACCCTTGACACTTGGAATCTGAAATAAGAGTAGACGGTAGTGACACTGTTCATGCAAAATTTCCCCATATAACCGTGCATGGCATTTGCCTGCCTCCTTTAACCAGGTTGAGTTACTATTGTACATCGTCTCATGGAACACATAACTAATTGTGCTTTTTACTTGTACCATTATGGAAGGGAGCTTGAAATCATAAGGTCTCTCATTGAATTAAGTGGCATGGTTTTGACCCCAAGCTTACCCCATGCTCTAAGTAGTAGGGTTAGTCTGACTTACCTTGTGGATATTCTCAGGGTCCTCCAGTTTCCATTAACTGCTAGAGACCCCTACTTTATATCAGTCTTAGATTCACCATCTTTATTTGATCTCATTCCCACCTTTTTCTCATAGATCCTTACAAGCATCTATATGACGATGATGAAAGTGAGGCTGTGGCGTCCATTTTACAAAATATGATGAAAAAAGATGTTGTCAAGGAAACATTTAAAAAGGATCTTGGTTTTGAAGAAAATAAACCTGATCCGAGGCTGAAAATGGAACTTAGACATAAACAGGTAGATAAGTAAGATACCCGAGATACTCTTAAATCCAATAAGACACAGAACATGAATTGTGATGGAGATTTAAAGGGACAGAATTTCTTTGATTTGAGTGAAGAACGAACATGTCAATCAGATTTTATATTATTCACAATAATCATATATTTTGTGAGATGTTTATCTTTTGAATATACATTTATAATGGAAGTCAATTAAATAAAATCAAGCTTTTTTTCTGGTAATTAGTTGATAATGCTCATTACCATTGCATCAGGAATATGAGGCTGAAGTTTTGTTTCTGACCTTTTTATGTAGAAAAGAAATTAAAGAATTTCTATAAACATTCTATAATGCTCAATATTGTCCCTATCTATAACTAGATAATAACATCTGTTTGAGTAACAAATTTGCTTTATTCGGAAATAATCAAATTTCTCACAGTGTAATTCGTGCTATTATGTACTCATATGGTGGTAGGCTTGTTTACATAGGGAGAAGCATAGATTGATGGAATTTCAGTACATGATATCTTTGTGAATACTGAACAAAATTGAGTCGTATATGAACTGTATTTCAGGTAAAAGAAAATCGTGAAAAGAGAGAAAAGGAAATAGAAAACGCTAGAAGAGAAAAACAATCTAGAAAAGATGCTCATCTTCAGGCCAAGAAAATTGTTCTACAGGTAAATATAACATGTTTTGATTATTCATGTTTTTCTGTTCGGACTTGGAAAATGAAACTTTGATTTTTAGTTTCAATAATATCTACTTTTACTGCCATTGTCTTGAGGTTATTTCTTGCCCTGCAGCTTCTGAATTCCTTGTCCAATTTAAAATTCCATTTGGCTATAAGTATTGATGCCAACCATGGTGGCTGAGTGAGAAGGGTGCTGGCTTGCTAACCTGAAGGTCCCCAGTTTGAATCTGGTATTAACAGAGTAAGTTCTTCTGGATTACTAGAGTGGTTTCCCTTTGTCTTTGGTAATGAATAACTTCTAGTTGACGTGCACCTAAAAAAGAACACTTAATAGTTTGATTTCAAATTAGCATAGTCTGTAGTGCTGTTGTCCAGGCAAAATCTATCTCTTAGCACCACTGCATGGCATATGTCTGTCTTCATTAGCCCTGTTGGTGCCGGATAGTAGGATGTTAAACCCCCATTTAATTTTAATAGTGGTGACACGTGTTGTACACCAGGTAGAGTATGCTTACTATTTTAGAACACCTGATACTACTTCATCTTGCTAATTATTGTTTTCTAACCTTAATTGAATTTCTTGACAGGATATATTTTCTGATTTCTGGAACATATTAATGATATTAATATTCTAGGAAGAAAAGGAGAAAGAAGTCAAAAGTAAACGAGAGGAATTTGAAATTCAAAAAGAAATGGTGAAAATACGTAAACAATTACAGGAGGAAAGACAAACCAAGGAGGAAGAAAAACTAAGGTTTGATAAATTTTAGTTTTAAAATAGTCACCAGAGCAACTGTTGAGCTTTAGGTCTTTTTTCTAGGATGAAGGATAACAAATTATTGGATCCACTTTTTTTATCTTATGAGATGTATACACTCTGTCACATACCATAGTTTAACGTCCACTCAACACAAACTAGGTTATTTTGGGACTAACATAATAATGTGCTACAATATTATTTCAATAATTTGCTGGTACGGAGGGGTCTTTAGCACTAAAAGGAAACTGGAGCACCCAGAGAAAACTTGCGAGTGTAGTGAAGACCCTTGTCCATGTCATGCACAAGTGTGGGATTGAAACCACTCCAATCACAGTCCTTTTGATCTAAAGCATATACGTTAGACCATTCGCCAACCTAACCCCCAGTTTCATGCAATATGGAGTGAATAATTGTACTGTAATTAATTATTTGTAATTGTTTTTGAAGGAAAAAAGAAGCAAAGCTGGATAAAGAAATGAAAGCCCGTCAAGACTGGGAGAAACAGAGACAAGAAGATGAGATAAAGATGCTAGAACATCAACGAGCAATAGATGAACGGAAAAAGATCGTCATGAAGAAAATGTCAGAAATTCAAACTAAACAAATGTCTAAAAATCTCAGGGTAACTTTGATTTGTATCTAACAATCGCCTGACACAAGTACAAATTAGATGATTTTTGGTGATGTCAAACGATTTTTACGAATTTTTAAACAAAGATTTGATATTCAATTAATGTGAAAGAAATTAGTGCTAAATACACAAGATTAAATAATACCCGGATTACAGTGTTTGAACCATACATAATCCAAGAGCAGATTAAGAGGGATCGAAAGTATGCCAATTGACTCAATAACAGACCTTATTATATAAAGCGCACATTAGATCACTCAACCACTTATATATTTTCAGGCATTCATGGGAGTCAGAATAATTTCAGATTTTATTAGCCATATATTTTAATATGTATTTGATATTTTTAGATTCTTCATCAACATTTTACTGCGTGGTATGAATTGATTCTACAGAAACGTTTAGTTCTGGGAAAGTGTCGAGCAATGTCTGACTGGAAACTATTACTGCGAGCCTGGAATGCATGGAAATCTTACAGTCGCTCAAAAAAACTGGATAAAGAAACTAGACAACACGAAAGAAATATTCTAGAGAGTCACAGGTTATTTTCAGTTTCAATGTTCTATTAACATTTTTCATACCATATCTAATGTTTAACAGCTAATTCCACACTTAATGTAATCAAATTATTATTTATCATTCGGTTAAGAGAATAAAATAAAATATCAACGACAGATAATCTCCCAGCTTTGTTTCATATCCTTATGGTCGGCAGCAGTGGATGCCAAATATGGATAAATTTTCAGATTTTTGGACCGAAACGCCTTTTAGGGATTAAATTTTCACAATATTATAGTTTGCAAGGGAGTAAAAATTCTTCAAATAAACGATGAGAGATTTCAATAATCTAATTTACAAATAACAGTCGAATACAAATTGTTGCACAATCCAGTCACTGAAAACAATATAGATGTGCAATGGACATAGGTTTGACTTTCTCTAGGTCTTTAGAATTTTGTCCTGCTGTAAAAAAAGAAGTCCTAGCAACCCGGACTAGAAGAGAATGGCCTCCCCCTCGTCTTTGCACAATGCATGTACATTCCCTCACAACTGATGCAGTCATTCACTGTCAACATAATGTCTGTGATATGATGAGGAGAACTGTCAGTTATCGTAAATAAATGAATCCACGGTACGTGGCACATGACTGTGACACAGAAAATCAACCGATCGAAAATTCTTATGGCGCAATATTGACAATAGTTCTCATAACGTTTTGAAAATCTTATGATATTCTAGCCCACCCTGGAATGGGAAGGAAAATGTTAGACATTGCTTACACCAAGTCTTAAGGATGCCAGCTTTCATAGGTAACTAATAACTCTATTAATGGCAAAAATATTATTTATTTGGGACCTAGTTAGATTCTTCCCTTTTGTCATTCCAGAAAAAATCAAATTGCTAATAGACATTATAAAACAGTTCTTGTACAGAAATATTTCACAGCTTGGTTGCTATGGGTACAACAAGAACAGGACAAGCATGACCTAGAACAGGCACAGGAAGTAACAAGGCAAAAAATGATGGCATTATTACAGAAAGCAGCAACAGGCCAGTTATGGCAAGGTGAAGAGAACCCCAATGAAGATAAGAAGATTGATAAAACACATAATGGTTCTCAGTCAGCTCGACATGCAACAGATAATCAAAAAATTGTAAGTAGGGCTATGTATAGAATTGTAAGTAGGGCTATGTATAAAATTGTAAATAGGGCTACGTATTTTAATTGTATGCAGAGCTATGTATCAAATTGTATGCATAAGATTGTAAGTAAGGCTATGTATAAAATTGTATGTAGGTCTATGTATAAAATTGTGAGTAGGACTATGTTGGAATACGAAGTAATAGTAGGCTGTAGCATTGCTGTCCAGGCAAGATTTCCCTCATAGCCCTAATGAATACCAGAATGAAATTCCTTCAACAAAACATCTAATGAATTTACACATTGTACAAGATGGGGCAATATTAAACGATATCAAATATCGCCCACTCCTCCACAGTAGTAAATAACAACAGATATTTATCAATACAGTTGGAATATTTTACTCCACAAGCCAGGAAATTTCATAATCTTAAAGGGGTATTATGGAAGATTAGATTAAGAGATGGCAGTTCTCACTATAATAGGTAAAAACTATATAATGTAAAGGAAATTTGCTGAAAATTTCAGTCAAATTGATTCACTCTGAACCAAGATTTTAACTTTTGAATTTTACGCTTGGCCTTGATCATCATTATTAAAATCGGTACGATAAAAAAAAAACATAGTCCTGATTATCCATTTTTGGATTAAATCATCAATGAGCTTTGAGCAGCAAATCGGATTTAAATCCAGTAAATATTGCAGGCTAGCAATGACATTGAGAGTTGATTATGGTCTGGATAAGTTAATTAATGTCTTATTAATATTTTAGATAACATTTCAGGCCGAAAGAAAGAACTGCAATAGGCAGATTTAAGATTAATTTTGTCTTTTTTTAATATCTTATAGGATGAATTTTTTGCCCAGAATGGTCAGAAAAAAGCTGTAGCAAATAATCAAAATGGACCCTTTTCATCAAAAAGTGACTCTTCATTGTGTAAAACTAAAAATGTCCCTCCGCGTGTTCCAACACAGGCATGGCAAGTGACACGTAAACATTTAAATCTAACCAATGAGGAAATAGCTAGTCTGGGAGGTGGTGATATTGACGCTAACTCAGAGCATTCTGATAAAAGTATACGGAAAAGGTTTGGAACACAGCCGTGGATGAATACTCATTTTGTTGTGAATAATTTTGAACATAGATACACTGCACAGCAAAAGATTTTAAGTGAGCAGCAAAATCAATTAAAAGAACAGAAACGACTCATAGAAGAACTTCAATACACTCAAAAAAATCAACTGTTAAAAAATCAGTTGACTGAACCACAGAATATAGATAACCTCACCAAGGAGGAGATAACTCTAAGAACAGATAGTGGTGGTGCTAGTAGTAACCTAAATACATCCAGAACTAATTCAACTTTTAAATCGCCAACTCCAAGGTTAGAGAGTATTATATTAGTAAAAATGTTTATGTAGTGTAGACAACAGTCAATATATGTGTGTTTGATAAAACGGTGAGTGTACAATGACAGGTAATGCATATGATGATAGATTATATCAGCACTGTTGTATAAGTCACAATATATCAGTAGAGGATCATAGCCCTGTTATCGATAACAGTTCCATTATTCATGTGGGACAGAAATGAGGTCTATGTCAATGAGTTCAGAGAAGAGAAGGTAGATACGCTGATTGTGAGCCAAATTCTACTACCTCCTTTCCGCACAAACATTGAAATTAAAATTACATATCTGTATTGACGAGACAATAAAACCTGTTCCATTGATTGTGAATAACTGTTAATTTCATAGTCCAATGTAATTAAATCCAGTTCTTGCAGCGATGTTCCCCCCCCCCCCCAAAAAAAGGCTAAGGCTCTGCCAATACAAGTATGAGCAACATGAAACTTGACATGCCTATTCCTTGGACAATTGTGGAAGTATTGACAGACTCTGATTTTTGATATGATGTCACAATTTCAAGAAGATCGATGCGTTGATATCACGTTTGGTTCCTGGTTTATTAGTACGCTGTTCATTGAAATAGTACATTCCTACTTGTTATCTCATTTTGTGCAAGTTTTCAAAGCATTTGTCTTCTGTTAAGGTATTTAAATTTCAACATCTATAGTTATATCATAGCAGGTGGCAGACTTGAGTGAAAGGATATAGAAAGTAATACTATAATCATATCCCAGTTAGATCAAAATTTTAATACTGCAGATATTGTTGTTTCAGATCTGTCTGTACAGCTAGAAGTGATAATACTGAGATATCAACAGCAACAACAAACCTAACTAAAACAACCAACAATTCAAAACATTCACAAATCATGAAAAGTAAGATAATTATTGTTCAGTTAAAGCTTAGATAAAGTAAGATAATTCAATTGAAGATTACTTTCAGTCAGATAATTATAATTCAATTAAAACTTAGTTAAAGTAAGATAATTCAATTAAAACTTAGTTAAAGTAAGATAATTCAATTAAAACTTAGTTAAAGTAAGATAATTTAAGTTGGATAATTACAATATTATAATTTAATTAAAACTCAAAGTTAAATAATTATAGTTCAATTATAGCTAAGTTAAAGTCAGATAATTATATTTATAATTCAAATTATAGATATGGAAGAGAGATCAGCAGAGAGAGCAAGGTTAAAACGGGAACGAGAAGAAAAAAGACGATTAATGGAAGAAGAAAGATTGGTCAGTAATATTTTTTTGTCTATTTGATTTAGAATGTTCAAACTTGGTCTTGTTTGTCATTTTGTGAATGCCTTGACTGAGTTTGATGATAAGCATTTTCTGCTTAATATGTTAGATCAGCAATTTCATTGGCTTAGACCATGTGACTCAATACCTCTCCTTTAAATTGAGGTAGATTGTTCAAACTTGGTGCAGATGTTCATTAGCTGAATCTTGACCAAGTTCGATGCTGAGAATTTTCAAACCCCTCAATAGAACTAACCAATTTAATTGGACTATTTTAGACCGATAATTTTAACATCACTGGGGCATGTTAAGTTGTATTCTATAGACTCTCTCTTTGTTGAAAGTAATCAGCCTACAATGTGTTTTGTCTTGTCCACATTTTTGTTTTTTGGAGTTCTTTTAAATTTTTGTGTGTATTGAATGAATCTTGTCTTCAGCAGCCCATTTCTTTATATTTCAACATTTTCAATTGACAAAATAATATATTTTATGTGAAATTTTCAGACTAAACTGAAAGCTGAAGAAGAGGAGAGAAAAGCAGAAGAGGAAAAAGAAAAGAAAGAAAAAATTGAAGCTTACAGAGAAAAGAAAAAACTTGAAAAACAGGTAACAGGCTTTATTTATGTTTGTTTATTTCTTTTAAAGGTATATATCTGTAACTCAATAATATACATAATATTCAATATTAAAAAGTTAAACCGGAATTCAATATTGGTCTATTTCAGTCAATATTGATTTTGTTATCTTAAGGCAACACAAATAAAATAACTTGTTTCTCGGGCACCGCCCGCACGCAAAATTGGTTGCGCGTGCAGTCTATTAGTCTTGATGAAAAAAAATAAATATGTAACGCCCGCCCGCACATCGACAAGCAAGTCGTAAAAAAAATATCCCGCATGTACCTACATCCGCCATACATGTATATCTATTCAAATGTATTAAAACTGATTCAGATGAACATGCTGTCTTTTTTATCCGAACAATGGCGAAGTTTGGCAGATTTGCCTTTTTTATTGATATCGAAAGAACCTCCATTTTGTATCACGTGATATTAATTACCTCCCCTGATAAACTAGAATTTGATTCGTGTTAAAAGTCATTGGCGACAATATTTCAATCATTCGATCGTAATCGGCTCATTATTGCCGGCTTCAGTCGGTCCTTGTTTGGAAAATCCTATTGATAAAATAATGAACCGTAGAACAGGTTAATTAATTATAGCTAAGAATACGATACGATGACGATAGTCGTCATAATGCATACCTTAGAATCTGGGTCATTATTAGCACATTTACGGTAGTTTCGATAATCCGGAAAATAATAATTGGATTACCGATTTGATGGTTTTACTGACCAGTTGTTAGTTAGATTTAAATAGTCATTCAATATAAACACCGGATAGAACACCGAATATCCTGAGAAACACACCGAATATCCCAAGAAACAGTATTTCCGGCAATCTCCAATACCGATGACACGGTGTGACATGCATTGGTTGGAATTCGGTAAATAATTATAAATAATCCGGCGATACTAGATTTAGTTTTAAATACTGTTTACCATGATTATTATTTTTGATACACCTGGTGAAAGAGGCTTAGTTTTTAAAAATATTGTTGTCTTTATGGAGGGCTATTACATAGTCGTATGGAATTTTATTTTAAACCAATTTCAATTATGTGAATTAAATATGGAAAATTATTTTCTTTTCAGTCAGTGTTCAGTCTCAGTGTTTTAGTAGACTTGATTTTGGGTTTATGTTTTAAGTATGTACAATAAAGTTGAATATAACGGAAAGCAAAAACGTAAACAAGTAATGACTTTCTCATTTAAAAAAAAAAAAAAAGAAAGACCGCCCTCCCGCCCCAACAATTTTCAGCAATAGCCAAATTTTATTTTGCACCATCAATGAGTAAGAAAAAAAAAGAAACCGCCCTCCCTCCCTACAGTTTCAGCTGTCAGTTGCCCGAGAAACAAGACATTTATTTTGTGTGGCCTAATATGAAGACATGTGCTCCTAATAATATATTCATGATAATATGAACATTTTAAAACCAGTTCCTGACAACGGGTTCTGTATGATATCGAGCACCATTTGTAATAAACAAAGCAAAACATATCCCATTTTCATCTACATGTATTTTAAGATTCTAGGTTTGTAAGAATCAACCAGTTTTATTCTGAAATAAATCAGGGACTGTAACTTTAAAAAACAAAAAAAGCATCAGTAAATTACTGAAATTTATTATGTTTTTGTTTCTATTTACATCATCTTTTTTTTTTATTTTCTATTTTTAGAAAGAGATTGAGAAACAAGAAGAAATGGAGAGAATGAAAGAATTAAACAGTAAAGCTGATAAACATTATATTGGATCTGTGATGAAATATAGAGGTTTACTACCCATGATAAAACTAGTTAATATATCTAAAAGTAATGAAGAGAAGGCCTACAATCATTATACATCAGTTATAACAAGGTACATTGTTATCTTTAGTAATTTCTAAATATATCTGTGAGTTTGGCCAAAAATATTTAATTTGATTTCAGATCTCCAAAATTACCTCAGCACTGAATGCGTAAAGCCGATGAGGGGAGCTTCGGAAAAAAAAATTGAATGATGTAGATGCCATTTCTGGCCATCTTGGGTCCTCGGACCCCCTAAATTCACCCTGAGCAGGAGGGGGCCTGTACCCAGAAATATTGTAATGTAGGTTATAGAGTAAAATCCACTAAAGTTTTGCTGCTTTGTAAATGAAAAAAGAAGCCTATTGACTTTCTACTATTTTCAGTAATTACTCCCAGACTATCGGCCGTTGATAACTTTAAAAAGTAAATCATATTTTCAATTTTCATTTAATAGGAAAGTTATGATATCATGGCATGAATACACAGCACAATCCTTGTCAGAGAAATATAAAATGGCTGATCAAATGAGAAACTTTCTTTTAGTTAAACACAGCTTTAGAAATTGGAGTAGGGTGAGTTGGGACTAAATAATATTTTATGACTAGTATAATCGTTTCTAACAGGTAGCTTAATAATAAAGTAGTAAAATGGGGTTTAACATCCAACTTTTCTGCTGCACTCGGGCTAATGAAGACGGGCATACGCCATGCAGTGTGCTATGAGGGCGCTACAGCCTACTCTTATTTCAAATTCCAACTATCAGTCTAACAGAACCTCAAATGGTCTAATTTGTGCATTTTAGATCATAAGGCCTGTCATTGAATCAACTAGAGTGGTTTCAATTCCAAGCTTATAAATCACAAGAATTGGGGTCGCCTGTTCTGTTTTGTTGGTTTTCTCCCATTTCCTCCCAGTGCTAAAAAAGATCCATACGTGCAAGCCAATTATTGAAATAAAAGTGAATCATATGTTAGCCCTGAAATGACATAGTTTTGTTGAGTTGATGTTAAACGCTGTTTCTTTCCCTCTCTCTTTGTATTTCTGGTTACACCATAATCTTTCTTTAGTGGCTATACATAACGTCTATTACTATTTTACGAGAATGGTCAGTCTTGTCTTATCTTCGGTATTACTAGTCATATTGTTCCATTCTTCTCAACTAACTCCAGGGTTCATTCTCGGGGCAGAGACATAGTCAAATTATCTGCACTTTATAATTGTGCTATTTTTATCGACCAATCAAAACTATAAAGCGAGTGAGCAAAGGGAGGTAACTCACATTTTTTTAAAATTAAGATTGCAGAATCATTATTTTAAGCTTTGACAAAATACTTTAGGACACCTTTTTGTGGGCATGTCACTTCTTTGATATTAAATTTCTGACAAAGTTTCTTATAATCGAATGTACAAGCTTCGGTATTGTGGTGAACATAAACATTGATGAAAAGACCAGTATGTAATCTGGCCAATGAAATCATTAAGGGCAGATAATTTTAATTTGTGAATCCACCCAGGGGTTAGTGGAGTAAAACGGTACAATACCACTCGGGATACTGAGGGATGGTCTTATCTAGTCTCTAGGACGCATTTATGGTATACAACTAATATTTATTACTGCTGAGCGATGTTTTGACAAGGCTTCTCTAGTTTTTATCAAGGAATTGTTCTACAACATAAAGTCAAAGTGTGATGGGACATTATATATAAACAATATTATTATTTAGTTTATATTGACCAATAAATACCATTGAAACAATTTACATGGATAAAGTATTTATTATTATATATGTATAATATTTCAGTATAAACATCATATGAGAATATTAGAGGAGAGAGCTGATAAATTTTTTGAGAGAAATGTTAAATCTAGGATTGTCACCGTTTGGTTAGATTATGCTACAGAAGAAAAGATGCTCTATTGGCAGAAAGAACGACAAGCTAAAGAACAATATTTAAGGTAAATTTTTATGCTAAGTTTGTCAGCGATATCACTTTATATAGCTATTTCACACGATCAGTTTTTATAGTTAAATTTGCTTGTGAAGAAAAGCCGTAAAAGTAGCTTGTTTCTTTCTCCCATTACAACATTTTTATGTTGACTATGAATAATATTACAGGTATTTACAGAAGAAAACATTCCGAGCCTGGAGAAGATTACCAGAAGAGTTACTGGTAGAAAGAGAGAAAGAAAAGAGAAGAGAAGAAATGAGACAGAAAGTAGCCTCCATGTTGCCTGACTTTGAGGGAGTTGTTAGAAAGAGTAATGGTATTGTATGATGGTGTCTGGAAGATGCAGTAAAAGAAATTGTCTCTTTTCATTTTATCAAAAATGATATCATCCTGTTTGAGGCGAATTAAGAATCATAAATTGTGATTAAATGACTTTATCAGGCTTTCATTTTACATGGTTTTGGAAACAGAGTAAGTTCTATATCGTTTCAGATACCCTGTTGTCAGTAACAATGTGTTTTGCAGAAGTTTTGCAAATTCAATCGCGAAATGAAATAAAATGGGGTTTGTCATCCTACTGTTCTGAACCAACGTGTCTAGTTAAGACCTACTCTTATTTTGAATTCCAGCTGTAGGATTCTTTGATGTACACAAAAATGTTTAGTTTGTGTACACAGGACCCGTTTTCCGTCCCATTCAAATGACTAGACACCGTTCCTTAACCAGACATCTGTCCTACACCATTGAAGAGGGTAAACCACACCAGAAAATCCGGAGGAACTTGCTCGGCCACCATGGCTTCCAAAGTTGTATTGTAAATTCTTGATTAGAATATAATACAAACCCATGTGGGCAATATTCCTTGATCTTTAGAGGTTATTGGGTCATTATAGAGGTTGGTGCTCTGCATCCGCGAAATTTACTGTGAAATTGTCTAAATCTACCAGATGAATATTACATGTTTGTATAAAGAAAATATATTATCTAAATAAATTTAGTCCCTCATCCGATTTGTCTCAATATAAATCAATCCATCCATCTCTGGTCATTCCAGTTATTGTATTTACTGCTGATTATTTATATCATCATGTTATAGAATTAAACATTTTGTTGATCATTCATCTTGTTTGTTCATTGGGTCTTATTGCAATCCATTATGTAAGCACATCCAGTACTGTTCACCAGACTGATTATGGAATAGAAGTTATGTATGCATTTGAATATTCTGTTGAAACGTAAATGAAAAAAGTGGTCTGAAACCGTGTGATTGAATGACATAAAAAGTTATGTCCCTTTATTAGCCTGTGACACAAAATTTTGGGAAAAGCATCCCTGGGTCACAGGAATATGTCATTGAAAATTGCCAATACAGAAAAATATTGTTAAACTGTGTTACTATTTCTTTGTCAATATTCCATATCAGTTACTGATGGGTCTGAAAGTTGTTTTATAAGTCAACGACAATGCCAACTGGAATTGTGTTATTCACAATTATGTAGTAGTACCCATGGCCTGAACAAGAAATTCTCCAGATATCTCTGTTTTACATTCTGATTGGCTCTGCATGTCAACAAATCTGACCTTTGACATTGATTAGCATATTGTCATAGCAATCATGGAGGCAGCTAGAGCTATACAGCTGTTCAGGTCATGATATATTTCGAATTATCAACATCTTGAGATTATAAATTATTGCTAATATGCAAGGGTTGTTATAAGTGAACCAGTTTACATAGCAAGTGTTGAGTTAGATATTAATAAAATGACACAAGACTACAATTAAACGGTCCTATAATATGGAGAGCTATTCAGATATCTCTGGTGGTTTCAGGCAGTCTAAGCAACAGATTTGTGAAATTTCACGTTCAGACTGTCCAGAGATATATCGATATGAACTATTATCACTTTTCTCTAATTTTCCCCAAGGAATTAGGGTAGCCAATATTTACATGTACCGGTAACAACAGTTCCAATTCACAACCCTAATGTCATGTCTGTGTTGAAAAAAGTGGGTATTTGTACATGTACACATTAAATCTGTACTTGTGCAGTTAAAGATAATAGAATGAAAATGTAATAAATGAACCCAATATTTTATTTCATATAACCAACATATACAAGTAATATATATTTTATTAATTAGAATAACAGATGTACAAAAATAACTTTCCAAAACTGTGGATGTCATGAATCTACAGCTGAATACAACACCTAGGTTTGGCTACCATTTCATGATAAATACATAACTGAACAGGTCATGAATGGGAGAACCCAGGGGTAAATAAAAGGTTATCTAGAGTGCAAATTAAGTTATGGGCCTCTTAATAAAATTTATCACACAAGTTCCTCTTAATAAATAATTATCACCTGACCTCTTTTGCCCTCAGAGCATTGGTCCAGAAACCTTTGGCCTAACTCAATCCAGATCAATACCAATATATATATATATATATATATATATATAATTAAGGATGTATTACTTAGTATTATTTCGACTCCTGTCTCATTCACAACACATATTTATTTATTTATTTTTGTGGTTTTCAAATTAGAAATATGATTATTGCTATGACCTTCATGCAAGATTTTCTATTTTGTTAGAATTTAGTAATCCTGTGTGACTATAAATTACTCTGAAAAGCAAGAAATGAAATAGGGTTTAACATCCTAATGTTCTGCTCCGAACTGCAAGAGTTAACAACTAGGAAGGGAATTAAATGTGTTACTACTAATTGGCACCAACTTTCAAGCATTATTTCATTAAACAAAACACCATAATGATCAAATTGTCTATTGCATAAAAGACTATGTAATGATTTTCAATACAGAAACATAAAAATAATAATACATTGTAAACTAACAAGATTCATAATAATACTTTTATAGAATAACATTAACAATCCAGATGACATGTGATATAAATACGACAATATGAAGCATCTGTATGACAGAATTCTCATCAGAATCTGAGTAAAAGTTAAAATTTTGTAAAAATAAACATACAGGCTTTTTTCCCCATAAAATCTAACTTTAAAAGAGTTAAAGGGCACCATCTTTCTTAAGTCAGCACCAATGAAAAGGCATAACCATTAAAAATGAGACCCTGTGTTCCCTATTTTCATTATGTTCCCATCTCATAAATTGAGATTCTGTTAATATCTTTCCTGTTTCATCAATCATTACATATTTTTTTTTCATTAATTCAAAAACAAGATCCTTTCTTATTTCTCTATACACCCCATCCAAAATACGAGTAATTGAATTTGACTAAACAAGTTTGTTCACTACATTGCAGTTGATATCATTCCAATAATATCCATAAAACTTTCATTCGTTCTCTCATTCATTCATTCATTCATCCAATAAGTTTGACACCTTATCATTGAGGTTAAGATAAATACATGTGATTTACTTTGACTAAACAAGTTTGTTCACTATATTGCAGTTATATCATTCCAATAATATCCATAAAACTTTCATTCATTTATCCAATAAGTTTGACACCTTATCATGGAGGTTAAGATAATTCAAGGATTGCACTGCTTCAAATGTTTGGAGATTTTAATTCCTGATAACTGACAAACAAAATCTTTAAATTGCACAGAAATCAAAATCTGTATGTGCATTTAAGCTTCAAAGCAGTAGATATGTATAAACTGAAGATGTATAGAAAATGTCTTGTATCACATCTCCACACGTTCTGCCATTATAACATCGCTTCTTTGATACCATGCACACCCTGTTTTTACTGATATAATGTTTATACAGTTTCTACACTCTGCATCTCAATATCAAATCCATCACCATCTTCAATCTGTGGTCTGTATAGAGTAGCATGGGCCATTATCACAAAAAATGATGCACCTGTAAACAAATACAATATCAAATACATCATTCCCTTCAAATCAAACAAAAGTTCATTTTTCAGATTCTATTTCTATATGCATTCCTTATTACTCAATCCCTACAGTATTTCATACTTACACCATTGTTAAAATATAATATAATATTTTTTTCTATAGTATATCTTAATAACGCCATTGTTGAAATATAATATTTTAATAATGACTCTGATTATTAAAAATTACAAGATAACTATCCTATCCTATACAAAGAAACAAAAGCTAGAAATCTTATTAACTGTATTTAATGTTGTGAAGCACTCAACATGTGACTTACCTATGATCCAAAACACTGCAGACCCCGCTCCTGCTAACCAAAATAGTGGGAACGATCCTACTCCAACTGCTGCATACTGTTGTGCTACACTAATTTCACGACCTGGAAAACATTTTTTATATTCATATACTTATGTATAAATTTTCACATCTGATGAGGGTAATACTGTAGGGTACTCCAGCATGTATTCTTATCAGATGTAATGCATTTCAAGGATAAGATTTTACAAGCTTTAAGTCTAAGGGAAGTGTAAATGATGATTAGTCTATTCAACATTTTCCTTAGAATACTTCTACATGTATTACCGGTATTCTGAGTCTAATAACATGATAACTTTATTTATCTGTATCTATTTGCGACTGTCGTTTGTTGTCTGTGTGGGGTTGGTGACTACATTAGGGCTGCCCAGGGGATGAAATTTAGGGTATAACAGGAGCTTGAGTGACATAGACCTGGTGATGTTGCACTACTACTTCAAGTTTCAGGAAACTCCTAGAAGGAAGAGTTGCAGAGCTCTACTGGTACAACAATGGGTAAGCAGCTAGTAAACAATAAGAATAATATGGAGAATCACCACTGCAATGCAATAAGAAATAATTGAGATTTTCATTTGTATATAAAAAAAAAAAACTATTCTATGATCCTAATTATAATTAAACATGAATTTGCTTGGTATTCTCATAAAATATACTCGGAGTCTTACCCATGATTGACATCTTTTTATCAGCATTTTTTAAACTAATGATATAACAGGCTCCAAGACAGGCTCCAATAGCAACTAGTAACATGGGAGATGTTAAACTGAAATAGAAGTAAAATATATACTGGGTAATTAGCTGTAAATGACAGATGTTGTGCATTTAACAGGATGTGCTAACATTTTTCTAGAACACTCAATACTCCATTTCACTTGATGATTTACATGACTAACACATTGCTGCTGCACTTTTCTTTCATACAATGTTGAATGAACAAACAATTACAGCAAATATTCTGAGCAGTATAAATGGAACTTTGAAAATTTGTTATCAGGTGTTCTAGAAAGTGTAATCACTACTCTGTGCATTTTTTTAGCACAATATTCCGAATTATTAAATTTAGTTATCCATTATATATCTTATAACAAAGTTTATCTTACCTCAAAATATGTAAAAACATTGTAAGACTTGTAATAACTTATGTACAGTGAATCAGTGCTAATAATACAACCTACATGTATATTGTTTGTCACCTGACTGATATATACATGTAAGTATTGTCATCATCATAATTAATATAAGTTTTATTTTTATTTCTAAAGGTAGGCTCCATTCAACAAAATAACCTACTGTAGTAAGACTACTAATGAATGTGTACATTGCATTGTTAATATTTAATTATAGACACGGAAAACTATTTTTAACATTGAGCTTTCATACTTTAAATTTTATACACTTTTTGACATAATTATGTGCTTATTTTTAAGACAGTTCACCACGTTCTCTGATTTGATAACCCTATTTAATCGTACAATTTGACAATCCAATTTAAAATGTTAGAAACACTGTCATCAAATGTTATAGAAAGAATGATGATAAAATTGTAGGTAAATTGAAAAAAATTATTTATACTTACATACAAAAGATTAATAATCCAAGAAATATAAACATGTAATTTCCTTGAAAATATTCAATATTTTTAACGATTCTTTTTGGAACAGGTGCTACAGATTGTGGTAACTTGAAACGATCTGTTTTTATAAATTCTGGCCAAGATTTGACACCTTCCCGTGTTTTTTGGAACCATTCTCTAGCAGAAACATTTGATAATTTCAACGCCATGATTCTGAAAAACAAAAAAAAATTAAATACCTTTGAATTACAAATATTAAATAAAGATAGGATGCCAGGTTACAAATTATTCAATGAATTCTAGACTGATTCTTTAATTTGAATAACTACAGCATCTAAAAATAACTACAAAGTATCGGGGTGGGAGGGGGGTGGAAACACACTATCCAGTTTAATCTCATCTCCATGTACCTAACTAGTTCTAAAGATATCAATTTATTAAGCAAACTACAAGAAAGGTCATGCAGTGTGATATGGGGAAATTTGGCCAAGATAGTTGTCACATCTAAACAACTAGACGCTGTTCTAAGATCACAAATAATCAACAGTACTTTTAATAAAAATGGTCCTACATATCACAAGACTGATTCTTTTGTCAACAGCACCCAAAGTATGCAAGCAATGATCTACAGCAAGGAAAGTTAAGATATGCAATACAAATGCACATTCTACAAATCATATCCAATATTTAAATGATTTCATAAAATTTTTGACAAAATTATGCATAATTAAAATTTGAACAAAACAGTCTTACTAATCACTGAAATTTGTGCCCCATTTTTGAGTTTTACCACTGTAAAATCTCGACTCTACACCTATTTTTTAACTCATTGGAAAATTATGCAAAACAGAAGTTTTGAGATTGAATATTTTTTCAATTTTACAAACAAATGTTTCAGGCAATCAAATGACTGTTTTCTATACAATGAGAAAACCATAGAAAGCCATTACAGCAGTCATTATACTATCAGGAAATAGAATTTATTCACAATCCTCAAAATAGCTCTGTTTCAGTCCTTCATGTTAAAGGTGCGCTTTTGCTCTATTCCTCTCGACGCACCTCAAATTCAATAAGCTAAATTGCTCTTCTAAACACTGAGATTAATAAACTACTTTCAGTTTTTTGTTTATTTTTAAACTGCATACGTTCGAGCTATCAGTTTCCATGATGATAATTCTGAGCTACCATATTCACCAATTTCACCCTCGCTTTCATTCTAATATCAAATGCTAATGTAAGGCAGTATCTTCCATAAGAACATATAAAAAGAATATTAAACAAGACTAAAGCATAAATACAACCGGACTCTCCTTAATTCAAGAAAATGTAGAATTACTCTTGCGATAAAATTAAGACGTTGTTTTTACAGAGTTTTTTTCTCATTCTTGAAATTGACAGGAGTTTTTTATGGCTCCCACCTGATTTCATAAATGTGAAGGACTGCTGTTTATGAAAAGTTATATTTTGCAAATAGGTCCAATCCAAATAAACTTTAGAGAATAAATATATTGATCAGTTTTAGATTGTAATTACTGGGTATTATTAACTCTAATATCAATGAAAAGGGTAAGAAAAGGAGAGGAGGTATTTGGTTATATTTCGCTCGTCATCTGTTTGCAATAATCTGTTACAGTGAATTGCATATGAAGATCACTGCAAAAGAAATTTAGGTTATGATAATATTATAAAGTTGCAGTGCTACACTACTTTGTTTCACAGTAAACAATGAAAAGATAAAAGGTATGCCGACACAAACAGATTTCAACACGGGTTAAATAACATTTTAAAGATACATTGCCCCAAAAGTATTTATCGGGTGGTTATTTCCAATAAAAGTATGGCAAATTTGGTATATATGGAAAGTATATAGACACCCAATTTTACCAGGAAAACACTGAATTATGCAAATAAAAGTCATGGGGCACGCACTGGGCAAAAATGTCAGGGTATCACTAACTAGCAACCTGACTGTTGTCTGCCAGCTTATTGTGTGCTAGCTTGACTGAGGGTGCGGATAGACAGATTTCGGAACATTGAAAGGTGTCAACATACAAAAAACTGCAATTAAACGGACTCAATATGTATGGTAAATGGACAGTAAGTAATGAAAAATACATTCTGAAAAATGGACACTCCCTCAATGAAGTGAGGTGACAGATATGGCTTCTAACAACAGTTTATTTATACTTTGAAGGATTTGAATCAAAATTTTGAATATGTTTTTAGTCCAAATATATCATCAAATCACACAGTTTGTATGCAGGAAAGTATCTTTAACATTTTAAATTACCAATACTTTTCGCTTGTCTTTGCAGCTATTCATAAATAATGTCATGGTATAGAGCTGGACATATTATAATTTATATATTTACATAGTAATAGTAACACTGTGGTTTTAATTGTCTATAGTTACAATTGTCTGTGGTTATGTAGTTACAGATATATTATAGAAGATTAGTTAAAGAGCTGACAGTTCCTACTATAATAGTTAAATAATAGATAATGTAACAGGAATATTCTGAAAATTTCAGTCAAATAACTTTGGTCTAAGTAAAAAAAAATACTCATTTTAAAAACCTTGTAGCCTTAATTGTCACTGTTGCCATTGTGTCGAAAATAAAATAAAAAGTCTTGATTATCCATTTTTGCATTTAATCATCAATGGCTGTTGAATGGCAGATCGGATTCAAATTGGAAGCATCAGATAGCATTGAGAGTTGATTATGGTCTTGTCATGTTAATAAATGTCTAATTAATAGTTTATATAACAATTCAAGTCTAAAGAAAGACCTGCAATAGGCAGATTTAGCTTTTGCATAATGCATGTATTAGTGTTAATCTGTTGTATATGGGTATAATTTAGGAACAATGAGCGGAAAATAATCTCAGAATAGATTAAGAAAATTAACGGGCCATTGTTACTTATTAACTGTTAAGTTGAAGAACTTATAAAAATAAAATGGTTTTCCATTATTTTTCTTTTTGTTATGTCATCGATTTTTCATTTTATAAAACAGGAAAAATGGTTCTGTATGCTATACCTCAGTCCCTCAGATGTGTGCCTGTTTCTCTGATGTAGTTACAGGAAACCAGTACTAGTCAAGGATTATGAGTTTTTTGTGTCACAGTTCATATTATTATTGATGTTAAAAGTGAAGTTACATAAATTATATGTGCTGTTTGGCATTATATGGTTGCAACATTTGAATCAAAGATCGGGGCATTTAGATACATAAATATATACGGTATAATAAACAGGTAAGCCTCCATGAACCTGCCAAGCTAAGCATAATAAATAGACACACAGCTAATGAAAATTACTGTTTTCCATTAAAAAATCTAAAACTACTTGTTCATCAAGGCACACCATCAAGACCATAAGGAAAACAACGTCGCTCACAGATTTTAAAATGTTCATGGTGTCTTAAATATTGGATATCTGATGCCTATATTTTCAGGGTAAGATAAAACATCAATATTAATAAAAATGGACCGATATTAAAGGTGCTAACTGCTAAACCTGTAATTCAATATTTTCCATAGTATTTGAAATTAAAAACACAAATTAGAATCCAATATTGGTCCATTTCAATCAATAATAATGTTGTTATCTTGCCATGAAAATATAAGATCCTAATTTCCAATATTCAAGACCTAATGAACAGTTTAAAATCTGTACACGAGTCATGTACTCTGTGGTTACGGGTGCAATTTGCAATGAACAAAGAAAAACATATTCAACAATCTTGACAATGTGAAAGCAATTAGTAATGGATGGTTCAAAAACGACAAAATAACCATTTTAAAAAAACGTGTATAATAGACTAAGCAGGCAGAAACGACTGCCATTTAATTTGGACCGTCCAAGTATTTCAGTTTACCTTACATAATTGATTGTAAATTACAATAAAAATGTAAAAATTGAATATTATTATTAAATCACTTCATATACCTAATCACTACAATAATATATGTGCTTCTTCCAGAATCATTTTTGTACATTTTAAGGTTCCAAAGAATAAAGCTATACACCCCTTCAATTCCACTTCGTGTCTTTAATTAAGTTTAATTCAGTAATAATTGTAACTATTAATAGAGGAACTGTTTCAATGGCATTTAGTAATTGAACTAGAGTATACAGGTCACAATTCTATGTAATACAATTACTGCTTATTACAGAGCGACGTTTCGACTAGGCTTCTCTAGTCATTATCATAGCTTGATAATGACTAGAGAAGCCTAGTCGAAACATCGCTCAGTAATAAGCAGTAATTGTATTCCATATACCACTCTTGTTGTAACTGAATATGTCCCAATCTTTATTCTGGTCAACAAATTGTACTATTTTACAATATTCCAATTAATTGATACAAATTTCATCTTAACACACCTAATTTTAAAAAATTGGAAAAATTCAACTAAATGATTTGAAAAGCCTGACGTAAAGCTTTTCAAATGTGACTTGGATTTAAATGAAATGAAATGAAATGGGGTTTAACGTCCTACTGTTTTGCTTCGCACTGGGCTAATGAAGACGGGCATACGCCATACAGTGTGCTATGAGGGAAATTTTGCCCGGACAGCGGCACTACGGCCTACTCTTATATCGAATTCCAACTGCCAAGGGATCTTTTACGTGCACGCCAATGTGTACACGGGACCTCGGTTTTTCGTCCCATCCGAACGACTAGACAGCTTTCCTTGTCAGCCCCTCTGTCCTGCATCACTGACAAGGGAGAACCACGCCGGAAAATCTGGATGAACTTTCTCGGCCAATGCAGGGATCGAACACCCGACCTCCAGGCTAGCGAGCCAGCGTCTTACCCACTTAGCCATGTGATCCCCGACTTGGATTTAAAAATATTTTTGAACCCTCTGGACAAGTAAAATAGGATTTAATGGATAATTTACACAACAGGTAAGACACTAACACATCTAGTACTTAGAATAAGGCTATTTTTTTCATTTTCTGGAGCTTTCAGCCAGCAAAAGTGTTATTGTCCCTTTAATAGAGGGTTTAGATAGTTCCTTTAATACTAAAATGAACAATTCTGGAAAATGTGACATGGTTATATTCAATCAAACTGTATGGAATATCAATAATTACCACAAACTATTTATTATGTTACCGGTTTAACTCTGCACGAGCCACGAAGTCATCAGTGTGTGATACGACGTCATAACATCACTAATTGTCACTCAGACGAAGCAATTTTATGTTTACTTTAGTTCACTTTCAGTAACTTTTTATCATGAAAGAATAATTATGTTTCATAATTGAAAATGGTATACCTATTCTTGAAGCTTTGTGTCTCTACAACTGGAACCTCAATACGACCTTCTAATCCCTGTAACTTGGAAGAATCATCCATGACAACAACTTCTAGCCATTTGACAACGTGGAGATGACGTCAGATCTACACATAAATTTTCTACGTCACTTTAGTAAATAACAGAATTCATGACGTACTACACACTTCCGATAATAACAAAAGCAGGTGACATAAACAAGCGTAAGGTAAAAAGTTTACGTTCGATATTTTATTCATTGCAGATAGGTAAGCTTAAAAGTATTACGTAGTAAGATGAAAACTGCAATGATGAACTAATCCAATTTCGTTTGACTTTGAACGAACTGTTCTGACCGTGTCATTTGGCAAAATTTCAAAGACACTTTTCACAGCTGATTTATCATTTCGTTGGTTGAGTTTGCTGACCTAATTTCTATGCTGATCTACACTTGCTAATGTTTATTTTTGGATATTTGTTGACTGCATTTTAATAGTTGGAAATTAGAACACGAGACTGTCGCACTGTGTCATTAAACAACTATATTCCAGAGCATTATTGTGGTGCACCAGATTGCGAGAAGAAAAATTGTTTAACGGTACACCCTACTCTGTAATTTGAGACATTATTTATCTGGCTGTACTCATTCTCTAGGCTTAATGCACACAGGCACACAATAGATAAATAGACCAACCTATTCAAATTCTGGTATGTAAATGGTTTAAAAGGGATGGTAAAAGTCAAAAGTTAAAAGATTAACCGTTAAGCTATCCATTTTTTTTTTAAGACCAGAAAGCTTAATTATTTTCAATAGATCTATAGATCTTACTGTGATATAGAGAATTGATACTTTTAATAATTAATTTCTATTTTTATCTTCTTTTCTTTCCATATGGCTTCATTCACAAATTAAATATTTCATGATGCCTATTCAAATTTGAAGTTTGGTCTTCCTGATCTAATTAACTGATAATGGAAATTTTAGAATAGACTTGGCACGCTATATCCTCAATGGCATTGACTGTTATTTTGATTATGATTTCATTGATTTTATAGATAGTCCATTTGTCACAAAAATAAAATTGATTTTTTTCTGACAATGCCATTATAATCAAATCTAGAAGACAATATACATTGAAAGTAAAAAAAGATGTTTGATATTAATAATGTTTTCATTGTTTATAGTGAGCATATTATACGGGTTGGGTTTACTTTTATCCGCGAAGCATAATGTTCTGTTCTTCATTTAATAGACAGGAACTTAATGAATAATGAAAGAAAATATCAGATCATTTAAATATTAACTGACTTTCTTCCCAAATAAATTTGATATAATAATTTATGATTTGATATTTTTTTGTTTTAGATTTTAGCAACATGGATGAAAGAGAAAATCCAGAAGAATATTCTGGTACTAAGACTTTGGTGGAAGCCATTACAGAAAAGTTCTGTGATTCTAGTCTAGAGGATTGTTGTAAAATTTATGTTCCAAAAAGAGGTCCAGCAAAATTATCTGGTAAGTTTTAAGGCATCAGTTCAATTGACTTAGTAAAAATTCTAGTTTGTTATTATGGTCATTATGATGTTATTATTGTTAAGTATATTCAAAGCGATCATTTACATGTATGAGTGACTTTATAATAAGGTGGTGCCATGTCAACTAGAAGTCAGATGATAAGTAGATTTAAGAAAAAAAGAACTGATATGAAAGAAGAATCAAAAATTGTTTAAAGTACGGTAGCTAAGTAGCTAAATCTCTAAAACATTGTCATTCATAAACCAAAAATTGAATTAAAATTATTCAAGAAGCAAAAGTCCTGGTAATCTTTTGAAACAAAAATTTAATCGCTTAGAACTTGGTCTATCACAAATCAATTCAACATGGCTCAGTTATAAACAGTAATTGTATTCCATAGAATTGTGTCCTGTATATAACTATCTGTATGTCAAGCCATGATAAAGACCACAGAAGCATAGTCAAAATGTCCCACAGGAATAAACTAATTGTATTTCATTAAATTGTGTCCTGCGTATGTACATGTACATTATTAATTCCTTAAACGACATCTAGATAACTAATCACAACAAAAACAACACAAAGTACCGGTATCAATAAAAAATTCTCTGTTATTTAATAACAATGTTTGAAAACATGACCTGTACTAACAATTAAAGTACATAGTTATGGAAAAACAGCTACTAGTGTACTTTAAGGCGACATTTCGTAGAGTATTATCTCAACGTGATCAAGCTAATACTCTTCGAAAAGTTGCCTTAAAATACACTAGTAACTGTTTTTCCATAAGTATGTGTTTTTTTTATTATTCTATCCAGTTACTAAATGCAATTTAAAGATTATGACCTGTACTGTTGTGAAACATCTTTAAAATTTTGTTGTGAAGACTGTGTATATAGTGTTTATACATGTGTGTTATTAATATTTTTACTGTAGAATCTGGTGATTTAATAGCAGCACCAAAAGTTTTGAGTTTAACAGATCAACAAATATCAGCTGCTGGGGATGTAGATGAAATCCAAAGAATGTGCACAAATGTTTGTGAACTTGATCTCACTAAAAATCATCTTACTGATTGGGAAGAGGTAAACTGTTTTGTTTTTTGGCCAAAAGTCCTTGTGTCAGTTCTTTCTGTCCGTCTGTTAGGCTAAACCATTTTACTGTCTTCCATAACTACAAAAGCAAATTGGAACAAAATTTCAATGTTACATAGTATACATTGTTGGGATTTCGATAGTGGTCTTCATTATCCATTTATGATTAAATAAACAAATTTGTGGGATGTGTGGATGGAGGAGTGGTCTAATGCATGCTCCTTAGATCATAAGGTTTGTCCTCATTGAGTTCAGTGACATGGTTTTGGTCCCTAGCTTGTACATGACAAGGAGTAGGGTCACTTGCCCAACCTCGTGGGTTTTGTCCAGTTTCGATCTCCAGTTTCCTGCCAGTGTTAAAGACCCCTACTCACAAAAAAATAAGCTTATATCATATGTTAGTCCTAAAATGACCTAGTTTGTGTCATGTTAACGTTAAACCCAATTTTTGTCTCTCTCCTTCAAATTTGAAAAAAATATCTGTAAAGAACATATGACCTGTAAGCTCAATTTTCTAACACATGTGAATAAACATTTGTTTATGGCAGATTATCTTTTTTTCTTCAGATTCTAAAGATTGTAGAAAGAATTCCCAATTTATCATTTTTAAATCTGACAGCAAATGACCTTCAGTCTTCTTTGCAAATAAATGATGATTTGTGTTTTCCTAATGTTAATCAATTGGTTGTTAATAATACTGGTGTGCCCTGGTCTACAGTAGACTCTCTTCTCCAGATGTTTCCAGAGTAAGTACATTTTGCAATAAGTCGAGTATTCTTGGTGCAAAGATCATCTGTTCATTAGTCATTATAAGATATGAAAATGTGTTACAAAAGTTTGTGAATCAAACAATGTAATAGTTTCACCGACAGTATTATGGTTAAGCTGAGTGGGACCCAAACAATCTTTAGTGGGGCCAAAAACGGTACAGACAAATATACCGGTATATGTAGTGTCCTACTCTTGATTCAATAGGATTGGCATGTGAGTTGTGAATGATCACAATATCCCTCACAATATCCCGCTGTATGTAGCGTTGGAGCACACATTTTGAATTTTATTGAGATTATTATTGATTATTATTTCACACCTACACATATCAAATTTGTACAACATGTTGCTTCTGTTGAAAATCAAGTTACTTCTGGTGTTCGAAACACACCTACAAGTTGCTTCTGTTGCAAATCAAGTTACTTCTGGTGTTTGAAGTACACCTACAAGTTGCTTCTATTGCAAATCAGGTTACTTCTGGTGTTCAAAGCACACCTATAAGTTGCTTCTGTTGCTACTCAGGAAACGTTTAGTATGTAAAACTTACGTACATGTACATCTAATTTAATATATCCATCTTTGTTTTCACAGACTGACAGAACTTCATTTGAGCCTTAATAATTATAAAAACATAGAGTTTAACTTTAATCAGCCCTACTCAACCTTAAAAACTCTACATTTTAATGGTAATCAAGTTCATTCCTATGAAGAAATATGCAAGTTTGGTTATGTTTTTCCTAATATGGAGCGGTTCGTAATGGCTGAATGTAAGATTTGTTCCATTGAACCAGAAGAGGTCATACCAAAAGCGTTTCCACGGTTACAGTGTTTAAACTTAAATCATACAGCCATACAAGATTGGAAGGAACTGGACAATCTAAGAAAATTCCCTAATCTAAGAGATGTTCGACTCCTGAACATACCATGTTTTGAGGTAATAGGAAATGTCTTCTTTTGTTTTTATATATAAAGCCATTTCATTATCATTTCAGGTTTACCATTTGACTTTTAAAGTTTGCAAATGCAATACAGATAAGAACTCTTACTTGGAGATTTTAAACTTGAGGTGATTGTTCACTGCAATTAGATTTATATAATTGCTGTAATTGAAGATTTTGAAACTTGACGTGATTGTTTATTGTGGTTATATACAATTGTTGCTATTATTTTTGTAGTCATTAGAGGATAATTTACGTCGTCAACTACAGATAGCCAGATTACCTAATTTAACGCATCTTAATGGTAGTCATATTCACGAATCTGAGAGAGAAGATGCTGAACGAGCTTTCATAAGATATTACATGGATCGTGATGATAACGAGAAGCCAGACAGGTAAATAATATAATAATAGGTGATAGCACCAGTTATAAAAAAAGATAGAAATGGAATTTATGGTTTATCTCTTTTTTAACAACCACTGGGGGGGGGGGGGGGGGAGAGCAGCGAAAACCCACAAAGTTAGGCAAATGTCCCTATTCTACAATGATGGGATCAAGTTTATAGCCTGTGAAATGACATGGGGTTTAGCACCAACCGGGCTAATGAAGACAGGCACACGGCATGCAGTGTGCTGTGAGGGAAATAAATGGATCCACCTCTTTTAACTATTCTGGAGCCACAGTGACTAAGTTCACCTACCAGGAGGTCCAGTGTTGAGTGATTCGATCCCAGCATTGGCCGAGAAAGTTTCCCAGGATTTTCCAGAGTGGATTCCCAATTTCAATGATGCAAAATGAAGGGCCTAATCATTTGGATGGCATGTATAAGAACCCTTGACAGATGGAATTCACTTGCTGTCCGGCAAAATTTTCCTTATAGCGCACTGTATGGTGTATACCTCTCTTCATTAGTCTGGTTGGTGCAGAAAAGTAGGACTGTAAACCTCATTTCATTTTATTCATTTAACTATTTTAATATTGAGATTTTGAAATAAAATCAATTTCTACATTGCAGATATTATGAACTGGAGGCTGTATATGGTAAACTGGACCCATTGGTGGACCTGGATTTAAAACCAAAAACACATTTCGCAGTCAAAGTCAAATTTGATGATAAAGAAAAATTGGTTAAAGTGGATATAAATCATACTGTAGGACAATTTAAAAAGACATTACAGGATTTTGTTGGAGTTCCTCCTGCTCGATTCCGTTTATTTTTTGTGGAAAAAGACAGCCCTTATGGCGCTGATGAGATGAAATATCCCACACGGAAATTATTCATGTATAATATCAGTAACAGTGACGAATTTCAGATACTCTTAAAAAGAGGACCGCGTACAAATTCCGAGTAATTTAGGTTTGATGGATTGTGTGTGGTCATGGTTTTTAACCAGGTTTTGAATTCTTGTAAGTCTGCAAAGTTTGTACATGGCAAGGATTTTCATTTCAGTCATGTTTGAATTTTCTAGCTAACTGAAAAAAAAGTTAAAAATTGTGTTAATATGAAGAGGCATTGAGTTTAAATTGTAGGCCCTGTACATATTGTGTAGATTATGGTTAAATCGCATGAAGCAGCTAAAAGCTCATATATCTTCCAAACACAAGGGCTCTAAAATTCTAAGTACATATGTGCAGTGGCATGCAGAGAGGGAGTGACAGGTATCCATAGCTAACTTAAAAAAAAAGAAGTTAAAAATTGTACTTATATGAAGAGAAATTGAGTTTAAGTGGTAGGCTCTGTACATATTGTGTAAATTTCACTTGAATGTTATAAAGCCGCTAAAAGCTTACATAACTTCTAAATGCAAGGGCTACAAATTCATAGTACATGTCAGTCTTTGGTTCACTGATCTTGCATGGATGATACATACAGTACACAGTGGCAGAGGAAGCGACAGGTATCCATTTCAGGGGTATACCCAATCAAAGAGTCAAATTAAAATTAAGTTTTTGGAAATTTGAAATTTTGCTGTTAACTTCATTGTACAAGCTGTACTAATTAATTTTAATAAAAATATTATTTCATCTATTTTTACAAATTTGAAATGTCTTCCTTTCTCACATTTGTGAGTACTAGGCCCTATACTTGGGTTTTGGGAGACATACAATAAAGGAGTAGTCCTCGGACATCAGCAACCTCTGCATGCCATTATACATACTTTTAAATGTTAGTGTTGCCAATGTGACAACAAGAATTTTGTTTTGAACTAGAGGGAGGTGGGTTATCTGAAAAGGTGCAATAGACATATCGTCAAAAAGGTGGGAGCGGCTAGAACTAGACTGCTAGTGTTGAATTAGACTGTAATACAAAATTAGCTTTTTACCCATTGACTGTTACTAACTTTAAAGCCACTGATCATCATTTGAAAACTACAATATTAAGGAATATAAGACAAAAAATGAGTTAATTTCATTGTAATTTACAAAGATGATATGAATTGAAAATTTAGCAATATTCTGCAGATCATAACAACTATTGAGCACCACCTATGTATTAGTAATTCTTTTTTGGGCCTCTTTTTAATCGGGTGGTTTTTTTTACCTTTGATAGTTTGATTTTAGTGATTAAATGTTAAATAATCAAATTGAATACATTTTGACATGGATAAAGCCATGAAAAATTGGCAATCAGTGGCTTTAATAGTTTAATTTATATTACGACCATTGTGCTTTAACAACATTATTTTTTTGGTCCAATTACATCATGCAGCAATTTTTGTTATTTTATTATATTTTAAATGTTTATTTATGTCTATTTTGTATGTAAGTGTATTTTCTATTAATGTAAACTGTATCTTTATACTCATCTTCATTGATTACAATCAAAAGTCTTTACGAGCACTTTGACAAATTTTTAAAAAAAAATTCAATGGTAGGTTACATGTTTTTTATATGCCCAATTTTTATAGGAACTTTTAATTTTTTCTACCACACATGTTGTTAGTCAGGGCATTCATATTTGATCTACGTGTTCTTCATGGAAGTGTTCATAAGAAGGAACAGGAACTCTTCTTTCCTAATATTTCAACAGCAAATAACAAGAGTTATTTAATTTGAATAGTTTTAATATTGTGATATATTTAATTGTATTTATATTTAATAATTATAGTTAGTAATTTATTAGTGATTTTAAATTATAAGTAGTCCCATATTAATTTGCTTTATTTTAAGGTTATAAAGTGGGATTATCCCCAAATATGGTACATATATTGTCAGTGATGTCTTAATGGAACTGCACACATTGTAAACAAATAACATAGGGCAAATTTTATGGGAATTTCATTAATTAGTACCAATGAGTAAGAATTGAATGATTTTGCTAAATGATAATGGCTATTTGATCCGCAGATAAACACAAACAAATCATGCAAAAAGAATTCTATATCTTGTTAAATTCTAAAACTGAAAGCAATTGTGTGATTTTATTTTGTGTGTAAATAATTGGCCCCATCAGTTTGGTATTGCATGAGTTTCTGTTGAAGGGTTTAATGAGATTTTTGCCTATAATGATAAATGAAATTTTTAAATATAAAAAATTACCAAAAATATAATATTTATGTGTTATTGGGGCTTTATATGTTATTTTGTGGCATTATATATATTTTAGTAGATGATACATGTTATGTTGCATTTTGAAATATCTCTTGCCATTATTCGCAATGTAATGTAAAGTCAAGATTTATTTAAGGTTTTCTTTTATGAAGTTGTCTGTTTATTATATTTGTTATATGAAGAATGATTGTAAATATTGAATGATATGTTGATAAATAGTTAGATAACCAGCATATTGGCTGCCTCTCCTTAGCCAGCTACTTTTTAGCTTCCCTAGATAAGAACTAAGAATTAGGTAATTATTGCCATGTTGGTACCATGGCAATATTTGATTGAGCAGATTATGTAATGGTTGTGATAATGTTTAGTCTCAATCACCCAGTGATATAAAATTATAGCTACATCTTTAGTTTATAGGTATAGCTAATAAATAGCAGATTGAGGAGGTCAGCCAGGGGCTTGAGGTAAATGTTATGAATTAAAAAGTATTGTTTACAAGATTACAATTTAGCCTAATATCCAAAAAAAAATGTATAGTTAGAAACAATTGTACGTGTGATCATAAATTTGTTTACAGTTTATTTTGGTCATATCATTGGATTCATCGAATCAAAACTTCCAAACATTCTGAAAATGCTTATGAGGAGCATTAGAATGAAGTTATATTTTCAGTGCTAAAAGATTTGTTTCAAGCCTCTGTGGTTTATAGGAGAAGTGTGCTCTGTTATTTATATATTATAATTTTTAAATCCTATGTATATAAGAGTTGTAAAAGAAAGAGAAGATAAATATATTATATACATTGACTATATATGTATAATGAGTTGAAGAATCGATAAAAAAAAAAAACTTTGCTTTTAGGCTTATATTGATAATATTAGGATAAAGTTTGTGTGTGTGTGTGACTGTAGTTAGATGAGGCTAGCATAGGACTTGCAGTAAAGCAACATATCCCCAAAATAAATTTTACATAATATCAATACTTTTATGTTATCTTTAAAATAATTGAGTCACTAATTGAGAAAAATGCATTTTTTTTCAGGCAACATCAAAAATAATAATCTGGCTAATAACTGAAAAAATATTCTGATAAGTCAAATTTATTAGGTAAGTCGTGGGCAGCCAGCTTAAAAATGGGTAATTTTTTCGAGCATCTCTTTACCCCCCCCCCTCCACAAGTTAATCAGGCTCCTACGCCTATGGAAAGTAGTGTACATGTACTATTAAATCATCTAGTCTGTAACATTATTTGGAACATGGTGTAAAGTAAATGTGACGGACAGATGAAGCCATGGCAACTCAGTCATCAGTAACACGAGAAAGTTCCTCTAGGTTTTCCAGTCTGGTGTCCCCTTGTCAGTGATGAAGGAAAAACATCTAGTCCATCATATGGGGAAAAAATGAGGCCCCGCCTACACGTTGATATGCATATTAATGAACCCTTGGCAATTCGAATTTGTTGTTGGAATAGTACTAAACCCAATTGAACCCATCTAAGATCAAAATACCTCCCACATATGAGCACAGCAGCAAGTGATATATCATGCCTAATGCATGACATGTCTTTACTTTTGCTAAAATATACTGAAGCAGATCTATGTAGTTAGCTGTTTACTGTTACCCCCTATATATACAAGGATGTTATGATCAACAAAATCATGCAGCTCCAGGTGGTTAATGGGTAGTAATCAAGAACCATTTTAAATTCATCTTTCATCAACTCCCCAAGAAATCTCAAGTATTACCTGCATAATAAGGATTAAAACCTAAATTTAGGCATTCACTTTTTATACAATGGTATATCTGTGCATTCTCTTGGCCAATAAACAGGGAATACACATTTAACCCACACCTTGTAATATACAATATCTCTAAAACACAGTGAATACACACATAACCCACAGACACCTTGTATTATACAGTATCTCTCTCAAATAAACACAGGGAATTCATATACAACCTACACCTTGGAATATACAATGTTTGTGTAGTTCAAGTATCTCACCCACCCTTTTGTAACAGCATGTGCAGGAGGACAGCATCACATGCAAACAATCCATAAAATAAACCCACAGATAAAACACACAAACTAAACAGAAATTGCAAGCAATAATCATAAAAGTACATAAAATTTGTTACCTGTGTGAATTTGCCATATATCTGAGAAGTGGTATCGTGTTTACGGAAAAGTATGAATATCCTGCCCTGTACATGACATACATCAATAGTTACTGCTAAATGAAGTGATAAATTTAAGCACTAAGAGGTTCTTCACAAGAATGTAACCATATCTACCTACACAGGGTGGATGTTTGAAATATAGATCACAGAAACTATTTGAAAAGATTTAACATGTTTATTTACAGCAGAAGAAATGTACAATTTTATTTACATAATAATTATATACAAATTACTCACACAGTCCCCCCTCCCCATAATTAAAAACATAAAATACAATGTGTTCATATTTAAATTCATTCAACAAAACTAAAACAAGTCTGATCTAAATAATTTCTTATCTTTCAAGAAAATATTTATCGTAATTTCAAGTAGCCATAAACCTTTACTACCTGGTACACGTAAATACTGACTACCCCAGATAGTACTATATCGACCAGGTACCGAAAACGTCATAGCCGCCATCTTCAAACTGTGACATCATATCAAAAATCAAAGTCAGACAAGCGATTCACAAATGTCTAAGGAACAAGCATGCCAAGTTTCATGTTTATCATACTTGAATGGGCAGAGCCATAGGCTTTTTTTGCGAAGAGCACCACCCCAAGATGAAATACAAGACAAGTAGCACTTAGGAACCAGTTTCTGGTCCAAATAGAGGAACATGATCTTTTATACATTCAGTATTTTCGAAACTGCCTGAAGCTACTGTTCATAGTCCTTACATAATTCACAGCTATACACGTGACTCAGAAAGTTTGAGACACTACAGAGAGCAGTAGTTTCAGGCAGGCCAGGTGATAAAGGATTAACTGTACAACTGGAAGACAAATCAAGAGTTTATGTTAGTTATACTCAAGAGTTGACAATGTTTTAAATATAAAATCTCATTGGAATCTTCACTACTCTGAAAGCTTCTGACAAAGTGCTTAGCATGAAGCTAAAGAAGTCTGGATTCAACTCATTGTTTTCGAGCTATAAAATACATGGATATTATTACTGTAACAGGATTTGCTTTGGTAATTTTTTATTCATACCGGTATATAATTATTATTTGGACTTAAAGCCTATTATCGAGTACCAAGCCAAACTGGGTACCAAGTAAAAACACTACACAAGAACTGAAAACAAAATAAAAATGATAAAAATACAAATGGATATGGATGTAATTAACTTAGATATTTGAACTTATGAAAGATGTAAATTCCTATGTAGCAGAAGTAGCTAGAAATAAATACATATAATATTATCAACTTAATTAACATATATCAGTCTGGAAACCAGAATTACCCTCTTTGAAAGCATGAATTGAAAACTTGAAAAGAGTCACTGAGTTAATATAAGGTGTGTTTGTATAGTGTGTTCCACAACCCAAATAGATGAGAAGGACTCAGCCTAAATTAAATGTTTAATTATGTGAAGACATGCATGTCCTATTAAACAGATCAAATTACCAATACATATGATTGTATGATACATGTTTATGATGATTTTCATAAAATCTTAATGTTCCGAAGAAATACATGTGAAAGTAACAGTAATGAATAGAGGATATATAGTTAAGTGCATAAGCATGATCAACCTTAAGATACCATACATTGTAGACGAAGTCCAAAATACTGAACCAGGGGCATAATAATTTAGATTTTATTAATATTAATATAACTATGATGAAACTGATATATAAGTTTCTCACTGATTTAAATCTTTTACTATGAAATGAAACCCTGAAACAAACTTTGATTATTTATATAAAGGCAGTCATTTGCACTTTACACTAGCTGTGGGGTATTCCCAGGGAATTAATATTATGTAAATTACTATACAGTAATTCAATAATGAAACCATTTTGTTGATATCCTTGGGATACCCCACTGCTGATGTTTGATAGAACTAATCACACTGCATGTTCTAGCCATGTATATCCAACAGAATATCATCATTCATACAACTGGGCTGTAAGTTTACAGTGTACATAATCAGAATCTTATAAAATGTACACAGTGAATGAACCGATACCATAATCTAAATATATGTGCATTATAATCATGAATTAAACATTATTCTGATTTATTTTTTCCCAAATAATAAAACAATATTATACCATAAGAACATTATATACAAATGTACATCCATGTTTCATGCTATTAATCAATACATGCATATGTACATTTACAAATTTACATAAATTAAAATGTTACCTAAATTTTTTAGCTGTATTTTTCTGAACAACATTTTGGATATCTAACAGCAATACATTGAATTTATTAAGGATTTTTGGTAAATTTCAGTAAGTTGAACTTTCCTTAAAGACACATTATGTATCTTTGAATTAATATATATCCACTAGGATATCGCCAAGGCTGATTTTAAGACTCTTGATAAAACAAACAAGCAAAGCATACATGTATATACTATTGAAAACCAATACATATACAATATATAACTGATTTGTCAATAATAATGCATTGATAAGTTTTCCCAATTTCTTTTTCATTCTCATTAATGCACTTTGGCATTTCCATCAGTCCACTAAATCCCTTGACATGGATCTGGCCAAGGTGCATTAACAGATAATGACTGATAACACTGTACATAGACAATCATGTATATTCAACAAATAATGTATAAACCGGTTCATTCATGAATGTCAACATTGTAATTTGTCACTGTTCAATGTTCATTAAATAAATATACCTTACATGTACAATTTGTTAAATTTTAATTTAGGCCATGAAAACTACAAATATTATAAAGAATACAATTAAAACACCAAATATTTTTATCATTAACCAGCGATTTGATGTAACAGATTGAAAGTATTTTAATATTTCACTGTGTGCAGCTTCAATATTTAACTGTGTGTCCTCAACATTTGAATCAATTCGTCCAACCATCTCTTCTTGTTCTTGTACCATGTGAGCCAGCTGCGTAAAAATGGATCCCAACTCTACAATTGTGGATTCTATATTCTGCATTGTGTCCGCACGACTCTGTATATAAGAGTCCTGTTCATCCACCAATGTCAATTGATTCTGATACTGTGTTTTATCCATACCATCCATATTAATAGCATAATCTCCATTTTGCCGGTTTTCTTCCTCAAACAAGACAGATTTCGTCTGACCAGCCATAGTTGTTGGTGGCATGCTCGTGGAAGCCCCAGCTTGAGAAAATTGTTCCCTTCTTTCTTTCTGGTGTTTTAAGTTCTCCGTTCGAACCTCTAAAACTTGTTTAAATTCATTTGACATGCTTGCCAATTTTGACTGTAGTGCCACCACCACAGAATTGGAATGTGTTTGGACATGTTTGCCATTTTGTGCTCTCTGAGCCCGTGACAGTTCCTGAAGTTGAGCAATTTGTTTATTCAGTCCATTGATATCTTGTTTTATAATGTACGTTAGCTCCTGTATTTCCACAGGTTTGTCATCAAAAAGTGATTTTCTTTTTGCTAAAAGGGTTAGTTTTTCTAATTTAGCAAAAGTATTAGCTAAATCTTTGCCGATTCTCTTTGCAATCACATTGAATTCACTTTTTGCACGTAAGTCTTTTCTTTGCCGAATTGGAGCAACACCATTTCCCTGTCTCGATTGAAGTATCTTGACAGCTGACAGAAACTCATTCGAACGGTCTCGACACGTCATTTCAGTATCTATATCCCTGTGGGTTTTACGACTAGATTTTGGAGATGGACTATCTTGGATGGTTCGGTTTCTGTTCTGTCCGTTTACCTGATAATTGACATCAGATGTGGCGTGTTGACCAGTTTGACGCCGTCTCGCTATCATTGAAGCGTCAATCTAGTTTATATTGTTTTAATGATTCAGGAATTCCACAGTCAGTGATTTCTGAAGTAATGTCACTCGAATACAGATGGTACCAAAACATCGATTTTCCAAATGTAAAACAGTGTTTCGTATGGGATTAAATCGGTCAATCACTCGAGACAAACGTCACAAACAACTGACAAGATGTCGAAATAATTCACTAAATAATCCTAAAGAAACGACTTGAAAATCAATATAGGTCAATAAAAGATCGAAATCCGGAAATGGTTACCATATAGTTGTAAATTTGGGGTCCAGACTTCCAATTAAAATAAATTTTTTGACAGTTTACAGAAGCCGTATCGGGTATTTTCTCGTCCACGAAGCACTCTGATGTCAGTTCCGGTTATTTTAAGGAAGTAGATAATTCGATTATCCAGACTGCTTAAAATGCTTTCTCGAGTTCTCTCTCCAGAAACTATGGAACACCTTTCTGGCCGTATTATTTTTAAAAATATTTATTTCAATGAAAATAGGGAATTAATCAATCATAATAGTTCTTGTCGTCTATGATAATTTTGGGAATATATGCGAAATAATTTAACTTGAAAATTCAGTAATATTGTAATATGGAATAAAGGCACATTCAATACCATGATAATATCGTACAGATAAATGCCAAGCTCTACATTTTTGAGAAATATGTACTGCGTGACTATAGATTCATAGATAACATTGTTATATCCATCAAAAAGATTTTAAAAAAAGGAAAAAAAAAGAAAAAAAGTCAAATTAAAGCGGCATTATTCAAATCAAGAGCGAAATTCTTTAGACCATAAATGTTATATAAATTATTAATTAGACATTTGTTAATCTAGGCAAGACCATATCAACTCCTGATGCCATCGGATGGCGCCAATTTTAAGTAGATTAGAACGGATCGGCCATTCAATGATTTAATTTAAAAATGAAGAAGCCAGACTAAGCCTCGAATAACCAGCATCGTGATAACTATAATAAAAAATCAATGCACACGTCTTGTTAAAACTACAGGCATTGATAACTTCGCTCAGAATAAAGTAATTTGAATGAAATTTTCAATATATTCATTTTGCATTATCAATTTTTGAACTATTATAGAACGGCCAGTATCTAAATCTTACAATCCGGTCTTTAACTATAATCTAATCCGCTATTTTCACCATCATCGTACTGAACCAGGTTTCTTTGCAAAAGATTTTTCAAGGGGAGCTAGTCACATTCTTAATTTGAAACCTGTCTCTTTCTCCGGTTTCAGGTGTATTTTAAATATAAACTTTCTGTATTGTTCGTCCTTTGTACTTTTGATTTTGAAAACATTGGGCAAGGAAATGTCTGGTGAGGGTGATAAAGATGTTATTGAAGCCAAAAGAATGAAATATTCAGATGGGGAAGGAAGTCAGGTTCTGAAAGATTTTTCAGTGACCAAAATTCTAAAAGAAGACTCCAAAGTCAAGTTGATGGCCATTCATGGTAAATTTGAAGGAGCGAATGATGAGGCAGTTTTACTTCTCGAAAAACTACCATTTGCTCCCAAGACAGTCAATGCCATGCTTACAGGTTCCAATTTGCACGAAACATTAAAGAATGATATTTACAGCACATATGAAGCGATTTCTCCGCCATCATTTCCCGGATACAAAACAACAATGATATATCCGGCCACGGAGAAACACATCGCCAAATATTCGGAACAGGATGTATTTGTTGTTCATGAGACAAAAGAACTATATTCAACGGTTACTAAACCGTCTTTAGAGCAAAGTTCATTTAGCTTACAGTGGGTTTACAATATACTGGAAAAGAAAACCGAATCTGACCGCATCGTGCACGAAGATGTTGATCCCGAAACCGGTTTTATTCTTTTACCAGACATGAAATGGGATCGAAAAGATTTAAATAATTTATACCTGGTGGCGATCATAAAGAAACATGGAGTAAAATCATTAAGAGATTTGAATCAGCAACATCTACCTTTACTGAAAAATATACTAAACGCCGGAACAAAAGTTATAAAAGAGAAATTCAACATTCCCGTTTCTAAGTTACGAATTTATATCCATTATCAGCCTTCGTATTATCATTTACACGTTCATTTCACTCATGTTAAATTTGATGCCCCTGGAAGTGACGTGTTCAGAGCCCACCTGCTTTCTTCAGTAATAGAAAACATCGAAAATTATTGCGATTTTTATGAAAACAAAACTCTGTCATTTACTCTTCGGGAGAATGATAATCTCTTTAAAAAATACAAGGAACAAGGGTATTTTGATTGATATTGTATTAGACCCCTATTATAGCAATAAAAGAAAAGTTTTAGCAATTAGTTTAGTTTTGTGATTGTTCTCTGCATTGGTGTGTTTTAACATAGTCTGAGAGACGCCGAGGGTTCGCATGACTATTGAATGTGGGTGTAATTTTTGAGGGTATGTGGTTACTGATGTGGTTGTAACTTGGTATACTCATTACGGAATGAAAGTCTATGGAAGGCTCTGACTGGGCTGATGAAGATGAGCAGTGCCCATACAGATTGCTCAAGTGTTAGGGAAATTTTACCCGGACAGCGGTATTACATACAACCTACTCTTATATCAAATTTCAACTGTCAAGGGTTCTTTTATGTGCACGCTAGTGTGTACACAGGATCTCAGGTTTTTAGTCCAATCCAGACCACTATACAAAAAATGATGAACTTTCACGGTCAACACGGGATGTCTAGATAAGCAAACCTACCTCTTAGTTAGGCCTGGAAATAACGGTTTTAGTTGTACCTGGCAAAATGTCATAGCACACTGTATGCCCGTCTTCATTAGCCCAGTTGAAGCAGAACAGTAGGACGTTAAACTCCATCTCATTTCATTTCATTTCCAACGATATTTCATTCCACTTTCTTTTGTGACACATAGGATAATAACACAGGATTACAAAATACTGTTAATTGTGAACATGTGAAATAAGAAGTGTTATGAGCAATACACAAAAACACATATACTTATGGAAAAACAGCTACTTATTTATTTGGCCGACGTTTCGAAGAGTATTCTCTCAACATTATCAAGCTAATACAGTAATACAAGAATTATGAGATCAATATATACAGAAAAACTACAACAACAATTCATGAAACCATACAGGACAACCACAAGATCAAAGGGGGTTATTCTACAAAAACTAATTAACACTAAAGTTAAGTGTAGCCATGTGTAGCAAGTGATATGAGGTGGTGCTCTGTAGAAACAATGAGTACAGTTCAACGATTTCCAGGGTTCAATCTCATTGTTGGCCAAAGAAAAATTCTTATGTTGTTCTGATGGGAAAAAAAACTGGGGACTCCTGTATGTAAAAGGATGCTTGTTGAAATGCCACTGTCTGGGCAAAATGTCCTTCATAGCACACTGCATGGTTCATGCCTGTTGTCATTAGGCAGTTTCCTGAAGAAAAGCAGGACGTTCAACCCCATTTCATTGCATTTCATCACCCAATGTAATTCATTTTTTGTTAAACCTCATTTTACAGTCAACCCAAGCCACAGCGGCTTGGTTAATACTATATTGGCTCGCTAATCTGTATTCAATCCTGGTGTTGGTCAATCTGATTAGAACACAGATCCTATTTCGTTTCGTTTTTTATAGTTCAAAATTTCGTTTTACTTGTCTTCACAACACTTGGATCTGGAAGAGTTGTTATATAGCAGGCGTTCTAGTGGAGGTGAGGAATTAGTCAATGATTGGTCTGTTATGGTGAGTTCTTGGCGTGCTCTGCATGAAACTGTGGGTAAACCCCTAGAAACGTCAACGCTAATTGATTAATCAATGTTTGATGTCATAGGGTCAAAAGCCGCTCGTATGACCCCTGATGCGACCTCCCAGTACAACTGGTCAGATCTTCATGTAGTGTAGGACATCCAAAGTATAAAAAAATGTAACGAAATATAGATCTGTATTTTAATCAGATTGGGTGTTGGTCGAAAAAGTTCTTCGTGATTTTCCGGCGTGGTTCTCACTTGTCAGTGGTGGATGACACAGGGCCTGGTAAGGGAGAACCGAGGTCCCATGTACATGTTGACGTGCTCGTAAATGAACCCTTGACAGCTGGAATTTGATATAAGAGTAGGACATAGTGCCTATATTTCCCTCATAGCACACTATATGTCAATCTTCATTTATCCAGTCAGTGCAGTACAGTAGGACATTAAATCCCGTTTTATTTCACTTTATGTCACATATTATCTGCTACCCATGAGCTTCGACCAAACTATCCCTCAAGTTATCACTTAATGTTGTTGCCCTCAAATAACAAATTTACATAAAACAAGCAATATTACACATTTTATTTTCTCTTTGAAAATATCTACATATTTTAAATTAGACACATTATTGAAATTATTTACTTATAATAAGAATGAGGGAAGCTGTAGAAAACATATTGAATAAATTAGATCTCTTGTTTGATAAATCAGCTACTTTATGCACTTACAATTCATGCATCATTACTTTAATATTTCACAGTTCTATACTATTGGTGGATGAGTTTGGTTGACAATATTTCCAGCCATTTTAACCTGAATTGTCTTCCCATTGCTAAATATCACAAGGAAATTGGTTTAGATCTGAGCATCTCAGTAAAAAAAAAACACAACACAATTTATAAGGAAAACAATCACTGGTTTATACACATATAGCACAATGTTTCGACAAATGTGCTTAGAAACGTCGTGCTATATGTGTATAAACCAGTGATTGTTTTCCATATAAAGTGTGCTGTGTGTTTTAATGTGCTCAATCGCTAAATGCCACTCAAGGATTACATTTACAGTTTCTTAGTCCTGCACACAGTCCAGATTTTGGCCAAACTCTGTCTGATAACACTGTAAAGTTGATATCATTCACTTATAAACAAATGACTTATACTAATGAAAATATCTGCCACAAACAGATCAGGACTGAATTCTACGTGGATATTTCTGTATTATCATCTGTGTGTGGTGATGATTCCATGTTTAATCTAGGAAGTGGTGCAGTATTCTGTAAGAATAAAAATATCACAAAACATTAAATAATTCATTATTTACAATATTTTAAAGAAGCTAAACCTCTTTCAATATCTTAAAATTTTGAACAAAGACACACTGTGAACATGCCTCAGTGCATGGAGTACGTGTACATATTATTATTATTACTGTCATCTGACAAAATCCACATACAAAATCAATCAACAATTTGCTAAAGACTAACATATGGTTCAATTTTATTTCAATAGTTTGCTTGCCCAACTTTATCACTGATCAGCAGTGAATATTCGCTAGGCCGCTATAATCACTGATAAGGATGACATCAATGTGACTTAATGAGTCTCAAATATTAATTTTTTTTCCACCGACAAATTAAATTCTAAAACATTTTTTTGATGTATTAGAAAAATAAATAAAGACATTTGACGTATTTGTAGGTAAAAATTATTTCCTATTTAGTGTAAATGACTAAAAGGCAGCACTCTGCCCGAAGCAATAACATCTTATGTAAACAATGCACGCCCCATTCAGCCAATGATTGACGCTCTGTGCTGTGACGGCACGTGTTAAAGGCAGTCATATTTTACAGAGATATTAGAAGACTCGTAATTCTCTGTGAAACAGATTGCAACTTTAGCTGTGGGAGGAAACAAGAGGAACCAGTCAAGTATAAGTATGGGATTGAAACCATGCCACTTGTCTCAATGGTAGACATTATGATCTAAAGCACAAAAAGGAAATTTTTGCCCTCACAGCAATGCTACAGCCTACTCTTATACCAAATTCCAACTGCCAAGGGTTTTTTCATACCATTCAAACGACTAGACAGGTGTCTTTTTCAGGTCCTCCATCCTGCACCACTCACAAGGGGATACCATGTCAGAAAATCCGGATGAACTTTCTCAGCCAACACACGTTAGCCATCCAGCCCCACGCACCCAGAAATCTAGGACATTAAACCCCTTTTCATTTCATTTCAGTAATATACATCGAGAAAGATTAGGGGATGGCAAAAATCACAAGATCCTTACACCTCCATTTGACATTAGAAATATTAAACCAAGTGTGGTTTATTCAAGATGTTATACATCAGATATAAGAGGTTATAAATAGAATACTCACAAATTTCCCTGCTCTTCTCCGTAAAATATCATAACTCCAATAATGCATCTATTAAACAAAACAAAGGCATAAAATTCTACACATTAAAGACATTATCAAACTCTGCCATAATGATGGGATAACTCTTGTACAGAAGGATGGGACACATTTGAACATAATGATGGGACACATTTGAACATAATGATGGGACACCTTTGTCTAGAATGATGGGATACCTTTGAACATAATAGAGACTTTTGGCAAACGTAAATTCCTGGTCCGTATCGCGTACCGTAACGATTTTGCTTGTGACGTCATCAATGCGTGTGTATTTCTCATACGTGATACGGCACACGGATACGGCAGCACCTATCAAACAGCTTTCATACGGAAAAGGTCCATATAACATCGTCGTCTTTTTACCATATGTTTTGCTACTTTTAGACGCTGAAATATTGTGCCGTTGCGTTTTTATGACTGTGTATCCTAGAACACGAAGGTGTATATTTGACGTGATTTTAACCATGGCAAAGACTGGAATTTAATCATTACTTTTGATGAGCTTTTCGCGGAATTTTCATATTTTTCCTGTCTGTCTGCAAGCTGGTTGATCTACATGCTAAATTTAGGGAGGTGGGACCTTGCAAATCTGTAAAAGGGGTATATACATTCTGAAATGATACATTAGTGAAACCAAAATTGTTGTCGAGTGTAGTCGAAGATTTTTAATAAGATTCGACACTAATTTTTAATTATTTTTTTTAAATAACTCAGCGACTGTCGAACGACTTCACTCCCTTCAGGAATTTGTAGGCTAGGTACTTGACTAGTACTGATGTTGATCTTGGTAGATAACTGCCATTATGCTGTACTAGAACTAAGCTCAGTTCTGCTACCCATACGTACGCGGCGCGAAAACCTGCTAACTCTAAAACTAAACTAACATAATGTATCACATGACGATACGGATACGTTATACGAATGGGAAAAATTCCACTTGCCAAAAGTCTCTAATGCTGGGATACCTTTGTATACAATAATGGGACACCTTTGAACTTAATGATTGGATACCTTTTTACATGATAATGGGATACCTTTAAACATAATATGATAGGATACCTTTGTATATGATGATGGGATACCTTTGTATAGAAAATTAATTTTCTATCAAATTTTACCACCCATTATAATTTGAGTGTAACCTGATTTTAGCAAAACAAACAAAGAAATCTACAGTGTTGTGTCCTGAAAATCATTACACTTTACAGGGATTTTTTTTGTTAAAAATTTCTACTGTGTCTTGCTTTTAACAAATAAATGAAGAGAGAGTCTTAACTACAGAATAAAGTTTTATATCTGATATGTATATATAGATAACTCACCATTACTTGTGATGGTAAACCCAGGCCCTGAACTCTGTATAATTTACCATAATCTGGTGTATCTATTTGATGAGCCTTAAATAAAAAAGGAATCTTTAATCAGATATAGTCCTAAAATTATGCAAGTAATATGTTAGAGAGTATTCAAGGCCAGTTGTGTACATGGGACCTTGGTTTTTCGTCCCATCTGAACGACTAGACAGCTGTGCTTGTCAGGCCCTCCGTCCTGCACCACTGACAAGGGGAAACCACGTCGGAAGGACAATGCTTTTAACCATTGATTCAGAGATAGGGTGAAGTGTCTTGATGAACATACAAATTTTTTACTTCAGCTATTATCTATTTTAGACAGAAATAATTGAATCTTAAAGATGCATTATGTAAGTTTTAGATTAAAAGCTGCCGCTTTTTCTATAATAGTTCAAAAATGAATAAAGAAAAATGAATATAATGAAAATTTCAATCAAATTACTTTATTCTGAGTGAAGTTGTGAATGTTTGAAGTTTTGACAAGAAATAGCCTAATAGTCTCAACTGTCAAGTACCATTGCAACAATAATAAAATGAAATCTTGATTTTCAGTCCTGCTATCGGCAGTCCCTGTGAGTAGGATCCACATTAACGTTTAATGATGATATGACATACTTTGCTGAATTTACTCAATATCTTAGCCATTCGATGATCTAGAGAGTTGATTATGTGCTTGTCATATGAATAAATGTCTAAATGGTAATTTATATAACATTTGAAGCTAGCAAAAAGAGCAACAATAGTCAGATTTCCATTTAGCTCTTACATAATAACATTTGAAGCTAGCAAAAAGAGCAACAATAGTCAGATTTCCATTTAGCTCTTACATAATAACATTTGAAGCTAGCAAAAAGAGCAACAATAGTCCGATTTCCATTTAGCTCTTACATAATGCATCTTTAATCCTCATCTACCTCTTTCTTCCAGTTGTCTACGTTTCTACACATTATCTTACAAATAGAGAAATATAGGAGGAACTGCTACTTACGGCTGTGACGTTAAATCGTCCAATCTGATTGGTGCTGGCAATACACGGACCTGAACTTATATCAACATGATCCCCAACACGATACACCACGACCTTTGACCCTGATGATTCAGCTATATATGGTATTTGTTGTGATTTAAAGTGATTATCTTTAAACATGTCAAGAGCTACAGATGCATCGACTTCCAGACGTTCAAATTTGAAATCTAAATGATGTAATTTATATCCTACTCTCGTTAAACAATTCAATTCAGCCTGAAAATAAAATAATATTAATCATATTGTCCACACCTTACTTTGTCTCGAAAATAAATAGGTCTATTTATAATCAACTATAGTATTTATTTCATTAAACATTTAACTAACTTACCGTAGTAGGTTTCCAATCTTTTAATTTTAAGTCTGCATCATAAACAAAACTACCACTCTGTACTAGAAAAATAAAATATGTTTATATAATAATAAAATAAAATATGTTTATATAATAATAAAATAAAATATGTTTATATAATAATAAAATAAACTATGAGTATAAACCCCCATTTCATTTCATTTATTACTTCCATCTTCAGTAGAACGTTAAACCCAATTTCGTTTCATTTCTTCACTTTTCAGCAACAACTGGGATAATACAGATATGAAATGTGCTATGAGGGAAAGTTTGCTCAATCAGTAACACTACGACCTACTATTATTTCGATTTACAACTGTTGGGGATCTTTAGCATCTTGTCAATTATATGCTTGTAAATGGGACTTCTGTTTTTTTGTCCCATCCGAATGATTAAATCATTTGAAAATCAAAACCATCTGATGTTCTAGAGAATTGATCATGGGCTTGCCATGTGAATAAATGTCTAAATATAGTTCATATAACATTTGAAGCCAAAATAAAAACCTACAATATGCAGATTTAGCTCTTACATAATGCATATTTAAGAGTTCTCCCTCCTGTAATGTGTGAAATATGAACGCATTTTAACCTATGAGGATGTTTTCTTAATTTTAAAATAAAAACAGGTCATGCAGCCCATTTTTAGTGACACAGCAGTATCTGAGAGCTAGAATATTTTAGTTATATATGGCCTCTAAGTAAGATTGTATCTTAATTTATTGTTTAAAGTTAAGAATTAAAGTTGTCCACTTACAGTGAGGTTTAGGAAAACTACATAACTCTACATAATATTGATTCTGTAAGGCTGTCTCTAGAACATGACCAAGAACTAAACAGCATGATCTCCAGAACGCCTGTAAATACCAAATGTTCAATATACACTACAAATTATATCCCCCAACAAATATTGTATGCATAAACCATTTCATACAAATATTGTAAGTACTGTATAACCCATTTCATAAAATAACATCCCGACAAATATTGTAACATTTTATACAAGTTGGGAATTATTTTTCAGATTCTTAAAGTATCTTACTATAAGAATGAATAAACATCAACAAAAGTATTTTACGCTCTAGTTGGATTTTAATGCCAGGCACACAATTGAACTTTTACTGCACAACTGTATCTTTGGGTTAGACATTCATTGAAATATACAAAAATAACATAGAAGAGACAAAATTTGGTGCCTGACAAAAATAACTAAAATTATGTGCACTATTTTCCATTCTGTGGGATATGCATGTAAGTGAAATATGGTTGGTTGTTTATATGACAAATGAAAAGAACTGTCACTAACTTTATTAACAATTCGTGGATCCTCGTCTAAAAAATGTAGAAATTCAATGGAACAATCTTCTTTTAATGGCCGATGCATATCCCATGGTTCACCATTAACTAACGCTAATGCTGATCTATTCACCAATAATTCTTGAATATCTACAATAAAAACATGATATATTATGTACTAGCTTGATACCCAGCTTCGTCCCCAGAACCCAAAATCTGCTTACTCGCCATCATCCTTTCTTGCACGCTTATCCACTAGCTTGCATCATCTCGTTACTGTTATTAAACCTAATTAGCATAATAAACAGAGTTATCTCACCTTTAACTGTTAATTGCAGTAAACAGTCCAAAATTGATTTTGGCTGTCCCAAACTAATAAATGATCTTGTACTTAATAAATCATGGAATAAAACATTCACAGGGTGATGCTGGTTAATTTTATACCACATATGTGGAGGTAGGGCACAGCGCCAAAGTGTGATGGACGAACATATATACACACTTTGATTTTATTTATATAGATTAATATATTACATTACACTAGCTATCAAGAGATTTTATCTATCTTTAAGTTTACGGTTCAAATTCTCTGATGCCAAAAGTGCATTTTTCAGACAATATTTAATTGTTCACGACTTAATCTACGCTAAAATGTACTATTGGTTCTAGGCCAGATCCTTGATGACAGTAACAGAACGGCTAAAATCCATGCCATGTGCTGGTTGAGGATTGACATCAGAGGGCAGCTAATTTTTCATAAGTTAAGCCACACAAAAATTGTAGTAATGGGTCTAGGCTAGATTTCTTTTTGGATCATTGAGAAAGTCTAGCTTCATGGAGAATTGATGACAGGAACAAAAAAGTTAAAATCCATACCATGTACAGTTTGAGGATTTATGTCTGAGGACATCAAGTCAAAAAGGTTTGTTAGCTTAAAACATGCTGACTTACGCATAGAACAATTAAACGGTGTAGATATTCCTTTATTCATGATTAAAGTACAGTCCTCTGGTGGTCCCTTCACATCAACTTGTATCTTCTCCATTCGAGTAATCAAACCTAACTGACGTTTTTTCTCTGTTTCAAAAATCTCATTTCTCTTCCTTCGTACTTCAGCATTTGTTAAATTTGTTGACTGACAATAACTTCCTGGTAAAAAAAAACCCTAAATTTTAAAAAGGCTACTTTTGTTAAAGAGAAATTATAGGAGATTAGTTAAAGAGCTGGACGCTACTGCTAATGGTTATTTCCAGGCCTGTAAGTAGGAATGAAACAAGATTTGACAGTTTTGGAGTCATTCGAAAACACTAATTCATACGAAGATCATAGGCGTACGGGGAAATTTTTGACTGGGGGGGGGGCGGTGGTGGTTGGTGCCCAAAAAATGTAGTTAGGTTCTTAGTATGTTAGATAATAATAATAAATTCGCTGTTAAATTGGACACATTCAAGAACACAATATCTTTTTTTATACAACTTTTACAAAATACAATTGTGTGCCCAAATTTTCCCAGCATTTGGTGCCCAAAATGGGGGGGCGGCCGCCCCCTCACAGCTCGTACGCCTATGACAAAGATGTCTTTATTTATCTTGATTGAGACAATGTCAATAAACTGAATCATTGATTGAATCATGATGCACTGAATTTGAATGTTCAGACTGAACTTTAGTCCGTCATTCATTTGAAATTTCTGTCTACCGGTGTTTGTTCGGCTTTTTTCACTATTAGTGATTTGACATCTAGTATGTATCATATCGTTTATTAGACATTATATAGAGCAAAGCTCTAAAGCATCGCGCAAAGCGGGGTGCTTGAGCAAAGCTCTTTTCCAGTAACAGTAACTAAAACTGTCAACCACAGACTGTTGATTAATAAAAAAATCAGACCGGAACCAGTTCCACTACTGGGCAAAACTGGCAATCCGCATGCCAACTTACCAAATCTAGCCCAAGCGAGATTACGTGTCTCATAGAAATATTTCTATGATGCATCTAATCAGTGACATCACATATTTTTGACGTCAATGAAAATAATTCTCACACTTTTTTGTTCTTTTTTTTTTTACACAAAATTTATCGGTAATTTATCTAATAGTAATACTCATATAGAGCAAAGCTCTAGAGCATCGCGCGAAGCGCGGTGCTTGAGCAAAGATCTTTTCCGGTAACACGGGAGTGTAACTAAAACTGTCACCCACAGACTGTTGATTAAAAAAAAATTCAGACCGGAACCGGATACACTGGGCAAAACTGATAATGTGCATGCCAGCTTACCAAATCTCGCCCATGCGAGATTACGCGTCTCATAGAAATATTTCTATGACGCGTTTAATCAATGACGTCACATATTTTTGACGTCAATGAAAATAATTCTCACACTTTTTTGTTATTTTTTTAAAAACAAAATTAATGTATACAATTTAGATCTAAATGAAAATCAATTTGGAAAAACTTAATTATTTAACATTTATTGTGGTATCACTTCGACATTTGAGAAAATTAAATATGAAGGTTTTATATTTGACAATAATCAGCTTCGCTCTACTCAGGCAATGCCTGTTACATATTAAATATTACTGCAAGTTTCCACGTACTTTTCAAATTGCGTCTTGAAGCAGACGAAATCTTTAGAAAAACATTTTTACAGGACATGGAGGCTGCCATTTTTTATTTTTAACCGGAAATTTTAAGAGTTACCTGCGTTTATATCATGCGCATGCGTAATTCTATAGCAACCGGTATAGTAAATAATGAGCTGAGATTGACAACACAAAGTCAGTGCATTTCGATCAAGTATTTGTGCCTAGCATTCGCTTCTAAGTAGACTAACTGATCAACATCCAACATGGTAAGTACATTTTATGCACAGCGGTTATATAAAACCCTAATAAGGTGACAAAAACTAAGATCTTCTGCTTATTTAAGACATTCATTGTTTGTGACATCTTGACATCGTGAACTCCTCACAAGCTCAAGGCTCAAGTGAAAAAAAGGTAATATGGATTGACGAGTATGATTTTTAATGGTCCGAGGACGCGTACACTTTCGTTTCCTTCGTTTTGCCCAGATACAGTGGGCTAATACAACAAGATAGAAAGGGTACAAGAGCAGAAACAAACAAAAAACTTTTTAAAACCTGGAATTGGACGGCAACAGCCACTCACCCACTGAGTACTGACTGTTTAACTCAGACATAACTGATTTAAATATAATAAAGTGATTTTCTATTATTAATGACACTAAAAAAAAGCTCCTGTGGCCTTTGTAGAATATTAAACACCATCTTTCTTATTTATAATACCCAAGGTATATCTAATTTATATGGTAGAATGAAAAATCCAACCTTATCTTAGTATAGTAGGCCTAGTGGCTTGAGTTGATAGGATTATATAAAGTAAACATTGTTGATGCTTGAAAATGAACAATTCAAATATAGTCACCATCTATATAGGTTGTTTTGAGGGACTTGATCAAATGATTGTCAATGTGACAGGTATCTAAGCTTACGTTTTCAATTTTTACAGCCAGGCAGTGCCATCTCTGCCGGAAGTAGTTCAGCTTCGTCTGCTACACGTCGTGCTAAAACACGTCAATATCGAGTTGTGAGCCATCATTCTCAAGTGGATGAAACTTTATTTGGAGAATCGGATCATGTCACAAAGAGAAATGAAATGTTGAAAGATAAGTGGGCAAATGGCGGAACAGATATCCAAAAGCAAGCCAATGAAAGAAATATAAGACGAAAGAGTGGAGGCAGAAATGGCAAAAATAATCGTGAAACAGTTCAAGTTATTACTAAAGATTTAATTAGAAATTTAGTGTAAGTTCACTACAGTATTTTGTTTTAAAGTTAAATCGAGGTATCAAGCATATTTACTTTGTAGGCCTGCTGGAAACTATATTAATATTATATCCAATGCCTTTTTTTAAGAACATGTAATGTTTAGCTTATAATGTTTTATTGTCTGGCAACATAAGTTTATAAAACCTCGTAAATGTAAATTCTCAAGTCTGATATAGTTCAGATTTTTTTACTTTTTTACATAAAATGGTATCATTATGATGAATATTACAGTGTACCTACAATGTAAATTCTCAAGTCTGATATAGTTCAGATTTTTTTTACTTTTTTACATTAAATTGTATCATTGTGATGAATATTACAGTGTACCTACAGAAGATCCAAGTGGACAGAGCATGGTGATGTCACGATCAGATTATTATCGCATTTTACAGGCGGCTCGGGTTTATTCTAAAGAAGAAAAACAAGCTCAGTTAGAGATGTTAAAAAGACAAAAAGAACAAGCCATGGTTAGTGTTTCATTCTTTGTCGAGTGGACGTTAAACCCCATTTCTTTCTCTCTATGAGTGTAGACTACACTCAGAATTTTATCAAGCAGAAATAAATCAACATCTTTTCTGCCAGGCCAATTGTCTAAGCAAAACTTTTTCAAACCCATGGAGCACACATATTGTTAATGCTAGGTTCCCACAGGACAATTGAAATTATCGTGGTTTTAATCATGGAGTAATTATGGTGATCCTATTAGGCCTTACCATATATTAAAGTCAATCGTGTTGACTGATCCAAACATATTCGAACATATTTGTTAGTACCAGATCAAGGACTCAATAGAGATAATCCTATTGTAAATCATCTCACAGCAGTGGGAACTTGAATAAGTAGAGATATTTGTTAAGCACAGACAAAACTGAGTTTGTTTATAATATTTTATTTTTTCATGGTACTATATGTTGTATTTGCAGGATGATGCCCAAGAAAGGAAGAATTTTATGAAATCAAAAGATTTAAATCGGCAGAAAAATGAAAAGTTAAATGAATTGGAAGTGGAAGCCAAAGAGAAATCTGAGCATTTATTGGCAAAAGCTAACGATATGAGACAGGAGCAGGAAGATGAAATTAAACATTTAAATGAAGTAAGTTAGTCTGTAACACGTTGTGCATAAAACTTCAAGGAACATGTAACTCTGGAACACTGTGTTGTTATAACTATATTATATGTGGAATACAGGAAACTACTACATCTGTGATAGTACATTATGAGTTATTATAATATTTACAGTCAGAGTTTAACAAGCCTAGAACTCTACATGTTGTCTCTATCCTGGCCTCTAAGTCGCAGCAGATACAGTAACACATCCCTCTAGGAACGTCAATGATGTCTGAGTCCCGGCCTCTAAGCCGAGGTGGCTCAACGTCCCTCTAAGACCGCTCTATGATGTCTATATGAACTCCACTAGGAACACTCAATAATGTCTGAAAATACCTTAAGAGTCCCAAAGGTGGCAAGAGCCACACGCGTCTTGATAGTTTAACATGATGTTCTCCTCCGGACTGTAAGCCCACATGATGTCTGAAGGGAAATTTAACCCTGCTCTTTCTTATAATATAAAAAGTATAGATAAGTCAGCTATTAGGGTGGGTCAGTTACCATTTTTGGGTAACTGTTTCATATGTTCATCAGTATACATCAATGTTATTCTATTTAATTTGACTAGTCTGTAACCTACTTTCAGAAATTGATGGCAGGAACTGTCAGTGATTTAGTCTAAGAAAGTTGAATTTTGCACAATAAACACTTAGCCCAGTTCTCATTGTCACCCATTTGTTTAACCACTCCAATATATTAAACAGGACACCTTTCATAGAATTAAAATAACCCCTATAGTATTACAAGACTTCCCACTACAAATGAGGCATTGGATGACTATATGTAGTAGTCTGAGTACATGTCATCTTTCAACATCTACTTCAGTCCCAACAGTTGAGTACAAAATAATCACCTGAAATGACAGCATTTTTATATGTCTGCATTTTAATGTGCTCATATTATTGTAACCATGTCGAGTAAAACGACGACCCCCATTGATATTCAGTGATTTCCATAATAACATTCAGAGTTATTCTACTTTGATGCATATCGTGGTAGCACCAATTATAATTATTTGGATGACGGTAGTTAGTTGCGTGTCAGCATATGTAACATTGCCTGGCAACCCATGGTTAATATACAATATTTAAGAATTTTTATAAATATTTAGACGACTGGTTACAAGTCTAGAAGTAAGTCTATAATCTGGTTATTTAATGAATTTAGAGAGGCATTAGCAGTTTAAAATTTTGGCCGGGTGGTAAATGATTTTTGATCTTAGGTGATTGACTACATAGAGTTCTGTGATGAATGTTCAAATTAGGTTGTATTCAAATTGGAGAGAAGTCTGTCATTAAGATATAAATATTCGAAATTGTATGCAGAATTTGAACAGATTTTCTTGATCTAAAAAAAACCCAAACCTTTCTGTCAGTTTAATAGACATAAATTTGTTTGTACTTTCCAAGAAATCTAAGAAGCGTACTCACATTCATTACTTGGATTTTCGATATATAGCGTATGTAAGGTTATTTTAAATATGATATTCACAATCGATTAGGACCATGGTGAGTAAAATGCTGGCTTGCTAGCCTGGATGTTGTGAGTTTGATCCCAGTGTTGGCCTAGAAAAGTCATCAGGATTTTCCGGCGTGGTTTCCCTTGTCAGTAGGGCAGGATGGAGGGCATGACAAGGGCAGCTGTCTACTCATTCGGATGGTCTAAAAACAGAGGTCCCGTAAAAGATCCCTTGGTAGTTGAAATCTGATATAAGAGTAGATTGTAGCACCACTGTCCGGGCAAAATTTCCCTCATCATAGCACACTGTATGGCGTATGCCCATCTTCATTAGCCCAGTCAGAGCAGAACAGTGGGGCATTAAACCCCATTTCATTTCATCTTTCACAATCAATTTTTTTTTTTAATTGATAATGCCTCTTTAAATTCACATTTTGTTTTTAAACAGTTCCTTTTATGCCTGACAAAACACACTTCTGCATGTTTATTTATTTAAATTTCTGTTACTGTTTTTTAAATCAATTGCTATCATCTCATCACATGCTGTAATTATAAAATCTGTTTTTATAGTTGATATTAAATGCTAAATGTCATGCCATAAGAGATGCCCAGATAGTAGAAAAGAAACATATCGTTGGAGAAATGTCAGAAGAGGAGAAGCGATTGGATAAGATGATGGAGGTAGATCGACAGAATGGCATCTTGATACAAGAAGAAATTGAGAAAAGGAGGAAAGAAGAACAGCTAATTGGTGCCGCTAAATTAATGGAGCAAATTCAAGTAAGATATATTAATGATTTATATTAGTTGTCTCATATAAAGCTGATTTTACTATTTGAATTTTCTAATTTATTATTAGAATGCTATTGGAATATTCTAATTCATTATTAGAATGCTATTGGAATATGCTAATTCACTATTAGAATGCTATTCAAATATTCTAATTCATTTTTAGAATGCTATTCAAATATTCTAATCCATCTTTAGAATGCTATTAAAATATTCTAATTCATTTTGAGAATGCTATTAAAATATTCTAATTCATGATTAGAATGCTTAAAAAATAATTGATTTCATTAAAAAAAAAAAATTATTAGATATTTCTTATTGCAGACAGCTGGTTAAATTCACAAAAATTTAACCAACATAGAATAACAAATATTTTTCCACATAATGTTCTACATTCATGCTACTAGATATACAGAAATTTGTGTTTATTTTTTGTTAGGAAAATGAACAAGAGCATTTGTTTGAATTAGAACGTAAAGATCAGGAAAATATGCACATGCAGAAATACATCGAAAAACTCATGATAGAAGATCATGTTAGTCTGGAGAAGAAAAAACATGAACAGTCAGCTCTACGGGTAAGTCTTCACTTGGATATAAATCTGGGTAGATTTTAGGTGTTGTTATAATTTAAGCATACATCAGTCATTGTATTATTATCAACATCATGCTGCATATTATAAAACCTGAGTAGCTTACAGCTTTATTGTATTTTTAGTGAAATAAAATGGGGTTTAATTTGAGATCAATTTTTCCCAATCCAACAATGCGAGCCGGACATACGCCATGCAGTGTGCTATGAAAGAAACTTGTCCTGCCAGCGGCACTATAGTCTACCCTTATTTCGATTAACAACTATTAGGGGATATTTAACCTGTTGCCAATGGTATATACATGGGACCACAGATTGCTCCATCCGAATGAAGAGACATTTTTTTTATTGCTACTGAGTCACTGACGAGGAAACTCCAAAAGATCAAACCTGGGAACACCTAGTTAGTGATGGATTGCTTAGTACCTGACAATTTGATTAAAATCTAATGTCTTCAGCTGTCTCAATGGCGGCATTTTGAATATATGTAGTGTAGAAAACCAGAGCCTTGAATGTTCACTAAACTAAATAAAAAAAATAAGCTTAAAAAAGTTAAAGATATATTATGTAAGAGCTAAATCTTTTTCTGGCTTCAAATGTTATTTTAATTTTTTTCGATATTTTTTCACATGACAAGCCCATAATCAACTCTCTAGGGCATCAGATAGATTAGAACTTTGATATTTAATGGATTATAACCCTTTTGGTGTAGAATGATAAAATGGACTTGACAATCAAGACTATATTGTCAAAACTATAAACACTCATAACTTTGCTTTATCTATATTTTATAAAATGCATCTTTAAAAAAAGTTAAATTTTAGACACAAGCCAGATGACACGCTAGGTTTTACAGAAGTGACTTCACTTACTCGTCAGTATTTTGGTCGCAAGCCTAATGACGTCCCAAATATTACAAATATCAATATTTTATTTTACAGGAAGAGTTAAATAAAGCTAATGATGAAATTTTACGTCGTAAAATCACCAAGAAGGATCAAGAGAAGATGGAAGAAATCAAAGTTATTGAATACCAGAAAAAGAAAGCGGTGAGTTTAATTTGAACTTAATCATTTATTTTTTAACATTAAATATTGGATCAGAATTAAGCATGTAGAGATGTTGATATGTCTTTATTACAATATCATTATTACCAATAGCAAGATGGTTGGATTGCCGAATGGTTAGCACGTGCGAGCTGTATCATAAGGTCTGTCATTGAGTCATCTGGCGTTTCGATTCCCCAATTGTACGTGACAAGGAGTAGGGTCGTTTGTCCAAACTTGTGGGTTTTCTCCGGGTCCTACGGTTTCCTCCCACTGCTAAAGACCCCTACGGGCAAGGAAATTATTGAAATAAAATTGAACCATGTGTTAGTCCCAAAATGACCTGGTTTGTGTTGATTGGACATTAGATAATTAATGACAAGGTAACTGAAAATCCCACCCCTGTTGTTTAATGTATAAATGATATTCTAACAGGAACGTGAAGCGGCATATGAATTAGAACAAGAAAGAGTTCGTTTGGAGAAAGAGCGTGAAGTTGCCAGACTACGAACATTACAGGAACGTGCTCGTGATGAACAGTCTGAGCGTGATGCTCTTCGCGCTAAACGTGCTCAGGAACAGACAGAAAGAGAATGGAGAAAGAAGGAACGACAAGTTGCCCAGAGGAAAGCAGACGTAGAGGCCAGTCTGAAATTAGCCCGAGCCAATCAAATGAATGAGAAAGAACATTATCTGGGTGTACAAGCTCAACGTGAACGAGCTGAGTTTGAACGTGTTCTCCAGTAAGAATATTTTCTCTCTTTGTTTTACCCGATGTATCTAGATGCTTCATTAAACCAGCTCATGGTGACTAGTAGAGCCATGTTGAATATTTTTACTGTTTGCTTTACCCCAGGTATCTTAGATGCTTCATTAAACCAGCTCCTGGTGACTAGTAGAGCTGTGTTGAAGGAGGCAACCTTTATCCCTGTGAAGATATGGGATATTTCACACATTCTCTTGTTGTGAACTGGGGGTTGAGTGTCCGAATTGTTCACCGCTTGGGCTTTAGATTGTATGGTCTGTCATCATTGAGTTAAGTGGTATGGTTTTGATTCCAACCTTGTACGTAACAAGGACTACAGTCATCTGTGTCAAAACTCGTGGGTTTTCCCCGGGTTCTTCTCACTGCTAAAGACCCCTAACCGTAGGTTAGTCCCAAAATGACCAAGTTTGTATCAGGTGGAAGTTAAACCCCATTTCTCTCCTTTGCAACCCAGACCTAATCTCATTCCACATTTATTAGATTTTATTGACAAAAGTTTTTGTATCTAAGTTTGACTTTTCCTTGGTTCCTGTCAATATTAGCATTTTGGCTTGTCAGGTTGGCTAACATGTGCGATGTAGATCATAACCTGTGATTTGCATGTAACCAACTTAACCTCATGGGTTTTCTCCAGATAATGTGTCACACAAAATGACAAGCATCTGAGAAATTATCTAACAAGGCCTGAATCTGTGCCAGACAATGAACCTTATTTCCAAACTTGCTTAAATTTCTAATTTACTTGCATTGATTTATTTATAGAGCCCAGAAAGAATTATTAGAAAAAGAGAAGCTTGAAGAGATAGAACTACAAAAACGACGTCATGTACATGCTGATGATATCCGTAATCAGATACAGACCAAGGAGAAACAGAGGATAGTTGAAAGGAACCTCTTCTTCGAGGAAGGTATTAAACTGGATGTGGAGGCGCGACAACGTCGACTGAAACTTGAAGAGGTTAAACGTCGTAAATTAGAGGAACTAAGGTCAGTACAAGAAATTATCTTCTCTTTTATATCCTTTGTTTTAATCCTTGGGTGCTTCGAGAAGAAGGGGGGTTGGATGGCTGAATGGTTAGCGTGCGCGCGCTGTATCATAAAGTCTGTCATTGAGTCGACTGGCGTGGTTTCGAATCCCCGGTTGTACGTGGCAAGGAGTAGGGTCGCCTGTCCAACCTCGTGGGTTTTCTCCGGGTCCTCCGGTTTCCTCCCACTGCTAAAGACCCCTACGCGCAAGCGAATTATGTAAATAAAATTAAACCATATGTTAGTCCCGAAATGACCTAGTTTGTGTCGAGTGGACGTTAAACCCCATTTCTCTCTCTCTCTCTCTCTCGCTTCAAGAAGAGGGGGTTGGATGGCTGTACTAAATGAAGTTTCCAAAGCATATCTCATAAGCCATTAAAGATAACCTATTATAGTAGTTGTGCCTTTTGCGAATGGTTAACATGTGCACGTTTGATCAGTAGGTCTGTCATTGAGTGAAGTGGCATGGTTTCAATTTCTCGCTTGCATGTGACACAACCTTGTGGGTTTTCTCCAGGTCCTCCGATTTCCTCCCACTGCTAAAGCAAATTAATGGAATAAAAATTGAACCATATGTTCAGTCCCAAAATGACTTAGTTTGTGTCGAGTGTATGTTAAATCCTATTTCTCTTTAATAATTTTGTGTTTCCACGGAAACAGATTTGACTTAGTTCTTGTTAAACAATCTCATATTTATTCTTGTTAAACAATCTCATATTTTTTTTGTATTTGAACAGGTCTGCTGGTATACCAGAGAAATATTTGGCACAAGTGGAAAGAAAAGTTAATCAGCCCCAACACATAACAACATAAAAACACAGATCACAAAAAAAAACATTTCACATCAAAATTACCTTTAAAAAAAACTATTAATCAAACTTTACTGATGTAAAGAATCTTCTAAATTTACTGTGTTATGTTGCCGAGATCAAACTGGAATGTCTTGCAGGAGGTCTGGACATATTGTTTTATTTTCCTTATCTATAATCATTACTTCGAACAGAGATAACTGCTTCACGAATCAAAGAAGAATCGAAATTTGAAATGTTAATTTCTTGATGCTATCTGAAATCGTACTATGATTGAAGTCATTCCCTCATCTTGGTCCTCCCCTCAGACACTGTGAGTTCATGGGCAAATCCGTTATTTTAATTTGTGTCTGGTTGTTGTATACTGAGGAGATGGCGATGATGGGTTTCTTCGCTCATACCGATTGAAAAAAACTATCAGGTCTGTAGAGTTTTTTTTAGTGAAAAAGCTTTTCCTTTGAGAAATAAATGAGTCAAATTAAATCAGCATTATTTAATATAACACTTCCATTTATATATTTATCAACTTTGTTTCTCCATGTTTAATCCTCTTTGGTCCCACACGCACTGATATACATGGCCGTGGTCATGTTTTACATAGAACTGACCCACCTATTATGTAAATATTATAAGATAGAATAAGTATATAATGTAGATTCTATTCCAGGTTTTTGTGATATGTAAATAGCAGATTTAATATTATTTGTATATAGAATAAGTCTTAATATTTATTTTAACCTCATTTTTAATTCAAAATGAATAACAATTTGTCAATGACAAAAATTAGAAACCAATTTTATTAGTAAACATACATTTATTTATTTTTTTTCCATGGTTTTAATTTTAGAAAAAAAGGATACATTTTTAGAGAAAGATTCTTAAAGAATATTAACCATGAACTTATTATTTTTACCTTAATTCAGTGTTTTAAGATAATAACAAAGCTCTTCAGCTCATAAACTTTCGATACTTGTAATTTGGTCCTAAGTCAGATTATTAAATGTGAAATTGTAAATGCCATCAGGCTGGGTTTCTCCCTGACCTGTCATTACAGACAGAAGTGACTTTCCATAAAAATGGGGTTCTAGGACAATCCCTGTTAAAACAAAAACATTTTATTTTACTGAATGAGAAATTTAGATTGAGGTAAACCTGAATGTTCTGTCCAAATTTGATGCTGTTGAAATTTAAAAAAAAAAAATCAATCTTGCTATATCTGTTTTGGAACAATTTGTGAATCTATACAGGAGCTTTTGATTCCTAAAACAGGATAATATTTTGTTTAACAGTACATATAGGATGATATCGATCTGTTATACTGTAATAGTGACAAATATATTTTAATAACGGTTATACATTAACATGAAATTGTATCATAATACAGTATTATTGCCCCGGGCACCTAAACCTGGTGAACACTCTGCAGGTCAGAATCTTTAAGTAGTTTTTTTTTTCAAATTGGCTGGGGTCTTGTATAAAACCCCATTTGTTTGGCGCAATACAGCCCTGTTGGAGCTAATGTGCCTTAAAACTAACATTTCATTCATTTCAAACTTGCTGGAATTGTTGGATCACACATGAACCATATCGAAACACAGGGCGGAACAACAAAACTTGATAAAATCCTGTCTTTTTTTTAAATTTTTTTTCAAACATGCTGGAAATACTGGTCACCCAAACCTGGTAAAACACTCTACATGTTCAAATTTCTTAAAAGAAAAAAAAACAATTTTCAAACTTGTTGGGATTGTCTGAATACATAAACATGAACCATATGAAAACTCAGGGTCAGGGTAAAATAAACCTGGTAAACACTCTGCAGGCCAGGGCCAGAGTTTTTAAGATAAACTTGCTGGGATTATTTGAGTATAGATATTTGTTTAAAACATGCCGTTATTATTTGAGTATAGAGATTTTTTTTAAAACTTGCTGGGATTATTTTAGTATACATACTTATTTACTTTGAACTTAAACCACAAACAGTTGACTTAAACCCAGTGTAAGATCTGTTGATGGATTAAAGTGTTGAATTAATCAGATAAGGCAATTAAAGAGTAATTTTAGTAAATAAAATTATATTTAACTGTTTGTTAGCTTAATTAACAGTTTAATCCTATCAATAAAAATGATTTTCGCGGAGTTTTAAGTTGGCTGTTTGGTGGGTAACGTTCATAGTATATAAGTTAGTTAGAAACGTGATAACAATAAAATCATTACAAGTGACCAGTTCTTCACAAAAACATTTGAGATTATGGTTTTGATCTGCCACTCAGTGGAATACATAATGATAGAACAAGACTTTGTCCCCAGTGTAAAATGTTGACTAGTTTTATAATAGTAGAATTACCCAAAGTTTTAATACGAGTAATAAATAACTACTTTTGTTTTCTTAAATGTAAGTATTTTCAAAAATGTATTTAAAAACAGATATGGATGATTGTTAATGGGAATATAACATTAAGAATGATAAGATAGTGCCATCTTGTATAATGAAATGGTTTTCCAACATGGGAATTACAATATTCTATTACGGAACTCTATATATACTGGTATATAGCACATTCCCTTGCATTATTTTTATAAACATTATTTTTAGTCATTCTATTACAGGTTTGGGGTCATGAATTTTTTTAAAACTTGTTAGTAACTTTTAAGCCATGCATTTAGTATTTGGAGAGTTATTGCAACTGCCATTGACTCTTTTTTTTTTGAGAAAGTTTTTCAAATTTGCTTAGATTATTTATCTAGTAATAATGATGAAATGACGATAAATGTGCATCAAATTTACTTGCAGTTATAGACCATGTCATCAAAGCCTTGATAGTTTGTGGGGATTTTTTCGAACTTGCTGGAATTGTATTGCATCCATTATTTACACTAGTTATTTTCCTTCCTACTGAAGGCTTGTTATTATCAAGAGACTAGAGCGTTTTTGTTTTTTTCAAATTCTACAAGGGGACACATCATTGGATGTGTCTGAAATTTTAATAGATTTGTATAGCTTGGACAACTAAGTTGTGTCTGGCAACCTGACCAGAAGAAATTATTAACATTTCTTTTAAAAACAATAATTCAAACAGGCAGTGTTAGGTCAAAAATTGAAGTCATGTTTATTTTTATACCAAGTTGTCAGGGATCAGTTTGTGAACAAGTACATCAGATAGTTGACATTTATTAAAATTAAGTTTTGGTATGAGGTTATATCTTCATACACATATCACTACTAATTTTCTGTAAACTATAGTTGTCCTAGAATAAAACAATGTTGATATTTATAATACATGTAAACTATTCCCGTCCTAGAATAAAACAATGTTGATATTTATAATTTACTGTGAACTATTCCCGTCCTAGAATAAAACAATGTTGATATTTATAATTTACTGTGAACTATTCCCGTCTTGAATAAAACAATGTTGATATTTATAATTTACCTTAAACTATTCCCATCCTAGCTTAAAACAATGTTGATATTTATAATTTACTGTGAACTATTCCCATCTTAGAATAAAAAAATGTTGATATTTATAGTTTACTGTGAACTATTCCCGTCCTAGAATACAACAATGTTGATATATATATATATATATAATTTTACCATATTTTGTTCATATCCTACAATATATTATTAGGTCTTATTTCAATCTGATCACCATTGTAATAACTTCCTGTATCGATGAATGCAGTGATAATAAATTATTATTATACATAGTTTTATTTTATTTTTCAAATTGGTCCACAAAATGTAACTAATTTACCACACCCTAGATGCATCCTACTGATGAATGCCCATGGCATAGAAAATTTACTTATTACCAAAATGGCACTTGGTAGTCGTCTGATTTAAAGTATTGAATTTTCTATTTCCCATTTCCTTTAGAGTGTAATTAGTCATTTGGATGAAATGAAAAAAAAGATGTCTAGCTGGGTATCTTTAGACATTCTTGTAAAAGACAGAATTCTAGGATTAGACAGAAAAACCACTGTCCAGTCAAATTTTCCCCCACTGCACAGTAAATAAAAATAACCAAGAATTGGTCTTTTTATGTCCAAGTAAACATTGGCCCAACTTGATTCCATTCATTCCCAGCCGTCACATGTAGGACCTCACAAGATGTAAAAAGGGCTAACCCTAGCCCTTACCCACAATCTCGAGCAGTAGCCCTGTTTACATCTCACGACCTTGACGTAATCTGCAGGATTTCAAACAGATATTTTATATTTTAGTTCTGAGTACACAGTGCATTTCTTGGCTCGACTATCGCAGACCCAGAACCTTGGACACATGGCGTGTCTCATCAAGTAGAAATGAAATGAAATGGGGTTTAACGTCCTACTGTTTTGCTCCGAACTGGGCTAATGAAGACGGGCATACGCCATACAGTGTGTTATGAGGGAAATTTTGCCCGGACAGTGGCACTACGGCCTACTCTTATATCGAATTCCAACTGTCAAGGGATCTTTTACGTGCACGTCAATGTGTACAAAGGACCTCGGTTTTTCGTCCCATCCGAACGACTAGACAGCTTTCCTTGTCAGCCCATCCGTCCTGCATCACTGACAAGGGGGAACCACGCCGGAAAATCTGGATGAACTTTCTCGGCCAATGCAGGGATCGAACACGCGACCTCCAGGCTAGCGAGCCAGCGTCTTAGCCACTCAGCCACCGTGATCCCCCTCATCAAGTAGAAGCATGAGATAAAAACATATCTTCTCACATGAACTCAACAATCACATTGACTTATGAAAGACGTAACTTTTCACAGGCTCAGGGTCTTTAGCAATGGGAGAAAACCAGAGGACCCAGAGAAATCTCACAAAGTTAGGCAGGCGAATCTATTCTTTGTTACTAACAAACATGAAACCGAAACCATGCCACTTGACTTGTTGACCTATAGCCCACATGTTAGACAGCGACAACCACAATGAAAGTTTTATCATTTTTGGACCCATTTATGACATCAGAAATCCATAATGTCATTAGTCAAGCATGGCACCCCACACAGAAACCTGGGGAAGAAACTGTTATTGATCAAATCATGTACATTTCCACATATTTGTCGACATGGGAAAACACAATCTCGATTCAATTCCATGATAAAACTATGATTTCTATTTCTAGCATGTTGGAAGTTGTTCCAGCAGCAGCTGTCCATTTGGCGTCCAATAGATTTTGTCTTATAAAAAAAACAGGCTGTGATACATAATAATTTTTAATTGATAGATATTAAAAATCAACAACTGTTTAGATAAAATAGGTATTTATTCTTCAACACAAGATAACACAAAAAAAAAAAAAAATTCTTCAAAGACTCAGAAACATCTTAAAGTTACATTTACCTAAAAGAATCATGTATAAAATCATGAATGGATATCTCAAATAATTGGGCATCAGCAGAACAGTTCAATTACTGTATTACAAAAAATTAATGGTACATTGAAAAAATGTTCGTAACAAGACATGCAACAACAAAGGTACACCATTTAAAAATATTATTATATGCTATTTATTATGTATGTAAAGTACTGTCTCACATGACCCCCTCCCCACCTCTGTATCTGCCCCTAAAGCACTGTATCTACATGGCATGCATATGTAAAACACTGACTCTACATGGTATTAATATGAGAAGCATTCTCTACATGGTATTAAATTAATATCTTAAGCACTGTCTCTACATGGTATTAATATGTAAAGCACTGTTTCTACATGATATTAATATGTAAAGCACTGTTTCTACATGATATTAATATGTAAAGCACTGTCTCTACATGACATCACTGTCTCTACATGATATCACTGTTTCTACATGGTATTAATATGTAAAGCACTGTCTCTACAAGGTATTAATATGTAAAGCACTGTTTCTACATAGAGCATAGCACCTATATGGTATTAATATGTAAAGCACTGTTTCCACATGGTATTAATATTTACAGAATTACAGCCTCACATAGTATTAATAAAGCTCTGTCTCTATATTGCAAAATACTATATTCTAAGTAGGCCAGTGCTTGGATAATTGAAACTAGTTACTTTCAATATGATACTATATAAACTAATTCGCATTTGACTGAAATCTTGAAGAACGTCACAAAAATGTAAAACATAACATATGTATGGAAATCTTTAATGAGTCGTAGGTGGATAAACTGAACACAACTACCCAAGTAAAAAGACACAATTTGTTTAATAACTAAGCAAAGAGCCACAACAAAACTTGAATACAGAGTCTAGAGCACAAATGTGCGATTGTAAATGGAAAATCTCTTTAAAAAATAACATTAAAGATACATTATGTAAGATTTAGATAAAGAGCTGACCATTCTTGCTATAATAGCTCAAAAATAGATGATGCATAATTATCTTGTTTATATGATAACGAACGTAATCGAATTCAGGAATAATACTTAGCCACAGCTTAATGTTATTTTTGAAATAGATTTTTCATTTTACACCTGCCTGTAAGTGCACATGGAGCGATAGTAGTCTTTCAAAAACAAAAACTACATCCTATGTGCCTGTCCCCAAAAGAATATTATCTCGGAAAAAAAAAATCTGTAGTGGAAAAGCAGCAATATAACAACAATTGAATTGAAATGAAAAAAAAAATATACTGGAATTACTTAAGAGAAGGGAATTCATCTGGTAGTAGAGTATGAACACGACAGTTTGGACAAGTTGTCTGTTCATTAAACCATTGTCTTATACACTGAAAATTATAAAAAAAAACATAATAAATTATACCATATAAATATCAGTAACTTTTATTATTTAAGATATATTATTAAAACTTTGTAATGTGTAACTATATCATGGCTAACAATATTGTTATCTTTACAAATTATTGATTCTAAATTCATCCTTAAGAAATTTAGCAAGTTATGCAGTTTATTTTGATACGTTAACTGAGTTATAGATTAATACACGTTGGTTATTTACATTTTCTTTGTCATAAACGTATACCATATTTGTTGACCAAATTAGGTAAATCCCTGCCAATATGTGGGGTATGGTGCATGCCCATTCCATATTTGGAATTTAGCTGTAATCAATCTATGACGTAAATCAATTAGGGCTAGGCACCTATAAGAGAGAATAGTTTTAGACACCGTCTGGGTTCTTTAGACGACCATTTCATGATGTAGTAGATTTCCTATGTCTAGCCACGCTGCTTAAACTTGTACAGAAGTGGGATGGATAGAATGACTTTTATGTATACCATACTGTTGTGACAGCAAAAAAATATTGGTGCTTTTGTTACATATGGTGAAGTCCTTAAGAAGAGAGATAAAACAGTAGCCAGTCCAGAGTCAAACAAACCCCTAGGGCCTAAACAATAAGGCCAAAACAAAGATATGTGGCAGCGGTAGTCCCACAAATGACTTCCATAGCAAGTAGTAGATTAGAGAAATAAAAAGTAGGATGTTAAACCCCATCTCATAATGTTTAAAATAGTCCCTATCACCAGGACTTAAGTTATATAGCAATATTGATAACATACTAGTAGTCGCTATCACTATGACTTAAGATATAGCAATAAGGATAACATTCCAGTAGTCTCTATCACCATGACTTAAGATATACAGACAATAATGATAACATACCAGTTCATGGAAACTATGTTTACATTCTAATATACGGACAGGTTGTAGAGATAAATCATCGTGACATATAGCACATGGATCTTCATCTTCCCTAAACAACTCAAGGCCAGGGGTAGATAATCCTTTATTAGTAGTAAAACCAGGTGGCTCTTTAGATTGCTGTACCTATCAATAGAGGTTATATTTATTATAATACATTTTTTATATTCAATCCTTTCTAATATTCAAATGTTCGTTACCAAAGATTAGCCCTGTTCATTAATTCTTTTAAGGGAAAATTTGTCTTGCATCACACTATTATTACAAAATCAGGGGGGTTGGATGGCCGAATGGTTAACATGTGCGCGCTGTATCATAAGGTCTGTCATTGAGTCAACTGGCATAGTTTCGATTCCCCGGTTGTACGTGGCAAGGAGTAGGGTCGTCTGTCCAATCTCGTGGGTTTTCTCCGGGTCCTCCGGTTTACTCCCACTGCTAAAGACCCCTATGCGCAAGCGAATTATTGAAATGAAATTGAACCATGTGTTAGCCTCGAAAAATTTACTAGTTTGAGTGGACGTTAAACCCCATTTCTCTCTCTCTCCCCATTACCAATAGCAAAAAGTGAATCACAATTTAATTTTGATAAATTCTTGTTTAACCCAATTAAAACATATTCAGTTTTATCATCATTGAGTTTTAGAAAAATTTTCAACATTCCATAATCTGATTTCAGAAATAAACATTGCTCCATTTCAAATTTAGAATTAACACAGGAAACAGGGTTTTGGTGTCAAATTGGAATATACAGCTGTGTGTCATCTGCATATAAATGGAAATCAAGATCATGGACAAGGTTTCGAACAAGATCACCTAGAAGTGAAGTATACAAAGTAAATAAAATTGGGCCAAGGACTGAGTCTTGTGGTACACCAAAATCTAATACACATTCAGAATATGATTGATCATTAATTTTATAACAATACTCTGTTTCCATCCACATAAATAGCTTTCTAAAAGTTTTAGTGCAGAACAAATGCCAAATTTAAAACGAAGACAATTTAAATGAATAAAATGATTAACAGTATCAAAAGCAGCAGATAAATTAATAAAATTAATGAAATACAGTGACGATTATCAAGTGAAAGTAAAATGTCCTTAGAAACACATGTCAGAGCAGTATCTGTGCTATGAAACCTTTTGTAAGCACTCTGAAATGGTTCATTTTTGAAAAACTGATTAACCTTAACTAAATTACTACATTTTATCAATGCACTGTGTTCAGAATGGTTATTGTTGCAAAGATAATCCTAAAAATTGAAAAGTTTTGAATGAAAATCAAGAAAGAAGAATAAATTGTACCTGGTTATTTTGTTTCGTAAGTTTTTCTATCACAAAATGTACGATACTTTCAAGTGATAAACCACTCAAACTACCTCCACGTACAATACGTAATTCATGTATCATTTGTCGAAAATCAGACCTGAAATAATTTAAAACTAATTGTCAAACAAGAGTTATATATGAAATAATTATGTGGAATCTACAGGGAGCTGGAATACAGGGTGTTCGATTGTCAGTCTGCAATGTTTTGAAATGATGGAATTGTAATAGAGTGATAAGGAATCAAGTTCTGTCACAGAAAATGGTTATGGTGTAAGCAGAATCATGATATAATCAAATGGTTCAGCTATGGTAATTGCAGTGGACTGTCACATCCGATGTCTGATCACTCCGGATTGCTGTGATATACGACCTGATTTTCATGTCCCGATTTATTTCCTTATTACTTCAGCCAAAAAATCGCTGGTAAATCCGGATTCTGTATGTTCCGGATTACGACATCAATCAGCCGTCCCGTCACATAATTTCCATTGAATCGACACCGTATAATCCGTACTTCAAACGGTGGGTGTGAAGCATCCAATTATCGGTGAGATTAAAACTCAATGGGTGTGAAGCCAGAAAAGATTAACAAGCAATCACCAATCAATTATCGGTGAGATTAAAACTCGCAAGTGCCGGTCTGTGTTGATTACTTTGATAATGTTATAAATTCTTTGTTGATTATTTTACAATTTATAATCTCTTGCAAGAGTGCGCTTGGTATTTGATTTTAGTTACTCATGTCAAATACCGCGACATCATATAAAAATTGCCGCGATTGAAGAATCATTATACATTATTGTATTCAAAATGTCTGAACGTCCTGCAAAGCGTGCCCAAACAGATTTGACATTAGATGTAAAGCGGCAACTTATAGCAGATTTCGAGAAAGTTCCACAACCTGCGCAGAAGGAATTAGCCATTAAGTATTCAATTGGCTGAGCTACAGTGTCAGACATATTAAAGCGTAAAGATGAATTTAAACAGAAGTTTGCCGATAATTTAAACTGCAGTAAGAAACGATTTTACACCAACTCGTGAATATATTGTGCGCATGCATTGTTATTGTTAATTATTTAATGTAATAAAATTTTGAAAGTACAGAAAGTTTAATCATTTTTAAAGGGAATAGCATTCTGGTGAATCGAAGCTACAATATAAAAATACTTCCGGTTTTCGAAGTTACAGTATTTCCGGTTTTGGAGAAAGCTCGGTATTCCCACACGCTGTGTGATCCGAAATATTGTAACGATCCCGTACGATGTCGGGTGTGACAGAGACCACTGTAGTGTACATTAGTTCATCTCAATGAGACACATAATTACATGGAATACCTCTTCTGATTTATGGAATACCTCTTCTGATTTACGAAATACCTCTTCTGATTTATGGTATACCTCTCATGATTTATGAAATACCTCTTCTGATTTATGGCATACCTCTCCTGGTTTATGGAATACTTCTTCAATAAAGACAGGTAAATGGAGCTATATATATATAGAGAGCTAGCATACACAGCCCCATACATGGAACAGATGCTGATTAATAAGACAGAACAAGTCCTGATTATTAAGACAGACAAGTCCTGATTAACAAGACGAAACAAGTTATGAAAAACATAAAACTTACTTGTTATGAGTGGGAAATGTCTTATTTAATGTAGCAATTAGTTTATCCATGCTGGTTTTAGGAGCAGACGATACAGGTGATGGTGGTTCTGGAAACCTGGTACCTGCTACTCCAACAAGTGAGGGTCGTATGGATGTCATCCCAGGTGGAGGAGGTCTATTTAAGGGAGTTTGTTGAACAAAAGTGATGTGTGATCCTGTTTGTAAACCAACTTGTGGTAACATATAAGGAGGCTGTGTTTGTCCCCTAGCAGCAATACCAGGATTATCTGGACCAGAAGGGGAGTTGTTTTGGTTTCTCATCCGGTTGAATCCTTGAGATGGTACCTTGAAATAGATACATTAACGAGACATAATGCCAAATAATATTAAGATAAGATGAAGTAGTTGAGACTAGGTGACACACTGAACAGAACATTTAACAGATTCTTTGAGCTTGAGATTCTTTTACATACCATATTCTGCATTACAGGCAACGGTGGTGGGGAATAAGATATGGGAGGTAACTCTGATAACTTCTTTCCTTCTCCAATCTGTTTTATTTGACTTTCAAACTCCTTCTACAAAATATATAAAATCAGATATTATCGTCAATTTTACAGATCAAAATTCACAATATTAAAGATGCATTAAGTAAGAGCTAAATCTGCATATTGCAGGTCTATTTTCTGGCTTCAAATGTTATAGAAATTATTATTTCGACATTTATTCACATGAAAAGCCCATAGTCAATTCTCTAGACCATTGGATGGCCGAGATTTAAATGGATTTGAACATCACAAAATTTAAAAATTGATAATCAAGTACTGTTGCTACAATAATAAACGATCTGCATGACAGCTTCAAACAGTGATAATTTTGCTCAGAATAAAGCAATTCGAATTAAATTTTCAAAATATTCATTTTTAATTATCTATTTTGAACACTTATAGCAAAAACGACCAGCTCTTTATCTAAATCTTAGATAATGCATCTTTAAGAACACTGGACGACTGGTTTATTTTAATACACATTGAGTCTGTCAGATATTTCTATTTTAACAATATCATGAAGACTCGATAAACAAAATCCTGCATCATTGTACAGGGAAAACTAAGTTATATTTGATTCCATGGAAACACAAAAATTATTAAAAACCGAGAAATTTCTAATTTGCAAAAGGCACAACTACTATAATACAGTGATGCATGTACAGAATTTCATGATTTTATCTTGAACGATTTATGAGATATGCTCTGGAAACAAAACTGGGAGAGACATGCAAACAGACAAACCCTGTTTCAATATCCCTCCATACCTTAACTTTGTTTGCCGTGGGATAATAATTGTGAGAATCACATCTCTATAATAATACAATATAGTAGTTATATAAAACTAACCCGAAGTTCTGTTATTTTAACATCAGTCATTTCTAGAATATTTTGCCAGTGTTTTAAAGCATGGGATGCTTGGGGTTGAATCGTAGTTTTATCATCCAGACTTCTGAAAAACAGATATTTTATTTGTCTAATAACCGCATCTCAATCTATTGAAAACTTAATATATATTTCATTTTATGATCTTTTAGAGGCATTTCGAGAGAGAGAGAGAAATGGGGTTTAACGTCCACTCGACACAAACTAGGTCATTACGGGACTAACATATGGTTTAATTTTATTTCAATAATTCGCTTGTGCGTAGGGGTCTTTAGCAGTTGGAGGAAACCGGAGGACCCGGAGAAAACCCACAAGGTTGGACAGGCGACCCTACTCCTTGTCACGTACAACCGGGGATTCGAAACCACGCCAGCTGACTCAATGACAGGCTTTCTGATACAGCAGGCGCGTGCTAACCATTCGGCCATCCAACCCCCCTTTAGAGGCATTTAGTAACCAGATAAAGTAATCAACTACAACACATACTTATGGAAAACAGGTACGTTTCGAGGAGTATACTCTCATACTTTAGTAATGGCATTTAGTAACTGGATAGAGTAATAAATCATAACACATACTTATGGAAAACAGCTACTAATTTGTTTAGGCAATGTTTTGAAGAGTATCCTCTCAATATTATCATGCTGTTTCATTATTTGAACTGTCAAACTTACTTTTGTACTAATCGGGTTAAATGTTCCACATGAAAACTTGCTTCCTTTTTTACCTGAGTGAATGATTTCTCCATCATCTCTAGTTGAACATTTAAAACCTTCAACTGATAAAAAATAAAACAACAAATTTTAGCATAAATTATTTGATACTGGGTTTAATTCAAGCTCAGAATTAAGCTTCTAGCTGATGACATTATATAGGGTTCAAATACAGATTTTACAGGCATAATATTTGGTGCCCAAATAAAGGTTGAAAAATATATAACAGATAGGAACTTGGTTTTTCATCACATCCGAAAGACTATATGTTTTCCCTTGCCTGACCGTCCGTACTGCACCACTGACAAGGGGGAACCACACTGAAAAATATTCCGATTAACTTTCTTGGCCAACAACGGGATCGAAAAAGTGGCATACCGGTTAGCGAGTCAACAACTTACTCACTGAGCCAGCACATCTACAGATTGACAATGTATGAATGTATTAAATACAAAGTAAGGGCACGAGTCAAAAAATACAAAGAATTATTTATGTATAGCACAAGCGTATCTACCTCGGCTGTTTTAGCTCTTTGTAAATCAATAGAATTGATAGTTCGCCATCTTTCTGAAAGTTGTTGATTAGACAACTTATATTGCTCTAATTCCTCTCTAAAATAACATAAAAAGTAAAAATTAAGGCAAAATGTGGGATAATGATACAAACATATCTACATATTAAAAATAACAATTCTTATCAACTACAAAATGGTAAATCATAGGAACTATCCATAATTTTTTTAATAACCACTTGCAACCCAACATATAAAAATATCTTAAAAATAATGCATGTATTAAAAAAGTTCCATTTTGTGATTTTATTCTACTATAAGATTGTATCTGTTTTTTGTTGAATATCGATGTCCATATTGCAGTCCAAGAATGCAGAATAGTTCCACACAAGACAGTAGTGCTACAGTATTTGTGTCTAATCCTGGCCATGATTGGAAGAATAAACTGAACTGAAACTATTTTTGTACAACAGACTACCGGTACATATATCTTAAATACAATCAATACGATCTAAATAACTAATTAGTTCTTACCGCGTTGTACGAAGATCTTGTAGATCAGAAATGTGCTTTTGTTTTATTTCTTCTAATTCTTGGTCTTTACAGCTTAGTGTATTTATCAGACTAAAATATATAAATACTATTAGGTTAGAAAGTATAAATATCCATTGGGTCAGAATGTATAAATATCTATCAGGTTAAAATATATAAATATCCATTTGAATAATATGTAAATCAATATCCACTAGACTAAAATATATCAATATCCATTAGAATAATATCTATATAAATATCCATCGGACTAATATATATATATATATATATATATATATATATATATATATATATATATATATATATATATATATAAATATCTATTAGATTAACATATACAAATATCCATTAGACTATAAATATACAAATAGCAATTAGAATATATGTATATAAATATCCAATAGAATATATGTATATAAATATCCAATAGAATATATGTATATAAATATCCACTGGACTAAAATATATAAATTTATAATTATAAATATCCATTAGACTAACATATACAAATAACCATTAGAATGATTAGACTATAAATATGCAAATATCCATTAGGTTAAAATATTTGTCATGTATCCATTAGGCTAACATATAAAAATATCCATTAGACTAAAATAAACAGATATCCAGTTATGATATCTAAAACCTTGTACAAAATTCCAATGAAAAAAATATTCTAATTATAGAATTCAGATCATAAAACAATATTTCAGATGTGTTTTTACAAATAATATGTGAAGATAGGTGAAGTCTATTTTACAAACTAAACCTTTATATATATTAAATATCTAAAAATAAACTCACCCTTCTATAAGAGTGCTACTATCTGCTATAGCTTTATTTAATGTTTCTTTATCTGTTATAAGTGAGGTCGTTTTCTCTTGCATTGTTACACGATTACTTTCATATTCAATCTGTAAATATAATATAAACATTTTACAACAATCTAATATTTCTCCCTTTTTTAACCAGCGGCTGCCAGGTAGGATACGCCCACATTTTCGAGAGATGGATAGAGAACAAGCTAACAAGAAAGTGATTTTTCCTACAATCAAGGGCCATAATTCAGGAAATTACAATTCGATATGCGCATATATCGAAAGGAACTGAACGAACGGCAGCCATTTTGTCTGTCAATTTTGGGTAGATTTTCAGTCGTCCTTAGGGTGTAACGGTGATATAATAATACGGTTTTTTAAATTGGATAAAAATTATGACCTCTATAGGGTCCACAAGCTAAAAACGCGATTTTCGTACAATCAGGGGCCATAATTCAGGAAATTACGGTCCGATATTCGCGAATATCGAAAAGAACCGAGATCTTTGGGTTATAGACTTACATTTCAAGTTTCAACAAAATCAGATAAAAATTGTGACCTCTATAGGGTCCACAACCTTGATATACCATTTTCTTACGCTATTTGAGAACGAACAACGGCCATCCTTAGGGTGTAACGGTGATATAATAGAACGTTTTTTTTAAATCAGATAAAAATTATGACTTCTACAGGGTCCACAAGCTAAAAACATGATTTTTCGTACAATCAGGGGCCATAATTCAGGAAGTTACGGTCCGATATGCACGAATATCGAAAGGAACCGAGAACTTTGGGTTATTAACTTACATTTCAAGTTTCAACAAAATCGGATAAAAATTGTGACCTCTATAGGGTCCACAACCTTGATATACCATATTCTTACGCTATTTGGGAACGAACGGCGGCCATTTTGTCTGTCAATTTTGGGCCGATTTTCACGAAATTCGAACTCAGTCATCCTTAGGGTGTAACGGTGATATAATAGAACGTTTTTTTAAATCGGATAAAAATTATGACTTCTATAGGGTCCACAAGCTAAAAACGTGATTTTTCGTACAATCAGGGGCCATAATTCAGGAAGTTACTGACCGATATGCGCAAATATCGAAAGGAACTGAGATCTTTGGGTTATAAACTTACATTTCAAGTTTCAACAAAATCGGATAAAAATTGTGACCTCTATAGGGTCCACAAGCTAAAAACGTGATTTTTCGTACAAACAGGGGCCATAATCCATGAAGTTTCGATCCGATACATGCCAATATCGAAAGCAGCCGAGATCTTTTGGGGATAAACCCATATTTCAAGTTTCGTCGAAATCGGATAAGAATTGTGACCTGTAGAGAGTCCACAAACAATTGTGGACAGACGGACAGGGGCGACGGCATAATACGTCCACATGAAAATGTGGGCGTATAAAAAGCCACGCTAAAGTAAAATACGTACATATTTTTCATTCAGCTCTGATAGTACATGCAGTTAATTTATTCTTAATTCACATTAAACCTAAATTTCAATCCGCTGTACACAAAATAAATTTTGTTAACTTTTAAACTTTAAAATTATGAACTGTAACTAACAATCTTGCTGTGTCACCTTAAAATGGTCAGTCCACTGCCTGTTTAGGGATTTAATACAAAAATATAACCTCACCTTAATATTTTTTTCTTGCTGTTTAAGTCGACATATTTCTTTATATAATTGTTCATTCTCATAGATCAACTTTCCTACGTTTAATTCTGTATTAACTGCAACATCTGTAGTAAATACTACTGTTTGTATCTCTGCATCACATGATGTTATATCTCTCTTCTCATTGGCTCTAGCTGATGGCTGAGGAAAAGTAGTTTGATTGCCTTCAATGGGTGCAGAGTTGTTGCGATTTAAGGTATGAAATTGCGAATCTGGAGGAAAGGAGGTGGGACTGAATGAATACGGAACATTTGATGGCATGTATGGAAAACCCTGAAGATTTCCTCTAAGTGAGGGAGCAATAGAGAAAGGATTAAAAGGAGCTCTGGTTGGAGGAATTTGTAGTGATTTAGCGAAAGCTCCACCAGAAGTATTTGTGGATACATCGGTAGGTTTAGGGTTGGGCCAGTTAGCTTCTACATTAGACTGCAATGGAGAATTAAAAACTGAGCTTGTCCCAGAATTACATGTCGACCATAAACTATGTTGAGAACTAACTCCCGAATCGGTATTTTCTTTTGAGTATTGTTGAGTAGATAAAAAGGGGTTGGGGGGAATTATAGGGGGTGGTACAGTTAAATCGATTTTAGGGAACAAATGATTGATAGAGGGAATATCTAGCACTGTTGATGAATGGGGTTTAGGAGGTGATGTGTCTGAACTACTCGAAGGTGATTTATCAACACTATGATCGGATTCCGGTGTTGATCTTTCAAATAATTTCTGTTCATTATAAAAACTGGGGAAAATATTGGTAGTCTCTTTAGTTTGTATAGAATCATTAGTTATCTCCAGTGTTCTCAAATTGTTGTCAATATTTACGTCTAAAATATTAGCAGAAACAGAATTCGGTTCACCAGTCAAATTATTACTAGTTTTATCACTTATGTTGTTTTGAGTTTTTGAGGCAATCACCGAGATTGATCCTAGGACTGGATTAACAGGAATGTCCTTACATGTTTTCTGTACATGGGGCGGTATAGAGTTTGTTGATTTGGAACTGATAGAACTGGGTGACGATGTACGATATAACATCCCTGCAGATATGTCGCTAAGTTCCGATATATCTGACACTGAACTACTTCCACTATGTATATGATCCCGGGTTCGTGGTTTGTAACCATCGATAGACGAAGTGTCATCCATATCATCATAATCATTAACGGAACTTTTATAATTCGATGGCGTGATATCAAAATCGTCAATATCGTCCAATTTATTAAAAGATTTCACAGGCGAACAAGTACTATTAACAGGAATGTTGAAATCATCTAAAGTATTGTACTCTTTCTTTTTTCGCAGATTTTTTTTACCGTCTCCATTAACCGTTTGAAATTTTAGAAGATCATTTACTAATTGTTCATCGGCTGGTTTCACCTCACGCTTGGTTTTGTTTACTTTGCGTTTCTCCATTCTTTCTCTCCAGACATTCACTTCTGTATCTTGTTTAGAAGTACCAGATGAAACTTCATTTTCCTCTGAATCAAAAACAGCTGATCGAAGTTTAGTAGGCTTCGGAAGCGGAGTTACAGGTTCTCTATCAAGTTTATGCGTAACTACACTAGGTGGTAAAGTGATATCATCCAATGAAGATGCAGAATGGGACACAGGTTCTCTATCAAGTTTATGTGTTACTACACCAGACGGTAAAGTGATATCATCCAATGAGGATGCAGAATGGGAGACAATATTAGTTTGTACAGGGGGTAAACTAGATTGGGCATCCATTGTTCCAACTTGTTTCCCAACACTATTATTATTTCTGTTTTGTTTAAATTGAGACATTACGGTCGCACGAACAGCGTCTTTCAAGACACAAACAAAGTCATTAATCATCGCAAATTTGAGGGATTGTTGAAGAAAATGTCGAAGGCCACCAACTTTTTGTATAACTTCCATGGCTTCAGGAGGAAAGTGTGATATCTCATTTAGTAGAAGTCTATCCTGAACATGTAATGGTCCATGAGCTTCTAAAAATTCAGCAAAATAACTAAAAATAAAAAACAAAATAAACATATGATTCAACATAGCCAAAAACAGCAATAAGTTGTGTTAGGTGTTATGTACAGAATAAGATCTGCCTACTCTTCAAACATGAAAAGTGTGCCTTATTCTTTGGGTGGGACAAAAACCATAAAAACATTGGTGACTGTTCAAAATCAAAAAAGAATAACTATAAAAATATAAACTATCATTTATCTCTCTTAAAATGGCTGAAGTATTGACCAGACCATAAACCCTATTCCATTTCTTACTCCTTCAAGAACACTTTATACCACTTCTCATTTACTTGGGAAGTTCACTTGGCTAACATTTGTCATTATTTTATGCACCACACTATATAAGAATAGTCTACAATAAAAACCTCTATTTGCCCCACACTCAAACCTGTGTGTTAGTTTCAGAATGACCAAGACATTAAAGATACCTTCCCATGTACAATCTGGGTGATTTGATGATATATTTGGACTAAAAAGCTAATAAACCTATCAAAATTTTGCTTCAAATCCCTCTCAAAACATTGTATTTGTGAGGAAATACCTCAAGCTATAAAAAATCTATAAAAGCAAGCCACGTTTATGTCACATGACTCAGAGGTCACGGTAACTAGCAACAGGTGCGAAGCCGGAGGAGGATTCATTGCATATAAAAGATGATATCGTCTTTAATTTACCATAAATATCAAATCCTAAGTAAATTCTGGGATTATCACCCGCCCACTTCTTTTTCTGTTTAAGTCTCTCACTTTTTTCACGTCCGCTCAATATCATTATTATCAACATTTACATTAAGCGCTCCCTAATGAAAAGAGGTCAGACAATCTAAGCGTGCAACCTTGGACGTCACTCGAGTAGACAGCCTAAATTGTCAAGGTGACAATTACTGACGCCCTCTCATTTTTGTCCTGTGCACCCTCCATGGATGTTTTTCATGGAATCCAGTATTATTCTAGTACGATTGGGTGACTCTACTTTCCATATATATCAAAATTGCCATATTTAACCACCCGTTAAATCCTTTTGTGGGAATGTATCTTTAAAGGCTAATGATTATTATTTTTGTTTTGTGTCTTTATATATATTGTGATAAAAAAAGAACCTTGGGTAATATACAGTGAAATTTATACATGGCAGATACATTGGCTGTTGTCAGGGCTATAGATAGCATCAAGAAAGCTGCAGTGGCTCAGTGAGTGAAAGACAACTGGAATTTTATATAAGAGTAGACTTTAATGCCGCTCTCCAGGCAAAATTTCCCAGTATGGCTTATGCCTGTCTTCACTAACCCAGTCAGTGCAGGAAAGTAGGATTTCATTTCAGATATCAAAGGTCCTGTTATTTCCATTTTAACTTGATATGTTTACTGGTGTAGTAAGAATATTTATATAATAATAACTTACCTAAAAAGATTTTGAGAGACAGAATCATCAACTGGTGTATTATTAAACGGTACAGTACTGGCTTCACTGAAATCATATAATTTTAAAAGTAAACAAACAGATAGGGGAACCTTTTGGTATTTATATCTTATTGTTAATGCCATCAGGTGCAAAAGTAATTAAGGACTAAGGCTCTCCATTGACATTATGTAAGATTTAGATAAAGAGCTGGCCGTTCTAATGGAGATCTTGCTATTATAGTTTAAAAACAGATAATGCAAAATTATCACTGTTTGTAGTTTTGACAAGATATTGCATTGATCATTTATTATCTTAACCACAGTACTGGTATACATGTATATGAGACTTAGCCTTCCTTCCCATTTTTAAATTAAATCATTAAATGGCCAATACATTTTGACTTTCTGAGAAAATATGAAACTATCGATTGAACTGCTGTGCCATGTCGCTCTGTGTACTGGAAATAAAAAAGATATTTACCTCTTTATTTTTTCAGTAAGCTCAAAATCTGTATGTGTACCTTCCAAAGTGTCTTCTTTACGATCAGTAAAATTAACTTCTAAATTTAAAACAGTTGATGACTTCTTTTTATCCTTCTTCTTGGATTTCGATGGTTTGGATTTAAACTAAAAAGATGAAACGAGGAATGAAAATTTGACAATAAAACTGGAGATTTTCCACGATTGTGAGTTTGACTTCACAACCAAAGTTTCCTTGAATATGACATTTTTTGCCCTGGAATCCGCCTAAAATGACCCTGACCTTTACCTAATATACCTTTGACCCGCCAACTAATCAGTCATTGACCCCACACCTAATGTGCCTGTGACCTTACGCCCTATATGCCATTGAATGCCCATGGCTAAAATGCCCTTGACTCTTGACCTTGAACCCCATCCTATCCCCCTATGTAATATGTGTTTGACTTACAACCTAATACAACCATGACACAGGGTCTAACAAGGCGAACAGTGTAACTGTTTTATAACAATGGCTAGAGATGAACAAAAACATTTATACTCCATCACTTCATCACATACCCATAATGTGATAATTTATATCTCTCTGGCAGATGCCATCATATTTCAACTGTGGATGGTTCACTGTTGCAGCAAAAAATAAAATCTAAAAGACACTCAATGGAGGGAGGGAGTAGAAGGAAAGGAGGGAGAGGGAGGGAGAGAGGGAGGGGGAGAGAGAGGGGAAGGGGTTGGATTATCAAGAAAAATTATGTTCCGGTATCTCTACCTTATGTTTATCATCTGTCGTTTCAGTATCTTTTTTATTTATCGTTATATTAGTTTCTCGTAATTGTTGTACCGGAGCATAATTTTCATATCTGTTAGTTTGCTCTTTAGGTCGTGCTCCTGGTGAATGGCTGTTCTCTTTATCATCAAACTTAGCGTCACGTTTCCGCTGTTTACGTAATTCTTTTCTAGCCAGTCGCTTAGCAACAGTTGCAGCACTGAAGTTACAAATTTTAAACATGGATATAGGAATGAATATGTTGGTTATAACCATCAATATGAACAATACATCTTGAACCATGAATGAATTCATAATTCCACATGGCTCAAATGATTATGACGCTGGCTCACCAACCAGTAGTTCCTGTGCTTTCATCAGTAGACTGAGACAACAAATACAGTAGTAACAATAGGTTTACCGGTAGACAATTTAATAATAATTATGTAAGTGAGTTCCTATAAATGTTGAAATGTGATGTTTGTGACAAGTTATTTAGTCACACAAACCTTTAAGAAAGTAAAAACACAACGATAAATTCGCACACTCACCAGAATTTTGTTGTTAAGATATATGGCCTTATGTAATCAGATTAAAACACAGATCCTATTTCGTTTCATTTTTTATAAATCAAAATTTCGTTTTACTTGTCTTTACTACATTAGGATCTGGAAGAGTTATATAACCGGCGTTTTGGATGATGCGAGGGACTAGCCAATGAAACGGTATGTTACAGCAAGTTTTGGGGGGGAGGTGCACAGAACTTTGGGTAAACCACTAGAAACGTCAACGCTGATTGATTAATCAATGTCTGGAGTCATAAGGTCAAAAGCCGCTCTTAAGACACCTGACACGACCTTCCACTACTACTGGTCAAATCTTCATTTAGTGTAGGCAGTATAAAGTACCGGTATAAAAAATGAAAAGAGAGAGAGAGAGAGAGAAATGGGGTTTAACGTCCACTCGACACAAACTAGGTCATTTCGGGACTAACATGTGGTTTAATTTTTATTTCAATAATTCGTTGCGCGTAGGGGTCTTTAGCAGTGGGAGGAAACCGGAGGACCCGGAGAAAACCCACGAGGTTGGACAGGCGACCCTACTCCTTGTCACGTACAACCGGGGATCGAAACCACGCCAGTTGACTCAATGACAGGCTTTATGATACAACACGAACACGTGCTAACCATTCGGCAATCCAACCCCCCAAAAAATGAAAAGAAATATAGATCTATATATTAATCAGACTGATGTAATAGGTACTTCTTCAAACATTCACATTCAAGTTTGTTGACTTCCTTACCTTGGTTGCATTCGAACTATTGGTTTATGTTGCTGGATTGTGACAGGTGGCATATCTGATTTTACTGTTCGAGCATTTTCTAATAGAGGATTATTTTTAAAGACAGTGATGGTACAAACAAAAGACCAACAGTCAGGCGTAGGACATCTTGTATTTATCATTTCCTGTACAACAAAAATCAAACAAAATATTGGAAAAAAAAACATATTTGTTGTTATTTTATTACTATTCAGAAATAAGAAATTTTTCATTCATACAGAGTGACCCCCCCAAAAAAAACAAAAAAAACAGAACCCATAAATTTTTTTATTAAATCCTACAAAGGTCCAGCAAACGTGATAAAATTTGCTGGACTTAAACATCAGTCTGTGTACGATCAAGTTTCAGTTATCTTGGTGACTTCGCATAGAAGTCGTGTTCTTTCCAAGATATACTCCAAGTGGCCTCCACGGCATTGGAGGCAAACTTGCATAAGTTGCGCAAAATTGTCAATTACTCGAACACATTCCGCTTTAGGGATTTCCCTTGTTTAAAATATCAATACTAACTTACCTTATCATTTGTTATAGAATAAACTGATTTAAAAACTTTCCAACAATAATGATGAAACTCTATACGACAAGATGAAAAACATTCTAATCTAACATATCCCTAAAAAAAAATATAAACATTGTAATCTTACATAACCCTAAAAAAACATATAAAAACAAAACCCTAAAAAAATATATAAATAAGACTCAGGCATCAACATTACACACCATTTGTATACCAATAGCAAGTCAAATTTGATTCCATGGAAACAAACACAAAGTGATTAAATTCAAGAAATTTCGGATTAGCAAAACGCCCAAATGAAACAGCCTACACTTTTCATGATTCCAAGGAATCTATCATCGCATTAGAATTCAGTCAGCCATGATAACTATGTGAATAGAACTGTGATCTAATTAGACATGGTGCATGCGTTTTATCCAGAACTAATTCTGTAACGTTGTATTGAGTATTTACTTAATTTCAATAAAGTTACAATCGTCTGGAAGGTTCTATCAAGTATCTTGTAAATTTCCTTTATGTTGCAATTGCAAGTTCTATCGAGTATTTCATAATTGAGATTGTCTGTAATGTTCTTTCAGTTATTTCCTAAACGTCCTTTCAGTTAAAATTGTAATGCTACAAATATCTCCTAATGACTTTGTACGATATTATGTAATCATACTAAAAAAGTTCTTACCTTAAAATCTAAATCGGAAAAATATATAGCACTACGTTTTTCTTCTTGGTTTATTTCGTGAAGACGACATACAGCGTCAGGTTGCGGAGGAAAAATACTTCTGCTTAATAATTCCTTTAAACTTTTCTACAAACAAAATAGTGCACATGGAATAATTATTTAAGTTTCATGAATGCCAGAAATAAAGGAGCTAAATCTCTATTCTTTGGCATCTAGAAATGGACACAAATGGGTTGCAATGCATATAATAATGTAATATGAATGTATATAAGCTGATTTACATTCAATTGTTTCTGTTTTTACTGTAATTTCTAATCAGTTATGTTCGGTGAAATATGCGAAGAGTCTAAATTGAATGGCAGTCTTTGGTGTCTGGTTATTCCAGTCCACACCGGTGGTATTCTCCTACATGAGATATGTTTACACTCGTTCATCGAGTGGCTTCATACAACTGGTGCTCGAATGCATTCTGGCACACGATTCCTGTGTCAATTTTAAAATTTTCATTTTGTCTCAAATATTGGATATCAGAAGCCCAACTTTTCACTGTAAGATAACAACATCATTGTTAATTTAAATGGACCAATAAATCATGTTTGCAATGTCGAAGACTGTGGATGATATTGAGTTAAAGATCTGCCTACTTTAAACAACTATAAATAATAATGTTCTATTTTTGTAGGGTAGACAGAGAAATCAAATAACATGAAATGGGGTTGAATGTCCTACTTTTCTGCACCAGCCTGGGCAATGAGGCACACCCCATCCAACGAATGAGCTTTGCACTGACACAGTTGCTACAGCCTATTAGTGCTGGGTATTGCGACTGCAATCACGATACGAAACATATTGCAATTCAAGTACAGTACGATTCGTATCGTTATTCTTAACCAGGTCAATATTTACCAGGACAACAATAGGATAAATGAATAATTTATATTTTTATGGCGAGAATTTGTAATCCTGTCGAAGTCAAAGAAATAAAACTGTTTTATATCAAGATATTCACATGGATCAAAATTGAGACCAAAACAATCTAAGGGTATTCAATTAAGAGTGACAGGTTAATTATTAAAATGACAAAGAAAAAATAATTAAAAAGAATCGTAATAAATTGATTTAGAGGTGTACGTTTCAATACGCGAATCGTGATACATCTATTCAACGACATATCTTGCCAGCATTACTGCCTACTCTAATGCTCTTTTCTTGTCTGACCCTCGGCTTCCATCCTGCATACCTCATTTTGCCAAATGAAAAACAAAACAGATAAATATCTTACTTCTAGTATATCATTATCAGCATGTGGTATAACTTGGTCAACACCAGGCCATAATAATCGGCCACATCGTACACCACTTTTCACCAACTTCAAACCTGTTTTACATGGATCTATAGCTTCACTAAATCTGTAAATAAACCAAAGGCAGGTTTTGACACCAGGTTTGTTCTTTGTCCATCACTAAATCAGGAAACTGCACATCAAAGACAACAATGTAAAAAGTGCTAATACTTAAGTGCTTTTGAATGAAACAGTATAAAGATTTGTATAAAACTGCAAGTGGGCTTGAATAAACTGCAAATGGGCTTGAATAAAACAGAATGTGGGCTTGAACAAAACAGAATATTGGTGTGAATTAAACAGAATATTGGTGTGAATTAAACAGCAAGTGGGCATGAATAAAATAGAATATTGGTGTTACTAAAATAGAATATTGGTGTGACTAAAACAGAATATTGGTGTTATTATAATAGAACATTGGTGTTACTTAAATATAATATTGGTGTTACTAAAATAGAATATTGGTGTTACTATAATAAAACATATGCAAATATATAAGACCATATTTTACCTGAATAAATCAACATAACATTTCGCTAGACCATAATATAGTGGTGGAAAACGAATATTTATATGTGTCTCGTAGATTGATTGAAATTTACTCAATGCTGCTTTTATACTCTAGAATTAAAAAAAACAACATATTTTTAAAATAATAAGTTAAATTCCTGACAAAAAAATCGGAATAATGATAACTGACAGCGACAAGCCTGCGATGCAATCAGTAATCCTTGATATGTTCCAGTAATTTCAATGTAAAGTTCAAAACAAGTGAACTAACTGCACTAAATGTGTTTACAAAGTATAAATAATGTTGGAATGGATGTATTGTACAATACTGCTGTTGTCTACTGAATGACGTCATTAAGCTACAATATCAATACACTAGCAATAATAAGGGCGATAACTATAGGATGTCAATACATTTGTTATATATAATGACGATAATATAGTACCTTTAAAACTCCAACACCTAATGAAGCCATACCAGATGAATATTTTATTATGACTATTTCCATTTCTTCTATTTGTATCATGGTAGGTTGATGCTGTATCATATCTAGAGCTTGTTGATATCTGTCTACAGCCATCGTGAATCGGTTTTCCAAATACGCTTCAGAGCCCTCACGTAATGAAACCTTAAATTCTATTTCTGGTCCATCAACAGGTGTTCCTTCCTTTTCCTTTTCTTTATTCTTCTTCTTTTTCTGTTTTTTAGATTTCTTGACTGCTTTCACATTCTACAAAACATATACAAAATAACATTAGTAATGATGTGAAGTACCCAAATATTTAATACTGATGTCACATTAACGCATTGAGAGGGCTTAAAGATAAGTATAACACATTTCTCAATCCAATCAGATAGTTACTGAATAAATATATTGCTTATAAAAAAAAACATGCTGATGTCTAAAGCTTTTAATACAAATATCTGTGTACAGTCTTCTTTAGCCAGATTGCTGTAGAACAGTATGAAGTTAAACCCCATATCAGTTCATTTTATTTCAAAAGTCGATATTCATGATTCCCCAGTATCTCTTAACCTTCTGGGAACATCCAGTACTAATTTACATTCTATGAATTATCTCATTTGACAGGGAACATGCTGATGCTTAATGTACCGTAGTTTTCCAATGCATTTACTAGTTTGAATATTTCTGGTTAGGAAATGAAATGAAATTGAGTTTAACATCCTCTACTGTTCTGCATCAACAGGGCTATTAATGAATAAACTTTGTGATTTGACTGTAGAATAAATATGGCCGGTAACAGGTTGAGAACCCCACATATATAGGAAGTTAATAACTACCTGAGATTTATTATCACCGCTATCATTATCACTGACAAGACTTGGTAGATCCTATAATATAACAATATATCAGTTTTCTAATTCAGAAATTACAATAAGGAGAAATACTTATACCTAATGAACAAATACTCAAATAAAACCCTATTTATGGATAACAGTTTATTAAACTGCAAGTTTCTACAAGATACCATAAGTTGTTATCAAGCATATCAGAATGATAAATCAAAAAAGATATGGTTATAATTATATATATATATATATATAAGTGTTTTATTTGATTATGTTCTAATTTCTAAAATGTCATTCAAAGATTATAGCTAATGAAGGTTAAGGAAATGACAATAGAAAAGGCAAGGACAAGAATGGGATGTTAAATCTGCATTTTGAATATAAAAATTTGCCTAGAATAGGGAGACCATATTGAACATTTTTGTCAGAAAATTTCTCCTGATTTTATGTTAAAAAAAATATAATCCAATTATTCTGAAATGGGAGAGAGAGAGAGAGAGAGAGATAGAGAGTGTTTAACGTCCACTCAATACAAACTAGGTAATTTCGGTACAGACAACCCTACTCTTTGTCACATACAGTTTGGGCTCAAAACCATGCCTCTCGACTCAATGATTGACCGTATGATCTAAAACGCATGTGTTAGACCATTCGGTCACCCAACCTCCCCTTCTGAAACGGGAAGCTTCTTAACTGTATGTCATTTCCTTTGTAAAACAGAAAAGCTTTTTTATTGTGAATTACTGTCTTGATTTTGTTTTTGTTTAATTGATTATCTCAATAAGAATCTAGTATTTGTTTTGTAAACCCAAAAATGTAGTTCTTCTGAAAAATAGGTTGATTATTGGATAGCTATTTGAATATATGCATGGAATACTTGAGCACCAAATATCACAATTTTTTTGAGCAGTAAGTATGCAAATTAAATGTGAAAACCTTACGTGATCAGGGAGGAACACATTTATAGCAAATAAAAATATTACGTACATCTGTGTCATCAGTAACATTAAAAGATGCTACAATTGTTGAATTCAACAAAACTGGGGTCGAAGGTCGTCTTTTTGACAAGACAGGAGTTGAAGGTCGTCTTTTATTGTCTGGAACACTAAAACATAGGTAAATCAATATATATGTAGTAACAAAACAAATTTTATTTTCAGGATTTAATATTGGATACAACACTATTAGCAATACTTTAGATTTTTCTTGTCACATATATTTGCTGAAATAATTGAAAGAGAGAGAGAGAGAATGGGGTTAAGCATCGAGTCAACCCCACAAAATATTTAAAAGAAAATAAAAAATAATATAATGCCAAACAACAAACCACTTGTTATATATTTACCTTTTAGTCGGTCCCGTAGTTTCTTTGAGTACTGAAATAATATACAAAAAAATATCAGAATTAATTTCTAATAATATCTAATCGCATACAAAATATACATGCATAAGATCAAAGCGAGCTATAATTAGTGATGTATGGCTATGTTTATATCTGATTTCATTGTTGATCTACGGCATGTGGCATGACGCTAATAAATTTCTATGACATGATTAATATTACTTTCCTTACATAAAATTCAGTAACTGTAAGACGGTCAATTCATTATTCCATCCAACAACACACAAAACTTACATAGTTTGATCCTTTCTTCTTGTTCACACAAACATTTAAAATTGGCATCTTTAGGACACATGGTACGACCTAGCTGATTATAATTCCTCGCTATATCAAACTGTTTTAATTCTAATGCTGCTTCACAACATCTGTAATAACCCTGTAATATAACACATCATCTATAATAACCTTGTAATATAACACAACATCTATAATAACCCTGTAATATAACACAACATCTGTAACCCTATAATATACAACAACATTTATAATAACCCTGTAATATAACAAAACATCTATAATAACCCTGTAATATAACACAACATCTATGATAACCCTGTAATATAACACAACATCTATAATAACCCTATAATATAACCAAAGTGTAATGGGGTTTAACGTCCACTCGACACAAACTAGGTCATTTCGGAATTAACACATGGTTCAATTTTATTTCAGTAATTCGCGTAGGGGTCTTTAGTAGAGGGAGGAAACCGGAGGACCTGGAGAAAACCCACAAGGTTGGAAAGCCGAACCTTCTCCTTGTCACATACAACCGTGGATTTGAAACACAGCCAGCTGACTCAATGATGGACTTATGATACGTGCTAACCATTCAACATTCAACACCCCAGTATCAATAATAACCCTATAACATAACATATCTGTAATAACCCTATAATATAACACATCAATAATAACCCTATAACATAACACATCTGTAATAACCCTATAATATAACACAACATCAATAATAACCTTGTAATCTAAAGACACTTAGCCACCCAACCCCTCCACTTTATACAAGATATTGATTTAAAACTAAACAATATTTCCACCTGATTGTGTAATGCAGTACTCGACAAGTTCAAAATATGAAATAAAACTTACTTTACTCCACCCTGGATCTAGAATTATTGATCGTCTGGCGTCACAGAAACTTTCTCTATAAAACAGATATCATTTTCAGATTTATTTTTCTATCATAAATGACAGGGCTATATATTTATTTTACAGAAGTGCTTCACAAACAAACAACACATTATAGTAAGGCATCAAAAGAATGTTTTGTTAAACTTCTTTGAATTCCTTGATTAATTGCAGAAATTTTCAGGGTATTTTAATTTTTCTCGAAATACATGCCAGAACAAGGGTTAAACCAGAAATTAAAGTAATGTGGTGATGAAGTTTATATGCACAAGGATGTCCAGGATTGTTCTCCTTTAACTTTTACGGCAAGGAACAAATATTAAAACAGACATTTTACACTTCTAGGATCAAAACTGTTTATCAATAAAGGTTGATAACTCATTATATACAACTGGCGGTAGTTTTTTCTTTGATGTCCATAGCAGTTATATCTCACAACAACCCGTCATGACGTCATGACAGGTTGATATATTCGTTCATATCAACCGCTAATGACGTCATCTCCGGTCGATATATTCAGCTCATATCAACCGCTTATTACATAGATGATAGAAATAAAACAAAAAACACAGAAATAAATTTTTATTCTTTTGACAATAAAAAATTGTTATGGTACAGTTTGTAACATTCCGGGCCGAAATAGACGGCGTACTTATCGGCATATTTAAATCGATTATCCATACTCCATGTCTAAGATATCTTTCAGAATTTTCTTTCCGTCCACACACTCCTAGACTTGAAATTATTTATTGCTCAAGAGTTCCTTTATAAAGTATTTTAAAACAGTCGGTCAAATCCTTCCCTGAACATACCGAAAACCTTCAATCAGGGTTCACTGTCAGAATTATCGGAAAAGAATGCCTTTTAATGCAAATTTTCTTCAGGCTTTGGATAGATTCTCGTCGATATTTTCATTCACATCTATTCCATCGTCAATATGTTGGCTTAAAAGGATTGATTATTCGTCTGACTTCGTATTACTATCCATTTTGTTTTGCGTTAATTCAATACTCCAAAATGGCGACGTATAAACAAAAACATGCACGTAATTGCACGTGATTAATTCGGTAATTTTCGTTATTTGACGGAAACTACCGAGCAGTTATCCAATCATTGTTGACTTTGAATGGAAGAACCCATTCAATCTTAGGGTGAAATGGCGTTGTATATGTAGGATATAAACCTACTCTTCCTCGGATTGATATGGTAGAGAACACTTGGGCTTCGCCCTCGTGTTCTCTACCATATCAACCTCGGGTAGGTTAATATCCTATACTTAACACAATACACTTAAGTAGGTTTCAGACCACTAATTCATAGTAATATATAATTAGAATTTAATATAAGTACATGACAGAAGATTCAATTTCTTTTTACAAACCACAGAAATGGTGGAGAAATAACAGTAAAATAATTACCTGAATTTATTCATCTTGAGATACGTCATGGCCCGATTTCCATAATATAGATGATTTAAACGACTGAAAAATACCAGACAATTTCAACACAAAGGACATTTAATAGTTACTTGACAAACGTTCCGGAATTGAATTAGTAGAACTGTGACAGGACTGAATTCCGTGTCATCCAACTGCAATTCTGTTTTTTCGGAACGTTACAGACCAACAAACGAACATCCCCTTTTTAAATGCTACACGATATGTATAACATATGTTCAGTCCCGTTAGACAATTTTTGACATATTTTGTTTAACCTAGATCAGAAGGTTATTTTTTCCCAAACAATATGACAATTATCTGAATTATCTAAATTTTCATATATTCTAAGTGTTTTAAAGTTAACCTCTTTGAAATTATAACTGTATGGCATGTAAATCAACTGACATGTAAATTCTCAAGTCATTTTCACTGCCAGTCCGTCAAAATTGGTTAATATAAATGAAATGAGACCTCAGGAGCTGGGATGGGTGGTAGTTAGTATATAAATAATACAACTTACTCAGATTGTATAGCTTTAGTATAATATTTTATGGCTTCATCAAATTTATCACATTTAAATGCTTCATTTCCCTTCTCTTTATAAACATCTGATTCATCATCGTTCTGTAAATATATTTATAAATATGCAACAAATGTCTCAGGAAAATGATCAGAGATAATTGATCAATTCTATAATAGAATAGTGCCCGGTTACCAGGTCCCACAGAAAGTTTATGTACTGTGTGATGACTCATGACTAGGCCCTATGTACTGAAAACATTAAATCTCAAATCTCCTTTTTGTTCAACGTCAGTTAAACTCCAAATATTTGATAAATTGGATCCTAGTTAGATTAGCACTGGTTCACTAACCACAGGTCTTGGGTTCAATTCACATGTTGATAAAGAAAGTTCTTCCGGATTTTCAGATCTGGTTTTACCTAGTCAGTGGTACTGAACAGAAGGGCATGGCTGGAAGGAAGTGTCTAGTCATTCGGATGGGACAAAAAGAAGTTGGTTGTTCCAAACACAGTTTTGTATAAATACAACTATGTTACTTACCTTAGTTGTCCATTGAGACCTGATAATCTGTTCTATTCGTTCGTAATCACGGGAACAACTCACCACATGGCGGTGATCTGATAGATAGATAGATAGATAGATAGATGTATAAATGTAAAAATAGACAAAAGTTTTTAATAATATCTTTATATGCTCAAGAAATCAAATAAAAGAAGACATTATCTAGGTGAGTGATATTCATAGATACAAAGAGACATGGCGCTAGCTCACTAACTAGAGAAGGTCCTGTAATCAAATCCCTGAATTTTCCAGTCTGGTTTTCCCTTGTCAGTTGAGCAGGATTGTGTCTTGGCCTTCAGACTAGACCAAAAAAACCAACAACCTGAGGTTCCATGTATAACTTTAGCAGTACGCTAAAGATCCCCTGGGATTTTCGAATCAAAATAAGAGTAGGCAATGGTACCACTGTTCTTGCAAAATTGTCCTCATTGCATATGATCTGTGGTTGAATTTATATCACAGCACATTGTTACCATTGAGAATTTATAATTATTACTTACAATTCATATCACAGCACACTGTAACCGTGGAGAATTTATAATTATTAGTTATCATTTATATCACAGCACACTGTAACCATGGAGATTTATAATTATTACTTACAATTCTTAAAGATGTAAATTACACAGAATTCTTCTTTCCCTCTGAACTGAACTTTTGAAGAAACAATTTTCCTAAAGAATACAAACAAAATTTATAGAACATATTTGTATAACATATATTTATTTCAAACATCATTTGATTATACTCAAGGATAAGGCACCCAGCTCATTAGCAGTGGCATCGGAACCAGAGATCTAGGAGAAAATTCACAAGGTTAGACAGGCAGCCATACTCCTTTATGGCCCACAAAAACTTTCAGACCAAATACAATACAAAGCAGACTGACGAAAAAGCATATTGGTCCAAATATTATCAAAATCAATCTATCCAAACAGAAATGATGGTCATCTAAAAGTTTGTTACTTGTATGATTGCAAGTGATAGCTGATGTCTGAACAATAATTCATTTCTTTCTATCCACGAGAATTACAAACTAAAGAACATATTTTCAGCCCTTATTTTCAAAAGATATAAAGACAGAAAACGAGTTTTGGTCTTCTGACGTATTGAGACTGGTAACATACTTACATCATTTCCTCATATCTCTGAAAACTATTGCCTATTCCTATGGCACCATCTACGTCAATCGATTTCACATCTTTTTGATCATTAAACTTTCTTTCTACAGCATCAACGACATCTAAAGCACATCGTAATGCACATGTTTTACGCTGAAAAATATAACCAGTGGTTGCTAGGCAAGATACGCACAAATTTTGCAAGAGATAGATAGAGAACAAGCTAAAAAAAAAACCATGATTTTCTATACAATCAGGGGTCATAACCGTGGAAGTTATGGTCTGAAATGCACGAATATCAAATCGGATAAAAATTGTGACCTCTAGAATGTCCACAAGATAAAAACTTGATGTTTCGTACAATCAGGAGAAATAATTCATGAAATTATGATGTGATACATACCAATATTGAAATGAACCAAGATCTTTGGGAGATAGACCTATATTTCAAGTTTCATCAAATTCAGATAAAAATTGTGACCTGTAGAGTGTCCACAAACAAAGTGTAGACGGACAGAAGGAAGTGACCCCAATAAACATCCACATGAAAATGTGGGCATATAAAAATATTATGTCTTTAAATGGGATGCTGATTTTGTTATTTAAAAATATAAATATTGGAGGTCATTATTCAACTGATACTTGAAATTAAATGGAGTATAATGTCCTATTCTTCTGCACCAACTAGGTATATGCAACGCTGTGTGCTATGACAGGAATATTGCCTGGACCTTAGGAAATTTCTCAAGCCATTGCCATACTCACTGATTCAATTCTTATACATTTTCAGATTGTCAGAAATTAGGAATCGTTTATATCAATAAACTTTCCTGTACCAGTTTAGTTTGTCTATCTTTGAATATCATACAAAAATTTCTAATAGATTTAGTTAACATTGAATAATGAATTTCAATTAATCAAATAGACTTAAAGATACATTATGGGAGATAAGATAAAGAGATGGCAGTTCTCGCTATAATAGTTAAAAACTAGATAGTGTAAAGGTAATTTGCTGATAATTTCAGTCAAATTGATCCACTATGAGCCGAGAAAGAAGCGGGTGAAATTTTTGCATGACTCGGTCATCATTACTAAAATCATTAATATAAACAGCAGTCTCGATTATCCACTCTTTTTTATTTAATTAACAATGGCCGTTAGCAGCATATATGAATCTAATCCAGCCAAAATCAAAGACTAGCTTTGACATCGAAAGTTTATTATGGTCTGGATAAGTTAATTAATGTCTAATTGATAATTTAGATAACATTTCAGGCCTAAAGAAAGACTTGTAATAAGCAGATTTTGCTCTTGCATAATGCATGTTTAACTGTCTGAATTCAAATATTTTTTGAATAATTAAAGTGTTTATTGCATTTTTTCTGCACTTTTTATTGTGTCTGTGTTCTAAGTTATCAACATCAAATAAATAAAAACACTATTTATTAATAACAATTACTATAGTTTATTTCACTGCGACATTTCAACAAGATTCAACATCTGATCAAAATGATGAAAATATATAAAATTCATAATAAAGCCATTACCATTTCTGGTTTGAGAATTTCAACAGTTGTTTCTACTTTCTTGAAAATTTCCTCTTCTTTTTGTGTGAAAGCTTGGACATCTTTTTCCCTGCAATCAGATATGTTTATGTAAAATTTGTAGATGTTCATGGTGTCTGATAAAACTTGACAAATTACTGTGACAAAGTGATCTATATTTCTCACCAAATTGAACAGTATCATTTAGGTACATAGAACTTAATGAACTCTGCTAGTTTTAACAATATATGAATTTTGACTTTCACCTCTATATAAACTTCTGTTAAGCATGAACTTATTAAACATCTAATTGATTCAGTATGATCTTTACAAACTACGTGTGGTCTTTGCGCACGCTCCGCTTTACTTCGAAGGAATATGCATTGGTCAGTAGGCATGCCGTGACGAGATAAAATAGACAATTGCATGTATGACCATGTGTGCAAGGGTATATATTGAGGAGTTCACTGACAGTTAGCAGAGAGGAGCCGGGAGGAGAAGAAAGGGTTTGGCGAGTGTATGGACTCACCCGAGTTCATCCGCTGCTTTGGCAGAGGGGCGGAATGGTTGATTCAAGATTGTTAGATGTGTACCTGTTGTAGTAATAGTTCCAGTATAGTCTAGTTTTTGTAGTGTTGATGTATTTATGTAGATGTGTGATACACTGTTCCCGTTGTAAATAAACCATATATTTATGAAACCGGTCTACTGTTATCACTAGCGATAGTGTTACAGTGATCTGTTATGGTACGTAGACCGGTTTTGTAAATATATGGTTTATTTACAACGGGAACAGTGTATCACACATCTACATAAATACATATTTCCATGCATGTCAAGACTCACACCTCAATTCCCCATCCCACCCAAACAACTAAGCAACATTTCCTCCCATCTGACAAGTGGGAAAAGGTAGGAAAATTCTTGGACTTCTTCTTACTCTAAACCTGGAATATTGTATTCATCATGAATAATAAAAAGTAAATGCTATGAATGGCTGTGTTATATTTATGTCAAATGCTATAAACTAACCTGTTCCTAGTGAGAAGTTGTGCAGAATGAAGAGCTGATATCCAATGTTTTTCAACACAGTTATCAAAACCAAAATACATCGGTCCTACTATCATTTGCCCTATCATCTTCTGGGCTTTCTCGATTTCTTCAGATTTCCTCTTTAACCACATGGCAACGCTATCCCCTAAAAATACATGACATTGCAAAAATAAAAATCTTAAATCTCTTCGATTTAGGTCAAAATGAAGTATCAAATTAATAAGCATTAATGTCACAAGGTAAAATTTTATGGATACACAATTACTGAATTTATTACTGTACAGCACTTCGGTTATCCATAAAATTAAAATTGTACCTTATGTCAATATGTTCAATTAATGAATGTCTATCCAAGAAGAATTAATGTCTTAATCAGATTAGTGGTTTAACATGTGCGCATGAAATCACAAGATCTGTCATGGAGTCAAGTGGTGTTTGTTTCGATTCCCCGCTTGCACGTGACAAGGAGTAGGGTCGCCTGTCCAGCCTCGTGGGTTTTCTTTGTATTGTCTGCCGGGGGGTGGGGGGGATGGTCTAGTGGTTTAACGGGTGCACACGAAATCACAAAATCTGTTATTGAGTCACGTGACAAGGTTCTGATTCCCTGCTTGAACCTGACAAGGAATAGGGCCACCTGTCCAATCTTGTGGGTTTGTTTGAGTCCTCTGGTTTCCTACCATTGCTAAAAACCACTACAAGCAAATTAATGAAATAAAATTGAACCATATTGAACCATAAGTGTCCATATGTTTAATAGTCCCAAAATAACCTAGTTTGTGTTGATCGGACATTCAAACCCATTTCATTCTTTCTTTCTCTTGCATTGTCTGCAGAGGATATTGAATATTGTGAATTCGAAATATCTTTGTAAATATTGAACTACTCAGGACTGATATTCTTCTTAGAGATTCAACGTTCACAATATTGTAGTTGGCAAAGGATTCAAAATGCTTTCACTCCCCCTTCAGTGATAATTGGTGGCTTTAAAACTGTATGAACTGTAATACAAAGGCATCAAAATACCAACCATTTGAAACTGAAGGTAGATCTGGTGTACCAACTGTTTCTTCGTCGGATGATGGAACAAGTTCAGGAACATCATCGTCACTTTTACTCATCTTGCTTCTATACCAATTGTTCACTCGTCGATACCAAGTATGGTACTTGTAATGTAGCCTCTGTTAAGTTTGTGTGATATGTTGTAATAAAGTTGTGCTAGATTTTCTAATCTTCGTTGTCTGTGTACCGTACAAGCTGATCTATGTGAAACTTCTATGTGAAACTTCCTACAACTGCAAAAAAAAAAAAAAAAAAAAAAAATGCTATACATGTACATCCATTAGATATCAGTGGAGTTTAATAATACTTTTAGTCTAAAAGTTGTCCTCAATCATTAGAAGTAATTTTCTTGTTGTAAACATGCATTATACATAAACAAAAATCAACTAATTTCAAACATTAGACACTTACACTGTTTCTTCATAAATCTTATTTAGACAACCTAATTCTGCTATAAGTAGGCTACCACAGAATATATTGTGGGTGGTACATGTACATGGAAATGCCCAAAGTAAATCTGTTATTATCTGGGAATTTTCATTACATTAAATAATGGCTCGAATTTAGGGAAACACTTTTTTTAACTTTACAAATTACACACTATATTTGTTGTCTTAAATATTAATATTTCCCACTTGAAAACATCAATAACTTGTATCTTAAAAGTATCCAAATCCACTATCCATAAAAGTGTAAATTTGACCATTCGTGTACTGTCTCGACGAGTTTAGGGAAAACCCCTTTGTCAATTCACCCCTGTTCAAGGCTGTTGCCATAAATATTATGATTCCCAGCCTGACAACGTGAAAATTAACCTTTGCTAACTCACATAAGGACCCAGACTTAATTCTTTCAAAGTCTTATTCATTAGGGTTCGCTTTTCAACGTTTTTACCTACCCGAATAAAAAATTATTTCCTGTACAAGTAACTAAAATAGAATAAACATTTCCAAAACTTTCGAAACCTCCATTATGACAGAGAGTAATCTGCCCGTGAGTTAAATATAGTCTTGAACAGTATGTCCCTTTTGAACCGCGCGAAACTTTGTATTATTACTTCGAATAAAAATATTTTAAGTTGATAATTACTTTCCAGGTTTTTATTTGCGAAAATAGAAATAAATTTGGTTCGGATTGTTGAGAAAAAAAAATTAACTCCTCCAAAAGTTTTGGCAATCCGCCATTAATTGTTGACAAGTTGACGAACGTAGAAACACGTGTCTTCGAAAATTTATAAATCACCGCTGTAATATTTAAATGAAAAGGTATAAAACGTTGTTTGTCGTCTGTAGTTTCACTGTCACTGTGAAGAATGACACCTATGTCTTTTCAGTGATAGGAAGTTATTAAATCCTTTGGTTTTAATAGATTGAAATCCGATCGATTCGATGGTCATGTATTCATTGATATTGCCACAATTATTAATTACATGGTTATTGCCCCTGTTTTTAACGTTGTTATTCTGAATAAATAGAATTTATAATCCAAGAACTGTTGATGCTTTAATATTGAAATAATAGTAGCTATAATAGTCAAAACAGCCAAACGAAATTCATTGTTATTCATTATCAATCCATTGATATTTTTTTTACATAGATTTAACATAGCAATGTCTACATAGCTTCGTGAAATGAAGAAGACATCCTTTAACACAGAGAATTTCTCTCCCCCCAGCTGGCTCTATCCTATCTACAATTTTCAGTATCGATTAAAACTTTAATTTATGATTAAGTTATAACGTTAAACAAAAAATTTCTAACAGGTGATAAGTTTATGTAATGTAAGCTCTGGCTTGTTTTCAGATTCCATAATTATATATGTATTGAATATAGTGTTAAAATAATATACCATTGTGCCAGTGGCATCATTTTCACCTGACAACATATAGCTACATGTAATAAAGATACTGGCTAGTAGTTTGACATTTATATCAATATGGTACGCAAGAAGTCTTCTGAAAAGCTGATCATCGAAATGAACTTACAATAAAATCTACATACCAGCGATCAAAAGAATCAAGGTTCAGCTCATAGTACATAATCAGTAATTGCTTAGTACTAGTAGTGTGAAGTACTTAACTAGGGATTAACCAATCAATGAATTAATTAGCCTTAACTCATTCCTTTGAAAATGGGGGGTTGAATGGCCGAATGGTTAGCGTGTGCGCGCTGTATCATAAGGTCTGTGGTCTTATACTAACTCTCACAACACAGACAGAATTGACACGCAGGTTTTTAGATTCTGCCCCATTTCAAATCCTCTTGTTCTCAAGAATTTGTACCCAGCAGTATCAAAATGCCAGGAAATTAACTCAAATTTCCACCACCACCCCCATCAGTTTGCCCGGGCCATCAAATTGAACCAAGTGTTAGTCCAGAAATGACCTGTTTTGCGTCAAATGGACTTTAAACCCCATTTCTCTGTCTCAAGTATAGGGCCTAGTGCAAGAAAGGAGGACATTTTATTAGTGTGTACAAACAGATGACATAAACTTTTTATTCAGATAAAGTAGGACAATCTTTACATTTCAAATTTCAAAAAAGCATAATTTTAGTTTCACTCTTCAAAAGGATGCCCAGGCTGTCACCATCTCTGTCTTCCTTCCTGCACACCACTGTCAGTTATCTATTTACATTTTGAACCTTTTTTTCCTGACCTGCTTCATAGATTTCAACAAAGTATATTACTTAAGTGTTCAGATTTGGTTTATTGAAATTTCTTATCCATGGGGGTTCTCAGTTGTGCACTTGGTGGATGTACTGGTATCAGAATTCATTGCAATTTCAATTAATTGTCAGTTATTCATCAGTAAATTATTTAAACAAATTATTTATAAATTTATTGGTCTCTTCTTTAAAGCTTTGTCAACATTAAAGTTTTGAGATTTTTTAAATAAAAATATCTTGATCTTTTTATTTAGTAAAAAGAAAGAACTCAGCCAATCATGCACATCTTTTTCATCAAATCCATTACGTATACCTGCAGAATATTCATTTGGGTCTCATCTAGTGCACCATAAGGGTAATTTTACCTGGATAGCAGTTAGTCCAATGAGTCCATCCATATACTTTCCGTCGAATTCCCACTGTCGAGGGAATTTTTATGTGTGCATGCCTGTGTGTTCACATGGCCTTGATCTTTCATCCCAACTGAATATGACCATTTACCATAGCTGCCAGGCCCTTCCCCCATCCCACACCATTGATAAGGAGAAACCTTGTTGGAATTTTCACGGCCAACACAAGGATCGTAACTGGAAACTCCAGATTAGTGAGTCAATTGTTGGATAGCCGATTGGTCTATCTTCTAATGCATGCGCTTTAGGTCATAAAATCTGTCCTTGAATCAAGTGGCATGTTTTCGATCCCACTTTCATGCATGACAAGAAGTTTTCTACAATTTCCTCCCAGAACTAAAGACCTCTATGCACAAGGAATTTGTTGATATTAAATTGTATTATTTATTAGTTTATATTTAGTGGACCTTAACCCTATTTTCTTTCTCTGTCTCCCCCTACTCTTTGAGCCACCGTGCATGTTGTTCACCATTTCGTTGTCTCATTAGATTGTTTTAAGTTCTGTTTTATTTTATTTCAGATACTGGTGTCTTAAAGATGTTCATGACAGTCATTCTACCTAGAAATCACCCTCAATATAGATAAAAAAACACCACCATGTAGAAAAATAAATTTAAGAAATTACTCCTTTATTAGAATTCTTTGAAAATGGATGATAGACTTTATTATGAAGAAAGCAGAAACTCTTTTTTCCCCCACATCCGACGTCAGCGGTTGCGTGTTCATCAGCGAGCCGGATCAGATAAAACTGACACATCACAGAACTATAGTTTTACAACATCAACACCAGTAAAACAAAAAAAAAAGTTGAAAAGTCATAAACATGTCTCTCGATCAGTAGACCAACTCTGTAAAACACCATTAGAAAAACATGAGTTTTATGTTGACAATGATAAATCCTTAAACACCAATAATCTTAGCTGTAATAATAATGTTACAAAATTTCCAGTAAAAGAAACAGTCCTTCAGGACCGAGGGTCCTCTAAGCCAGAGGTCAAGCGGAAAGTGGAGAAAGCAGCTCTCAATAAAATCAAATCAGTGTACGATATTGAAGAACAAACCCAGTTAGCAAATGCTTGCACACGTACAGGTGATCATTATTCTTCTAGCGCCACAGATATACTCATGGATCGAAATCCGAACAAAGAATTTGACTTAATTTCTCATATATTGGACGAGTCTTGTCAAGATATTGACCTAGAAGGTCGTCCCAAGAAACAACAAGTTTTAGAGATAAATGATGATACAGATGAAAGGAAGGAAGAAACAGAATCATCATTTAGTTACCAAGGTGATAATGATTCCATTACTGAATTTGATTCTGTCAGTAATATTGGGCGACCGCTTATTGCAAGACATATGCCGCCACCATTTGAAGACATTCGAGAAGAAGATTCATCAAGCACCTATGTGTCTGAATATCCAAATTATCGACGACCTATTCCCATCCGACACGGATCATTTGATTACGCCAGGAAAAGGAGGTCTGCTCAAGCTCTGCAATTACAAACCCGAACACCTTTCAGTTATTTCCATCAAGGTTTTGAACGTCCATTGCCCAAGCATCCGTCAATTAGTCCTTTAATGCCACATCCACACATGCACATGGACAAGAGCAATAATATGCTAATTAGATCGAGGCAACCCATCCAACACTGGAATAATGCGATGATACCAATTGATGATGACCGAACTAATATTTATACCAGACAAGAACCATCTCTAGAAGATGTGCACAATGACGATCTAGTTCAATCTGGGAAGTTGTTAGAAGATGGCAATAAAAATCCTATTATTAGACCCATACCTCACACTTCTTCAGGTGCTTCCTATGCACATGGAGATGAACATGAAACCAGTGGTTATATCAGTGAATCGTGTCCAACGAAAGATCGTAAACGCAAGTCCAGCGATGTTACAAGTGTCATAAATGCCAAGAGACCCTGCAATCCACATGAAGATGACTTGTACTATTATGGTTACCAAAATTTCCAAGATCCTAGGAACACACCTGAATTTGGATTCCACAGCAATCCTAATTATTCACTTCCAGTTCCATACCAACAAGATTGGTCCAATGGTTACCATCCTTCTTATGATTGGTCAAGGCAGCCTGAAACCAGAAGAAACACAATAGATGATCCATATAAAGATTTTCTAAGATATGAAAATCGTGATTCTCATAGATTACTAGAGCTTAGAAGCCAACAAATGTTTGCTGATAACTATTATCCCAGCAGAGCTGATTATGGTTGTTATCCAACTTTTGATGGACATTTGAATGGAAGGGATGATCATTTTAGACCAAAACGCCAGAATACGGACCCCTTCCCATCAAAAAAATATAATCTGATCCGAGAAAATTACCAGCACGAAAATCCAAAAATGTTTGCAAGTGCAGCAAGTCGATCAAAGAAAAAAGCAAATGAAAGAGTTCTATCAAATTACCAAGATGAGAAATTATGGTTGAATGAAGGTCATGAAGAATTCTGGGAATCACCATTAGAAGCTTTCAAGAAATGTGAAGAGCCCATCTTTGGGAATGATCAGGGACTTAATTCTTCTGATAAAAAAAAGCAGGCCATTTCCAGTCAAGAACTGAAAAATTCACTTTTGAAAGAAATCAATGAAATTCCTGAAAGTAAAACCTCGAACAGTAAAGATCTAGCACTTGAAAAAGATGAAATTTCTGATGCCTATGTTGGTATGGATACAGAATCATCTGTTTTATTGGAATCTTCTCCACAAATCATAAAAAGGAAACCTAGGCTAAAAACCACAAACAGAAAGCAGGTAAAGAAAGCTAAATATCCCAAAACGGACGGAGCGAGTTTAGTTGAAAGTACCAGTGAGAAACCAACAACTAAAACAACAAATGTGAAGAGAAAGGTTGGTAGACCAAGGA